CCCCCCCCCCCCCACCCTTGATCAATGAAACTTGCCAGCATTCTTGTCCGCGAAGAGCCCGGAAAATTGATATCGGAGAGAATTAACCTGCATCTCACAAAGATCAGCGAAAGGCCGGCACAGACTGAGTTAGACGAAAGATGCAACAGCAATCAGGGGCCAGGGCCACTGTGGCGGAAAGGACTCTCGCAAGCCTCGCTTGCAGACAGCCCACTATATATATTTTTAAAAGAGTAAGAGAAATTCAGCGCAGGGTATGTATATGATGGTTCTGAAAGCGCTATCGAGTGCATGAACTTACGAGAAGTGCTGGACTCGGAGCAAATACTAAGGCCGACATCATATCTGATATTCATTGTAGAACCATAAGTGTGATCATTCGAGCCAAAGCAATGTGAAATTTTGCAGCCCACGATTATAACAGATACGAGGGCACGTCTGCTCATGGTAAAGTAAGGACAAGAATGGAAACGGGACGGTACGAAGAGACTAGGGCTCCGACAAAAAGTCCTGGGCCCATGGTGCCCTGTGTTAGTAACTCGGCGGCCCTCGAGGGACTTTTTTACAGGTGTTAAAAACAGTTAAAAACAAAATATTTAAATCGATTTAAATATTATATTTTCCCCTAGGAGCCGTCAGTTTCGACTGACCTGAAGGGCTTGCAAAGCACTAGCGGTTCTTTTGAGTGTCTCTGGTTACTATTTGAACTCCTAGAACATGTTCTACAGCGCATACGGTCATGGTACGTGAGGCCGTTGGCGTTGCGTTGGCGAGAACACCCACCGTAGACTCAGAAGCTGTGGCTGGCAGTCAACGTCGTGGAGATAGTTTAGGGGAAAGTCACGTCTAAGTCGGGTTAGGGGTCTTAAAGGATGGAATACGACGTCAGGAGTTGGTCAGGAACTCGAGAGAGTCTTCCCTGGAGGCGTATATACTCGTCCAGATGTCAGGATTTCTTACACTTTTTTACAGAGCTGCATAGCACCGTATCGGGAGGGTTGTTAATAACAAGTTATAAACAGTTATTAACAGCACTTTTTTACAGCTGTTATTAACTCCCGACTTATTGTCGGAGCCCTAGAAGAGACGAGATCTGTGAACGCCAGCTTGCGCCACCTACGGTTATCGCTTCGCTTAGATGAGATCACGGCTTTCGCGTTATCAAGAATTTCCATATATGGTCTTTGGGGGTCACCCCGCCAAAACCTCCCAAATTGGACAAGACTAGGGCACAAGTCGCGACTCGACGCGAAAGTCAACATTGGCCAAACACGACCAAACAAACCCGTGGCGCGAGGTTGTGGCGACGACGCGCCCTGCAACTCTTGTTCTTCGTCTCCCACTCGACCTACCTTGCGCACGCGAACTACCTGAACAACAGCCGTGCGAGTGCCATAGGTATGGCAATGGAGGAAGGTCGGACGGGAGGTACAGCCGCCGTGGAGGAGGATAATCGCCCTTTCGACCTCATCCACCACCGCCTCTCCGCATCAGCACCTCATCGACCTCTGCTACCTCATTTTTCTCCCAATGAGATAGAATAGCCAGCTGCGTTACTGGTGGCTTAGCCTTTGTCATTGTTAACTTCGCCGCCACCGACCCACCTGCACCCAATCCGATTTCCGCCCGCATCATCAACGGCAACCCCGATTGCGATATCACAGTTGGCGGACCCGACGTATTTACCGAACCGTCACGTCAAGACTCGGAGTCGGAAAGCGAGCCGATTGCTGAGGTCCTGGCTGCAAAGGCCGGACTGCATGGCTTCGGGACGCCGGCTGCTGTGTAAAACACTCGTACGTTCATTCCCTTTCGTTGCATATCTCATCCCTGTTTTCTGTTCCGTACAACTTGCTGATGTCTCACAGGGGAGCACCTCTCCACTTCGAGTATGTCCTCTTCCGGCCTCTGCCTCCTCAGCCCGCTCACGAAGGACGTTGGCCCTCCTCACCTTCCAGCTCATCCCTCAACCTTTTCGGGGCAACAAGTCCTTCATAGCCTTCTCCAACCTCCGCAACACCAACTCCTGACCAAGGCATGGAAGGTACGTCCTCTCTTTTCCTTCCTTGTTTCTTTCTTCTTTGTTCCGACCTTTTTCCTCGTGTCGTCATCGGTGCCAGGTCTGCATCAAAGTCGCTGGCTAACTCGAGCGGGGCTAGGACCTTAACTGGCGCTTCTGGCACCTCCAGGACCTCATCATCGACACCGGCAATGCCAAGTCCAAGCACGAACAGAAGGGTGTTTCGAAACCGGAACACGTGAGTGACAAGCTCAACAAGGAGGAGGGTAGGTGAGCGTATCGACCGTCCTCCCTTCCCATCGCTCCTAAACCCTTGATACCGACCCCCTGTCAGCCACCCTTTCTCCTCGCCCACGCTACCCGTCGCCCTCCCACCTCTGGCACCCAACCTCGACCGCAAATCCAAACGCCCCTCGGCGTCCGTGTCGAAGTCTATTACGAATGGACCATCGACCAACGCTCACACCAACCAATCCCTCTCACCGTGCACATCTCCATTCTCAAATCCACCTCCAACCTCTCCGGTTGCCTCGAGCGCAAGTTCTCCCGCTCAACGCCGGTCACGTGTGCACCGCCTACCTCGGTTTCCTCCCCTCGTACTCCACCACCGACGCGGCGGTTAGGGATAAGAGGGTGTGTGAGGTCATGCTTGGGGCGCTGGAGGAGAGCGGGGTAATGTTGATGAGGCGGTATGGGCTCGGGGCGGGCATCATGATCATTGGTATGCCCTGCCTATGCTGAAGAGGTTCGAGAATCCGAATTTGGGGGGACAAGGTGATGCGCGGGATGGCAGCCGTCGAGGAAGGTCGACAGGGAGTATCGGTCGTTGGTGTGGTGAGGAGCATCGAAGAGCTCGACGCTCCCGACTTCAGATGTCCACACTCGAGCAACATTATCTAGCGCGCCGCCGAGAAGGAGCGCACGTCGGCACCATCAAACAAGTGTAGCTCACCTTGTCCCTCGAGCAACCCACTCCCATCTCTGAAACCCCGCCGTCGGCTCTGGGCTCCGCCTCGTCTTCGCAAGCCGTCGCGATCGCGATCGCATGCACAGACATAAACACACTGACCAGGCCCTTCCGAACCGGAGATCGTCGAGTTCTGCGCCTGTGTCGCAATGTGCGTACTGTTCTCTTTTTTCCTACCATGTCATTGTTGCTGGATTTTACTTCGTAATAGGGCGAGTACCGCTCGAGCAGATATGCCCCAGATACACTAGGCCGTTTCGAACCGCAGCTCACGTCCTAGCGTTCGAGTGCGAGCGGTTTCCCAAGGGGATGAGGGAACGGAGGGATGCGTGCAGGGTGGCGCTGAGGAAACTGAGAAATATGGCCAGGAGAGACTTGGCGAAGGTATTGGAGGACAGCAGGCTGCACGACGTATACTTCGGCAGACTGGGCGGGGTACGTGTTTTCGTGGACAGCTTTGTTCCACGTGTGCAAACCTCCTGCCGTCTGGTTCACGGTCTATTCTGGGCACTATGGCATGGCCGTTGCTATCGCGCGTTCGCTTCAGGCTGCAGTATCTTTTGTTATGCTGTTGACTTTTCATCCACGGACTTCTGTATTCTTCCCGATGTAATTAGTATGAGTATGTACAGTAGACCACTAATATAATAATACTGCCATGAATATCCCAAGGTATTCATATATGCAACTGTTTTATCAACAAACAGTCAGAGATCTCTAAAATACACACAGCGACCTCGGGAGTCGCATTCGAGGTGACCCCGGGCCTACAGTATAGGCAGCTTTAGGCAGCTCCTAGGCGAGCGCCACCGCCGCGACGCGACTTCCGATTTAGGCAGAGTTTAGGAAGGGGTGTTTTTCCTGATGCATTGTGATTGGGCACCCATCACAAAGCCTAACTTGCCTCAATACTCGTGACTCCCAGGTGGAAATAGTACAGTAGTACAAATGCAGGGCGAACACTGGCATGGAGTCGATGGACAGTGATTCTTCCATTCTATCGATTACTCTATTAATATTTTGATCATAGGGTTGAAATTTGCGTGTACCCGTTTGATAGGAGACTCGGAGACTGGAGTCTGCCAGCACCCATTCAGCTTACTGTGGTTTTTTCGACTAACTGTTCGCCCGATTAGGAAATTTCTAGGGTTGGGGTTGACCGATGAACCTCATTTCTAATCGGAGCTCATCTTCCATCCGAATTCCTGGCGGTGACGCGTGACGAACGGTTGGTCGTAAAAGTACAGTATTATATACGCCTTCCCTCCGCTTTTCTTCGCTCACCTACCTCTCCCTTGAGTTTCCCTGGACAACGGCACGGGTCAGCCTACTGTTCACTGTTTTCTTGTCCACTCATCGTTATGTCCGGTAACTCATATGATATACTATATCTAGCTCTACTGGAAGTAGATGTCCAGCGAGGTAGACATACCGCAGCGCAGCCCTGGAGCCCCGAACGCCGATCCCGTACCTACTCCACCTGAAAGTGTAGTAGCAACCCCGACTCTGGTGAGCGGAATCAATCAGTATCTTTTGAACCATGATTTTGATCTTATTTTCGATCTTGAAGAGTCGTACCGAAGTGGGCATGAGCCGGCACCATGACGCAGAGGTCCGTCTACTAATAAGCCTGTTACAGTTGGTGTCTTCTCCCGACGTGCTGAACACTACCTTGGTTGTAGTTGGGAGCTCTGAACGAAAAGATCAGCAAACTTCTCAACGAGCAACAAACTGTACCCGCATCACATCCACTTTATTACTCCGTCACAGTCGAACTTGCAGGTTTGCTAGAAGATAGGTTCACCAATCTGCACAATACTGTCGACATAGACGAGGCTCTCCGGCACATCCAAGCTGCGAAAGCAGTATGCTCAACCGACTCCGACAGAAAAGCACAGTGCTTAGGACTCTTAGGCACCTACCTCTGTCATCGATACGAGCGTTTAGGAAAGGTCACTGATGTCGACGAGGCCATCGAGGCTCATCAGGAGGCTCTTAGACTGACTCCTGAAGGCAATGCCATCAGGCCTATCCGTCTTCGCAATCTCGGCGCTTCATTTTGTCGTCGATTTGAGCACTCTGGCAATGTTCGTGATATCGAGGATGCAATCAGCAACCAAAGACGGGCGGTTGAACTGACGACGGGCGGTCATTCAGATATGCCATTATGTTTCAATAGCCTGGGAAACTCACTCCTCCGTCGATATGAGCACCTCGGCGACGTCCATGATGTCGAAGAGGCTATTATGGCTCACAAACGGGCTGTGGAGCTGATATCTGTGGAACATGCCGCAAGGTTGCCTTCATGTCTCGGCAGCCTAGGAAACTCATTCCTTAGTCGCTTCAAGCGGCTGGGCGACGTCCGTGATCTTGATCAAGCCATTGTTGCCCAAAAGCGGGCCCTTGAACTATTTCCGAGCGGACATGCACTTAGGCCTCCATATCTCAACAATCACGCATGGGCATTGTTTCTTCGATATGAGCGCCTGGGTAAACTGTCTGATGTTGATGAGGCCATCAGTGCCTATAAGCAAGCTGTTGAGCTGACACCAGATGATCATGCGAGGAGGCCCGTGTATCTCAACGGCTTAGGAATTACACTCGCCATCCGATTCAAACGGTCGGGAAACCTCGGAGACATCGATGAGAGTATCAATCTGATCAAGCGCGCTGTCATAATGGCACCGACCGAACATACGAGTAAACTTGGATATCTCATCAATCTTGGTAACTCGTTCCTCCGTCGGTTCGAGCGATTGGGGAACATGAATGATTTGGATGAGGCCATTACTGCCCAGGAGAATGCTTTTGCGCTCCTTCCGGATGGACATCCGAGAAAGGCTTTCTATCTCATCAATCTCGGAGGCTCATTCCTCCGACGTTTCGAGCGCGCTGGTGACCTTTCTGATGTAGATAGGGCCATCGATATCCAAAAGCAGGCCGTTGGAATGACACCGGCCGGACATACATATTTACCTTCACGTCTGAACAACCTCGGAGGCTCACTTCTTGGCCGCTTCAAGCATCTGGGAAATCTCCACGATATCGATCAGGCCATCAGTGCCCACAAGCAGGCGGTTGAAATGACGGAGGAAGGACATGCACAAATGCCCCTATACCTCAGCAATCTTGGGGGATCATTGCTTCGTCGATTCGAGCGTTTGGGTGATACATCTGATATCAACGAGGCCATCTATTTTCGACGACGAGCTGTTGAACTGACACCGGAGGGACATGCACAAAAGCCTTTATATCTTAACAACCTTGGTGGCTCCTTTCTTTGCCGATTCGAGCGATTGGGTAGCATCAGTGACGTACATGAGGCCATTAGTGCTCACGGGCAGGCTCTTGCGCTTACACCAAACGAACATGGGGAGAAAGCTTTACGTCTCAACGACCTCGGGACTGCATTTCTTCGTCGCTTCAAGTGCTCGGGTAACCGTTCTGACGTTGACGAGGCTATCAGGGCTCAAAATCAGGCCGTTGAACTGACACCAGACGGACATGCAGCGAAACATTCATGTCTCAACAACCTCGGAAGTTCACTCCTTCGGCGTTTCGAACGGTATGGTGACCTTCGTGATGTTGATGAAGCCATCGCTGTCCAAAAACGAGCTATCCATTCAACACCGGACGGACATGCAGATAAGCCTTCACATCTCAGTAACCTCGCCAGCTCATTCATTAGTCGATATGAGCGATCACAGGATGGTCATGATCTCGAGAATGCAACCAGGATGTATCGCATAAGTGCGAAATCAGGCTCCGCTCCTCCCTCTGTCTTGCTGAAATCTGCACGAAATTGGGCCCAGTGCTACCTTAGACAACACGGTCAACAGCTGCTTGAGGCTCATGCAATCGTCATGGATGTTGTCCCTCGTATTGTTTGGCTGGGATTGGATATATATCTTCGTTACGAGAACACTATTTCTATCGGGGATGCAGTCAACAGTGCAGCAGCTGCTGCAATTGATTTGGGGCGGTATGATATTGCCCTTGAATGGTTGGAGCAGGGAAGGTCCATTGTCTGGGGTCAGATTCTTAGTCTGCGTGCTCCTATGGACGAACTAAAAGCCTCAGGGCATGCAAGTCTCGCGGACGAATTGATGCAGGTTTCTCGGCAATTAGAGCTTGCAGGAACGGCATTTCGTTCTGCATACGAGGGTTCCGATCCTACTAGACCATCTGCTGAAGACGAGGCTCAGATGCACCGCCGGCTGGCGGAGAAGTACGACCAGCTGCTCGGTGAGGTTCGCCAGATTCCAAAATTCGAGAGATTTCTCCTGCCAAAACGAATTTCGGAACTTATCCATGCGACAGATTCGGGACCAGTGGCAGTCGTGAATGTTCACGAATCCCGCTGTGACGCCCTCATTCTCCGAGACCACACCTCCCCAGTCCTTCATACCAAGCTTCCGGATACCTTTACATATGAAGAAGTCAAGGGTTTACGCATGGACTTGCTCGATTCCCTTGCAGAGGCCAGCATTCGAGATCGCATTGATCGCGCTGATGTACCCTTGTACATGCCGAATGAACAACTTCGTGATGTATTGCAGGCCTTGTGGATAGGAGTAGTACATCCCGTACTTTCCTCTCTCGAATATATGGTACGTTCAGGTTACTCATGTCTTGAAATATGGCTGACCTTCCTGTGCGTTAGACTCCACTGGCAGGGTCTCTTCCGCACATCACCTGGTGTGCCACAGGCCCGCTGACCTTCTTGCCCCTTCATGCCGCCGGGCTCTACGGCACCCAGCACCACTCGCAGCCAAAGGCCTTTCAGTATATCGTATCCTCTTATACAACGACCTTGACTGCTGTTCTTGGAGCCAAACCATCCGACACGGCCACACATTCAGCACCACATATGCTGGCTGTATCACAGCCCAACACCCCAAATTACCGTGCACTCCCTGGAACGAAGTACGAGATTCGAGAGATACAGAGCTGCGTGGGAGACCTAGAGGTTTCTTGGCTCGACGATGACCAGGCTACAGTCGCGTCAGTTCTCGATGGGATGGCTGTCTGTCAGTGGTGTCACTTCGCTTGTCACGGCGTACAGCATTCTGGGGATCCGACTAAAAGCGCTTTTATTCTGCACGACGGTCCACTTAGCTTGAGGGAGATCATGAGTAGATCCTTCAAATCTGCAGAGATAGCGTTTTTGTCTGCATGTCAGACCGCCACAGGAGACGAGGAGCGTCCGGAGGAGGCGATACATCTTGCTGCCGGGATGCTTATGGCTGGATTTCAATCCGTATTTGCGACGATGTGGTCTATACATGACACAGATGCACCTTTAGTTGCGAAAGAGGTATACACCTATCTTCTGAAGGACACTGGGATGATCCAAGGGAAGGCGGCATACGCATTGCATCATGCGATAGAGTGCCTCAGGAAGGAAGTTGGCGAAAACGCCTTCGTGAAGTGGGTACCGTTTGTACATTTTGGTGGCTAATAAATGCTATGTCTAGAATATATGGTTGATGAGCGAGATTCGGATTGGGTGTAGCTGATGACTGACCGTCATTTTGAATATATATTTTGCGTGCATTCACCGGGAAGTCCCCTATGAGCAGCCTGCACGAGGAGAGTTTCATTGACGGGAGAAAAAGTGATTTCCTAAGCTGTAGGCATGCTTCGACCGCGGTGGCGGATACTACTAGTACTTACTAGGGCGCCCGCCAGGGTGTCACCCGCTACTTTATATCCTTGTCGCTCCACAAGTCTCGGCGAACCCAACTGCGATGGGCTCCTTATTACGCTAGACCGACTACTCTCTGAGGCCTTCAATCTAGCTCGCGGTGAATCTAATCAACAGCACGCAGCTTGAAGAGGGGAGATCTACGAGCCCCGATCCATTGTTGGCGAAGAATCTAACAGGAAAGCGAACCCAGAGGGACGCTAAACGCCGATGCCAGAGCGAAAGCAGACTGAGACCGATCTGCGAGCCCGATCCATTATTGACGGAGTGCCCAACAGCAGAAGAGAAGAAAGGAGAGTGAACACAGAAGGAAGCTGATCGCCGATACCATGTTGCTGCAAGAGCTCAGTCGACCCTGAGAGACGAAAGCTCTTGTGAAGGCTGCCTAAGAAAGTGCAAGGAGAGTGCGTAATGATTTTAGGGCGTTCACAGTCAGGAACTTGGTATTACACCAAGAATAGAAGGTATTAAGATGCACCTGCAGCCTAAGCGCGGTGTAGGACGTGAGGAATGCATCGTCTGCATGCTCGAGATGAGACATGCGTATGCCAGACAGAAGCGGGTCGTCATTGCCTGACACGAGACAGAAGTCCACCATGTACAGATTCCATAGCGTGGGGGATGCTGGGTCACCAATCAGGACGCCCGCAAACGCCTTGAACTCTGGCGAGGTGACATCGCTGAGTTTGACCATGTACGACATCCTAGCGTACAGCATGCGAAGCCAGTCAGATATACATCCAGATACCCCCATGTCCGAGTCGTGGAGACGGAACCACAGGGTATCCTAATCGGTCGATGGGAAAGCGTTGCTGATGTCCACAAAGGTAACAAAGAGCGAACGACCACTCGCACGGGCCCGTTTGATCATGTACCTTAGAACGAATACATTGTTGTTCGTGCGGTAGCCTTCTCGGAAGCCGTTTTGCGAGGCAGCCCGAGGGAGAACGCCGTGCCGTTCTGCCCAATCGTGCATACTGTGCACTTGGATAAGGTCAACCAAAGCAAACCTTGTAAACCTAATTCCATTCAATCGCTTGCTGGGAGAAAGTTCACCTGTGTGTGGTGCATTTCAGCTTTCGCACAGCATAGAGGAAGGAGATTGAGACTCACCCTTTATATTGCTGAATTCACTCACATCATCCTGAGCGGAAATCAACCTCTCCATACAGTAAATGTCACTCACTTATGCAGGAGGCCTTGCCGCACACATTCAAATGTATATGGGCCTTCAGTTGCATTTTCTATTCATAGAACGAGGCCATGGTACACACTGGAACCTATGTACAAATCTGACTACTCTGGGGAAAGAAAGAAGAAAGCGACCCTGAAAAGTAAGGGTCGAACACCATATTAACATCTTGCATCTGGCACATCCGTTGATTCAAGCATGCTTTGGTAGATCAAGGTCAATCACAGAGGCAGGGAGACTCAAGATACACACGAAAAACTGGAAGCTCCGTACCGCACAGAGCTGATCGCATAGTTGAAACACTCAACATGGCTGACGCCGTGAGGGACACCGAGAAATGAAAGATAGGAAGACGAAAAAGCAAAAGCGATCAAAGAAACGCACCTGGTCAAACCTTTGACTCTGACTCTCCCCACTCGCAGCAGCATCCTCCTTCGCGCTCTCCAACGCATCAGAAAGTCCGCTCATCTGCGAATAGAGCATTTGGATCTCGGAAGTCTATTTGGCGATGATGTCGCGGTTGTCACAAAATATCACCCCAAACCTCTCCAAAACGAAATTGAAGCAAGAGAGGGGGAACATGACGCAAACATTCTGCATTCCTACATATAAGCGCTTCCACATCAACCTTCCTGCGCGAGCTCACATCGAGCTACGTTATCTACGAAGGTGGGTATAGCAACACGATGGCTCAACTACTAGATAGATGATGGGACAAACTAGAGTGGTGGCGTCGAGGGTCTACATGAAGACGACTGCTCGAACACGGAGAGATTTAGCCTATAGTACAACTACAACGTATATCAGTTGTATTAAGTGCACAAGGAAAAGGGGGGCGTACTGGTCACAACGACGTCAAGGCGTCTGCTTGCAAATGCACAAAATGTCGCTCATCATCGTGGTTGAAGCGGAAGCTGCGAGGCGGCGCGGCCAGAATCGCCGTGGAAGCGCTGCCATGCATCCAGTGTGGCGGTGAACTTTAGGGCAGACCAAAATCGATTTATTACATGTTTCTTTCGTATTTATCGTCTCACCCGCATTCACTCACGCGCGGGTTTCACCCCGAGCAACCCGTTCCATGAGTAGAAAGTAGTTTCCAACCCCTCTTGAAGTGACCTTCAACCCCTTTCACGTGCACAGTGGCGCGCCATCGACGTCCCCTTTCTCATTGACAGATCCCCAACGACATCCCCTTTCTCTTCCCATGGACCGTCTTCTGCTACGCATATCTGTACGCTCTGTATCAGTTCTGTCGAGTGACCGATTTCCCCTCTCGGGCACTGACCTGACAAGATGCGATTCCTTGTCTCCCGCACCTACCTTCCCCTCCCCCGATCCGACTTTGGTTTTCCTTCGCTCGCAAGTCGATGAAAGGGGGTGGCACCCGTCAGAAGATTTACCGGACCTTGCAAAAAATGTGTATGCTACTGAAGCGCAAAATCCGCCAACCACGAACCCGGAGTAAGTCCACACACAATTGACCACACGAAGAAGTCAAGCGAGGAGGCTGTGAATATACGACTCAAAGCTGGCAAAGAGGTAAATCAAGTTCTTTGCGTTGCATTTTTCGGTTGGTGTCCTTGTGTCAATGGTCCGTTGCGCTGTCTCATCTGTATTTGTATTGCCGCATTATGTCTGTTGTCTGCCATGTACATTGTATTGACGCTGTACGATTATCGACCCTCACGATTGCACGCTGTTTGTGTTTTCATAAAACTTGGAGCTTGTCTCATGGTCCGCATAGTAGTCCCTTGACACGGGACGGAGGGTTACTATGAAAGTAACTTTTTTGGTTGCTTTTTCCCTACAAAGTTAACTTTTCCTAGCTTTTGTGCCGAAGTTAGCTTTTAAAGCTAGCTTTGGCACAAAAAGCTAGATCGGAAGGCTTCCTTGCTTTGATGACTTCGATGTCGTTTGTGACCTTCTCTCTCTAGAAAGACATCGAAGTAAGGATCACCCGAGTCGTATACTACAGGGGTATTATGTTTATATTTTTGACTATTATTCTAGTAGCGTATGGCCTCTCAAAGCCGTCGTCATCGCTGTCGACCTTGCACGTGACATAAATGTTCACATTCTTGCTTTTCGCCAACTTTTCTTAAGTCTACCTTATGCATCTCCTTTAAGTGTCTCACATATGGGCATCGTGTCTGCGAACCTCTCGGCCACTTCCTTCAGTGGACTCCCAGAATACACATTAGCATTGTATCTTCAAAGTGGTCGAGGTGCCGAGTATGACAGCGATGACGACGACGGCGCCGACCTATTAACTGGAGTAACTGCCCATATCACATACGGACTTACTCGATCTCAGCGCTGTTTCAGGGAATACACCCTGTATGGAAGGAAGCCACATCAGCAATAAAAAGCCGACAGTGTTGAACGACGTCCTTGTTGGCCACAGGACGGCGGTGTGGTGATCGGTGCGCAACTGGCACGAACAAACTACAGTCGATACAATATCCGGCAGCTGATCACCAAGAACGGTGAAGGCTGGCACCGCCTCCGACGTCAAAAGTGAAACAACACTCGCAATAATTGTGGTGCATTGACGAGACAATGGATGTGTACAGGGTGCGAAGTACACCCAAAGCAAGCAAAGTTACTTTCGTGAAGCGTGGGAAAAAGCTAAAGCACCGGTCGCATCTTTTTTTGGCGGGGAAAAAGCACCCAAAAAGTTACTTTAATAGTACCCGGGACGGAGTGGCGGGCGTTGCCATTTGTGGCCTTTCCCGTGCTATCCGATCTCCGCGGGAGGTTGCATTGCAGCACCTAACGTAATATGAAATGCAAAGAAAGCACCATGACTGATCGGATCGAAGTGCTCGATGGCCTGAAGCAAACGCGCTTGGAATGCTTCAGTATAAGCTTGAAGACTGGTTCATTAGTGGATAACTTCCCGTAGCAAAAATGTTATGTTTATTCGACGCCTCTCGGCAACGCTCGGAAATGAAGACGGCAGCCTCTTGTAGCCAACCAGTGAGCTACGATCTTCATTTCGGAGCGTTGCCGAGCAGCGATCACATTGAATCAATCCCGAATAAACATATCTTTTCCCTACGGGAAGTCACCCAGTGTTTCAAAGTTGAAGCCACCGCTACAGTCGTGTTTTAAACATGAGGGCCTAAATGTTATATCACGTTATGGCGACGTGTTTGATGTTATGGGGATAATACGACTTCACCTCCTGCTCTGCTCTCCCTGCACTGTGAAGCACTGGAAGCATACAACTCATAAACCATTCGCTTACACTTGCTCAGCTCAGCTCTTACAGGCCTGCTGCTTCTCATGCCTCATCACCTTCAAGGTTGTCTCGCAAATTGTCTCGCCTGGGCCACACAAGTCTTATCCTGTCTCCTCTGGTAGGCCTTCGCATTCGTCACCAGCAATTCTGACGAAATTCACGATTTTGTCGCAGCCTGTATAGAAAAATATCTTGTGGCCTATACACTTTCAAGTCCGATATTCGGGACGACGAAAAGGAAAGCACATTGATAATAGGGTACGATGCTCCCTCCTTTTTGGGGCATGGACGTATGCTCACGATATATTTAAAGTTCTCGGAGCGGAATACTAGACTTGTGAGCCCGCCCTCTTTTGCCTTGTCCTAAGGCTACAACTATCGTACCTTGGTATAGACCGCCCTCGCGTCTATTTGCTCTTGTTTTCGGAGTCAACGACTACCAACACCATGGCATCAAGAACCTGCGCGGCGCCGTTCTTGATGCCAACAGAGTGGTCAGCTTTTTACGGACGCGCGTACCTGGGGACCGCATTATTAATCTTCGAGACAAAGAGGCTAATCGCCAGAATATTGTAGCGGAGCTTCACTCACTTGCCACGAACCCCGCCATCGAGTACGGTGATCCCATTCTCATCTTTTATGCTGGACATGGAGCGCAGGCTATTCCTCCTGAGGGGTGGCCAGCGGGTGGAGGATCGGATCCACGCATTGAGATGCTTTGCCCGTATGATTTCTCTCCAGAGCTCAATGCTCCTACGAACCGCCGGGGAATTCTTGACATCACCCTTGCTGTCATACTCAATGGAATCGCCGAGACTAAAGGGAACAATATCGTCAGTATTGTTTGTCTGCCCTTCGATATTTACGAAGCTAAACAGGGTCCCTTCGTAAGACGGTCGTTCTTGACAGCTGCTACGCCGGCTCGGGAACCAGATGCCATGACGACAACTCGCAGAGTATGATACGCAGCGTGGAACTCCCCAAAGACTACGCTGTCTGGCCGGCCATTCATGACGACGTATTGTGGCAAGGCGGTTCACGCGCTGAACGAATAGTTGAGGGATTTGATCGATCGGGTTCACGGTCTCACGTCCTGCTGGCAGCTTGTAAGGCAGGTCAGCAAAGTGCGGAGGATGCTAGTGGTGGTCTGTTCACAAGAGCTCTGCTCGAAGTTCTTCAAGACTGTGATGCAGCGAAAATCACATACGAAGAGCTCATTTCTAGTCTTCCGTATATCCCCGGGTAAGTGCATCGCTTTACGCGGTAAATTGAACGTTACACAACTAACGGCTGTCATGGACGCCAACACCACTCATCTATGCATACAGCCAGGACCCTCAATGCGCAGGGGCTCACCGGTCCAGATTGTTGTTCACTACCGAGGAGTCCAGTTTGGACCATTTCCACACTGTTGTAAAGACAGACAGCGGGTCCTACGAGCTGAACATCGGAGAGGCTTCTGGAGTGATGACCGACGCAGAGTTCACTGTGTGTACTGATCGAAGTCTCAGTTCACATTTTGCTGTTTTTGTTGTTACATCTCTCACTGAGTTCACCGCTGAGATGAAAGTCGCCCCCCACTCTACCGACGCTACCTTCCCGTCGTCTGGTGTAGCATATGCGATACAAACCCGAAGGGGGCTGGGGTTACACCTAAGGGTGTCGATACCTGAGAACCCGCTTCTCGCAAGTATCAGAAACCAACTCATTACCGAGGGCTCTCGCGAACGCAAGGTTGCTCTTGTCGAAGCATGCGCATGCCCACCCCCTGACATAACTTTGTTGCCAAAGGAAGATGGTGCAGTCTTCTTCGAGCTCAGAGACAAGACATGTCGTGCTGCTGGACTCACGCAGTGCTATCATGCGGTTCGGTGTGGAGTTCCAAAAGCCTCAGCTACCGACGAAACACCCGACGACGCCATCTTCACCCAAAAGGTTGTCGACATCATCTATATGATTGCTGATTTCTATTGGCAACTCGCTCTCGCTCCGGATAAAAACCGTCTTCTACGACACAAGGAAGGACATCGAGAGGAAATGATTCGTCTGGAATGCTTCGAGCTTGACGATACTTGGGATAGCAAGCGCCTCGTACGGTTCTCGCGGGAAAAGGACGCAAATAATAATCTCATCGCCGATGGAGTATTAAACGTGGCTGTCGCAGAGAACAAAACGCTTGGGTTCAAGGTCGTCAACGAGACTGAGATTCCTCTCTTCGCTGCTCTGTTCTATTTTGATATGAGCGATCTCAGCATCGGTAAGCGACAGTTTATAATATATGTAAGAAACATTCCTGACTTGCGGCATTCCACCTTACCTGGGACGCAACAGTGCCATACTACGAGCCCAACACAGCCAACGGCTATGATGCAGACTACTCCATCGCCCCACAAGGCGAACTCACCGTTGGTTATGGCGCAGGTGGTGGGCAGCCGCACAGGTTCTTTCTGCGAAGTGGCCAGACGGTCGACGTCGGATACCTGAAGCTTTTTCTAGCGACAAAGTGGGTGGATTTTTCGAGGATAAAGCAATCCTCCCCCTTTTTTTCCGTTGATCGTGCTGCCAAGCAGCGAATCTCAGAGAGACCCGCACTATGGGGTACAATCTGCGTTCCTGTAATCCAGCGAGAATGATTTGACAACGATGTCATAAGTACTATAATTCGATTGCGTGAGCACTGGTTTATTTCATGTTGCATTTTCTACGTTGAACTCGATACTGATAGAGTAGTCAGTGGTATCTGGCGAATTCGTAGCGGTCTTCATAATACATTCAGTTCTAGGCACGAATATGATGTGGTCCTCGTGAGATTATGCTATCTCAATTGTACCCTGAATGCATCTCCTTACCTCCTCTCCGTCCCACAGAACACATATTACACCATTCGTCTAGAATAGTAATACAATGACTGAGATTACAGAGCTTACAAGCGACGGGGGTAACAAGACTACTTCCTTAAGTATATCACATCGTCTGAACGAAACGTATGGTATGTGTCTGCCATGTACTTATTACCATATCCTTCGCAGGAATGGTCCTTCCGACGCGAGCATCCTTATTAAAAGGTGACGTTTGTGCAATGTCCGCAAAAGATCCAACGTATGTCGAAGAATAAAACAGCTTCAAGAATGCGACTTCCTGGGCCTGGCCTGCCCGCAGAGCGTATCGACGAGGACGGCCGTCTCCAGCGCCGTAGCCAATGGTGAGCTCTTTACCGGCTTTAATTGAGTGGTCTGGGTGATGGTTTATCGAATCCGAAGTCGAATTTGGATGGTAGTATGATACTGTAGTCCAATTCAAGCAGACGTAAGATACAATAGTGTGGACCAAAATAGCGTATGAGTGGCTCACGAATGCTGAGATTGCTCATGTCGAAGTAGAACAAGGCAACGTAGAGTGGAATATCGGTCCCGTTGACGATCTTGAACCCGAGTGCGTGCTTTTTCGCAACGGATACGTTCAATTTGCGGTTCTTGATAAGATTGGTTTTTGGTTCCTTCTCTCGCGAGAATCTCCTGAGACTGGGCCCGTCCGGCTCTTCATCAAGATCGAAGCACTCCAGTCGAACAGATGCTGACATGGATTGATCAAAGTGGGTTGGTTCGTGAGAGAGGTGGAAATAAAAGTTTGCCGCGCTCGAAATGACACCAAATACTCTGTCGGCGAAGCGGATGTTGGCAGAGTCTTCGTCGTCAAATACGTCGTCGAACGTGTCGTCATCACATTTGGAGGTTTCAGAGGTGTTGCGGCAGCGGACTCGGTATTGCAGCCGTGCAGAGGTTTTTCTGGGGTGGATGTCGGAGGTGCATCGCTGGATCTTGTAGTACAGGGTTTTCATATTCTCGCTCCAGATGGAGTTCTTGATCTCGAAGGCAACCGTATCGTCTCCATCCATCACCAACCTCATATCAGGAAGGACCCTGAGCCTCCCATTCGAATGCGCATCGTTGACTAGAGCGCTGACTCTGGTCAGGAGAGGCTTCCCTGGAGGAATAACTAGCTTCAAGCTCTCCGCCGAACCTTGTCCGTGAATTTGCCGAGCATAGGCCACTCCAGACGGAGGGAGGTGGAAATCCGAATAGCCGTCTGTGGGCTTCAAGTCAGCGGAGTCGTGGGTGGTTTTTATGACGGTGAGGATGGCAAGAAGTTGTGTTTCGATACTTTTGCTGCCGTAGACATGGAAGCGAGCAGTGGTATTGATTCCAGAAGCCTCGCCAGCATTCAGGTGAAATATCCCGTCGTGTTCTGACGTCGTGACCTCGAAAAGTATGGAAGAATTGAGGGTTCTGAGACTGAATATGATTCTGTTCTGGTGGGCGCCCATACACTGAGGGGTCTGTCTGTATAAGGCAAAAGGCAGTGTGGCCATGAGTTTAGAGTTATACATAGCCCATCAAATGAATGGGTTTGCCTACCCGCCGATATGGGACATTTCACGTATGAGATTTTTATACGTGAGTCTGTTCACGTTATCAGCTTCTACTGCTTTGAAGAGAGCTTCGAAGAGAGCTTTCGAAAACACTCCGCGTCCGTTCTCCTCCCGGCTGATCTCAGAGGCTCCGCTAGCTGTTAAAACGGTGCAAGACCCAAACCCTGAATACTTGGGATCGTAGTCTTTATGGTGGGTACGGAGAATGCTATTAGGCTCCGTTCCAGCAACGTCGAGCTCAACTCCGTCCTGCTGAGGGGGTAGGGAACCAGGGTGGATGACATAATCCTGGGCGACATGAACACCACGGATTGAGGAATACTCTTGTCCGTGCCGAGTTCCCCCACCGGAATAGCAGCAATCCAAAATAATGGTCTTATTCAAGTCAAATGAATGATCCCTCGTCGTTATACCACGCATGAAAGGCACTCACTATGTTATTGCCTTTAACACGAGCAATATCATTGATCAGGTCAGCTAAGGTCCAGTCCGAAATCCCTTGACTTTCCGTGTCGTTGTTCTGCTTGAAATGGAAATCATACGGGCAAAGCGACTCGATTTTTCTCCCCGTGTTCCGTTCCGGAGGAGGTAATGCTGTCATCCCATGTCCAGCGAAAAAGAAAAGAATAGGGTCATTCTTCTGGATGTCTTTGTTCTTCGCAAGAGATCTGAGTGCCTTCAAGATGGCCCTCCGAGTTGCTTTTGCATCCGGAAGGAAACAAATATGTTCGTGAGGAACCCCAAGTTTCGCAAGAAAGTCCCGAGCATCGTTTGCATCAGCGACGGCACCACGCAAGTGGGTGAGGCATTTGTACTGGTCGATTCCAATTATGAGAGCAAACAGATTCGACGGTAGACTGGTCCAGATGCAGCTGAGTGAGCCTGGCTACGACTGAAATAAATGTTGCTACCCACAAGGCACTATCGTTTCCGTCAAGCCTGTGACATTATATCAGCTTTATTCCGAGGGAAATAGCAACATTACTGACGCAGATTGTGCATTTTTTGACTTCTTTGAGATGGAGAACCATGACCATGCCATGTCGTACAACGAAGACGCAGTGCGATGGAGAAGAGTAAGAAAGCGGTACATGGCAAGTATAGGAATGGAAGAGAACGCTAATTTGACTTGAGCTGGAACCCTAGACAGCTTCTGCCTCGCCCTCAAGGCGTGACAGTGGTGGCATCCGACAATTAATAGGTCCCGGGTCTTGCTCAGTGCGACTAATCAACACCAGATGGAATGTCGAAACTTGTGTCTCAAAATACCATGGTCTCATCAGATCTTCTGGAAGAACCAGTGCATGGGCTGGGACAGGCGATGGGCGATGGGCCGGCCAATCACATCGCTATCTTGTCGCACTCACGAAGTCCTGTTAAATTACCTTGCTTGCAATCTCTCCCACCCCGGTAATTGTGGCTGAACGACTTTATACCATACAAAGCCAAATAGTTTGCGTAAGCTTTTCTCACATTTATGTGGCACCCTCACTTGCCCCTCACCCAGCACAATCGCGCACTTCATTACAGAGTTTTGCATAATAGCTGTCGTGCTCTCCCTTTTATCCTGCGAGGGTGTGGGGCTGCCTTTCGTAAACACTCCAACGGAGGCCGCTGGACGGCAGGCTCGGCGGTGGCCCTCGCCACTCGTTCAAACACCTCAGTCTCCTTATTCTTGGCCTCCGGTTTACATCGGGCTTGCATTGAGATCATCGGAGACGCACATACGAATATTCACGAAAATATTTGAATTGTTTTGTCGGTATTTGGGTCTTGGGGATGGTTCGTGGCCTGCCTGAAGCCGTCCTGTCGTAGAAGCCGCACACAAAGCGACGTGGTTGACGCTCGTGGGGCCCGGCCCCACACCCTTGCGCGAAAAACGAGAGTACGACAACTAATATGCAAAACTCTATTTCCACCAGCACGACGGAGCACTTTCTATCTACTCTGGTTATACAATTTTTGTACATGCCCTGCATGTTCTGGGATAGTATGTTCGATATCTGCACGTACATCATACTCAGGCCTGCAAGGCCATCGACGCCACACTGACAAAATTGCCACTGCAAATAAAGCTCACAGAATTCGGATTGATCAGGCCAGATATATCCTTGTCAGAAAAGGTCTTTCAAGCAAGATCAGTGCCACAGCATGTGGAGCTTCCTTAGTCTTGAGTAGGCGAAGTAATGTACTGGGTACTATATTTTCTGGCATGCATGTTTTGCTGTTACGAATGAAGGTACTTAGGAGTTATATAGGAAGACCGAACTTTGGTAGTCACCTCGAAATTGCTAGGGGAGCTCACAACCATCATGCATCATGCTAGCTCCTAATGGACATGTTCAGCAGTCGTGGGACAAGCAAACAACAGCATGGTCAAAGCATGTGCCGCTTTCAAAGTTCAGCACCCGCAATGCAGCGTGACGAGGAAATAAGTATAGCGATCGCAAGATATCGCTAGGGTGTTGAGAACACGACTAACTCCGAGTCACCCTACCGGGAGACTTGGAACACCGCCTCGACACGAGACTTGACCAACGCGCAAGGGGGCACGCACAAGCCTACTTTTGACTAGCAAAAACTTCATAGCATAGAGAACAACACATTTTGAGCGACACAGTGGACATTACCAGATTTATACCGACATGAACGTCGGGCGATAATACCTCATCACACTGGACCACTGAACCCCCCAGTCAATCGACAAGACTATCTGACACCACCCACTTTCGCCTTCCCCTCCTCCTTAACTAAATGCGCCAACACCCCCTGCTCAATTGTAACCTCCCAAAGCTCCACCTTCGCCCTCTCCAACTCCTTCTCGAGCTCCTTACGCCTCTCCTTCGCCCTCTTGATAATATCCGCCTTCTTCGACTTTGCACTCGCCGACTTTGCCGCCGTTGTCGAAGTGGTTGTGGTCGGCCCAATGGAAGAGGGGTTCCTCGCCCCGCTTGCGTTTGCAGGATGCGCGGGATGTGTGGTAAGCGATGCGGAGGAGGTAGAAGCTGGGATCTCGGGATGTTGCGCGTACAGAGGCGGGTACTGTGGTTGATGACGCGGATCGAGCACGGTAGCAAGAAGAGAAGTGGACGTAAGACCCGGCGGCGGAATATGCGACGGGTGTGGGTAGGCGTAGGCATACGCATGTTGGGAAGGGTGTGGATACGGATATGCGTACGCGTACGGGTATGGCGCGGGCGTGGTCGGCATTGACATTGTCGAGGGTGAGTATGGGGTCCCGGGGCCGGGGAGGAAGTATGGTGGGTGCTGTGGGTATGGTTGTGGCTGGGATGATCCTACAGGTGCGGATGCGGGTATCGGTGCTTGAGACTGACTGCTTGCTTGTGGTTGCTGCTGCTGAGACGACGACCCCCCACCCTCCCTACCCACACCCACCTCCCTATTCTCCATAATCGCCCTCTCACCTAAACCCATTCCAGATCCAAAACTCATCAACGCTCCGTCCACCCTCGGCCCCGTAGAATGAAAGCGACTCGACGTAGACGCACCTAATTGCGAGAACTGCCCGAACCCCTCCCCTCTCACGATCTGAATCTCCGACTCTACACCACTCATCAGCTCATCCCATCTAGGCGTCTCGGGGTCCATCGAATCAGGGAGTGAGATCGTTGATGCCATGGGTGACTGGCTCTGACTCTGACTCTGGCTTTGGGATTGTGTCGTCGGAGGCATCGCAGTTTGTGACTGGCCTTGCGGGTTTGACGTATTGGGATTGGGGTTGGGAGTGGAGAAGCCGAGGCCGTGATTGGAGCCAGGTTGAGAGATGGCGAGTAAGAAGGGATCGATCATGGACATTATGTCGTCAAAGTCGTTAGAAGGTGCAGGCGCGTTAGAGTTGGACTGGACGTGAGCTGGAGTCGTGGCCGGTGCTGGTACTGATGCTCGAGCTGAAGCTGAAGCTATGGTGGTCGGTGACGGCTGTTGGCCCACATCCATGGGCACGGGCACGGGCACGTCCGTCGGCGACTGCACATCCGGATTCGTACTCGTACTCGAATTCGGATCGAACGAGAACGTATCGTCCTGCAACATCGAGATAAAAGCTTCCAGATCGGGATCAAGAGACGCAGAAAAGTCCATATCGTCGAACGAAGTCGAGGTCGTGAGATCATTAGTGGCGGGAGCATCGTCGGTAGGGAAGGCAAGGGAGGGATCAGGAGCAGGAGCGGATGTCATATCCGCCATTAAAGATTGCATGAAATCATCGAAGGCTTTCTGGTCGAGGTTTTGTTCCGAGGTTGTAGGATTCGAAGGCACAGGCTCCGTCTGTGGTGCGACGGATTGTGGCGTAGGAGGTTCGGACGCAGGCGTGGATATGGACGTGATGGCCTGTGACGTATCGGCGGCGCTCGACACATTACTCGCGTTCATGACGTTCGTGGTCTCCTCCCTAGCTTGCGGCTGGGGCACCGGCACCTGCTTCGTCGTATGAGGCGGCTGCGTCCTCGCCAGCATCCTCGCCACCGGACTCATCCCCGCATGCATCGAAGGCACATTACTCGTCCTACTCCCCATCGCATACCACGCCTGCATCCTCTCTCTAAAAAACGTCCTCGTAGCCGCACTCCTCGTTGCCCCTCTCACCAGCCCGACCAACTGACTCAACAACTGCCTCAACCGATTCTTCTCCCACTTCGCTCTGTACTCCTCCGGGCCCTCGCCGTCCGCGAAAGGGTACGGGACGTCCCAGTCGGCCGCACCTGCCGGTACGCGGTTCAATTTTCTGCGTTTCAGCGCTGGGCCACTATTGTCGGGATGGAACGCTGAAGATGGAGGTGGGGGTGGATATGGGCGGGCGAAGAACGCTGAGGGAGGTGGGGGCGGGGGCGGTGGGAGCGTGTTGCCGTGCGAAAGCATCCTCAACAACGATTCGAGCACAGGAAATATATTCTGCTGCTTCACTAACGACGCGACGATCTCCTCACTCGGTGGTTCGGGGAGACTTTCCGGCTGAACGACGAAGCTTCGTTGGCCTATGGGCGGCGGATCATACTCTTCGACGACGATGGGGTGGTCTGGCGTCGCGCCTCGATCTTGGTCGCGCTCGCGCTCGCGATGTCGTTTCGAGAGGTGGGACGGTTTTACACCGGCGACGAGGCCAGCGAGACCGAGAAGGGCTTGGGAGTTGCGGAGGAAGTTGGGCGGTGGCGGTTCGTCTGGATTTGGAAGAGGGATTTCAGGTGGAGGTGGACGTGGTGTGGAGGACCGCGAGGCTCGGGCTTTTCCCTTGTCTTTCTTGGCCTTTTGAGCGTTGTTGTTTACAGGCCTCGACCTGTTCAATGGCGGTGGCGGTGGTATTGGACGGTGAGCAGGTGCCGTCCAGGTTGATGCGGTGGGCTGGCTGCTCAGAAGCAAAGCTGCCGGAGTGGATGCAAGTTCAGAATAAGACTGGGAACCAGGAAGTGCAATGGTCCCCACGTTGTTGTGCTTTTCCGAATCTGCGGCTATGCTGCTTCCTGTGGTCGGAAGAGCCAGCTGGGGTGAAGGCGACCTACCTCTGGCCGGTGAAGGCGGAGGGGAGCCGAAGAGAGAGTCTTCATCGTCCGGGGCGGGAGTTGTCATGTACTGGGTGTGGGAGAAGGACTGAGAGATGGGATGTGATAGGCGATCGGTAATTCTCACCTGGAAAATCCAGCTTGGAGACTTTTTAGAGCGCCAGGATCTACAAAAATGTGAATGGTCAGTTTGGATTGCGTACAAGGAAGTTTCACTGGCTGCCTCACACCCAATCAGAATGAGTATATGGGTTGAAATCATGTGGTAAAACGCGTCCAAAAGTTGACACGCTTTTCTAGCCATGAGGACAGTGCGGCACTTTCTTCTCAAACACGTCTACTTTCCTCGCAAAAAGATGTGAGTGGCGGCCATATCTCACAATATCCTGAACACTCGTATGACACAAGACGAAATTCCAATTCCGGACAAGAATTGAAAAAGCAGCCCCACGGACTCCACTCTCGTCTGGCAACACAAAGCGGTGTGCTCGCAAAAAAAAAGCTGTGAGACAGCCAGTGTAATCTTAAAGGGGGGAAAGCTAGCGCAGCGAGCGAAAAGACTTACGAAAAAGGGAGCCGAGCTCGACGATGGCGATGAGCCTGCGGTGGTGGAAGGAAGAAAAGCGGGTCTGGAGAATGCCGCGAGCAGAGTGTTCTGTTCTCAGCCATGACGCCGACGCTGCCCTCGACATCGGCCAGGCCACATCCTCAGCTCAACATCCCCCAAGGCGCACGTCGCCCAGAGATCGTCAGCCCACAGCGGACGTCGTGGGCATCGTACTCCTTCGAGCTGAACGGCCAGGCTCACGACTCGTCCGACACTTTCTATCAATCCACCGATGATTATGACCACACGACCCCAGTCAACAGACTGCCTATAGCTAGCCCTGAACAGGACTCGTCAAGACTATACACGAATATTTATTATCCAGACGCACAGCGACCACGCTCGACGAGTTCCTTCTCGCCGCAGAACGCGGTCTATGCTTTCCCGGAGCCACACATTCAGCATACTCCATCTGTGCAGGCTTCGCCAGGTCCCTATGGCGGACGGCCATCCATACAAGGGCATCGACAATCGAAGAGCGATGTCGGGCCCATACCTCCAGCAGACTCTTCTCCCTACTCGTCTGTCGCAAGCTTCAGCAGCTCTAGTTTTGCACCCGATGTGCGTCATTCTGCCTGCTCCTTGGGCCACACTATCTTGACTGTCACCATTTGCTTTCCTTCAGCCATCTACGGAAGCTACATCGGAAGAGTTAGGTGCTGTTAGGTATGTGTACAATATTCTGTTATCGTCTTTTGCGGTGGTAGAGGATAGTGGCGAGAGTGTGGCCCATGGTGTGTCTCCCCTCACAATGTTGGGACGAGGGCTATTCTTCTTAATTCGACCAAGCGATGGCCTTGAGGGTCTAATTTTCTGATACTATTGCGAAAATCCGGCTGAGGAGGACATGTCCTCAGCACCCACGGACACGCCTCCCCCTATCTGGGCCACACCGAACATGTGGCCCACTGCAATGCCTTATGTTCTTCAGCTGATACTGTATTGCACCAGTCTCGAATCCGAAGAAGGCCTCCGCCAATTCCAAGCTGGTCGTGTCCCAGAGAAAGATCAGTCGTGGTATCGTTTCGTACCCCCACAAGCCCAAGAAGCCCTTGGCAAGCACGAAGTTGAACGACAGTCTGCGATGTTCGAGGTATTCACCGCAGAGAAAGATTATGTCGATGACCTGGCGCTGGTCAAGGAGGTAATAACTCGTCATGGGCGATCTAGGAGCGTGTGGTACCCAGAAGCTGACCATGGGTTTGACAGGTATTCATAGACGGACTCAAGAATGCACGACCACCTGTGATCGAACCTCGAGAACGGCTGAAAGGTTTTATCAAAGAGGTCTTCGGTAATCTCCCCTCCATCCTTACGCATCACGAACGCATGCTCGGCTCTCTATTCGCCCGTCAGCGCGACCAACATCCTCTCATCCAATCCATAGCAGACATCGTTCTCGACAGTACGCATGCATATCTCTTCTTTCCCTCCTTTCCCCCTCTTCTCTTCATTCGCATCTTTTTGCCCCTGTCATTATCTTACGTACGCATTGCGCTTCCTTCCCTCCAGATGCCCTCCTCTTCATGCCCGAATACGAAACCTATATCAAACACTCCCCCATCGCCCTCGAACATCACCGCAAAGAACTCAAGCGCAGCCCACACTACGAAGGTTTCCTTCACCGCTGCTTCTCCGACCCGCGCCTCCGCAAACGCGACCTCAAAACCTTACTCTCCCGTCCCATCACACGACTTCCGCGCCTCAGACTGCTGTTGGAGAGGATAATGAAAGTGACGGAGGTGGACCATCCGGATATGGAGGAGATCCCGCTCGTGTTGAGTGTTCTTGGCGATTTGATTAAGAGCACACAGCCCGGGATTGAGGTTGCGGAGAGTAAGGTGAAGTTTTGGGATATTTCGGAGAGTTTGGTGTATTCGAAGGGAGAGATCATCGTACGTCGCTGCATAGCCCATCCTTCCTTCCTGTATAAGTCGCAGCGCTCATTGATATGAGTAGGATATGGATCTGTACGACGATAGTCGGACGTTGATCCATTCGGGGCCCGTGGCGCGCAGAGTGGGGGATAGCTGGCATAATTGGAATGATCTCCTTTTCGCTCTGTTCGACAATTATCGTGGGTGACGTGACTCTCCTCGGCTTTTATCCAGCTCACGAAATTGCTATATGATAGTATTGATCCTCAAGGAGGAAATCCGACCGACAGGAACGATCAAGCGGCTCGTCGTCTCTCGCGTAAGCACTCTCATCCACAACTCCATCGACCTCAAATCTTACTCTGTGTATCCTTTATTCACATCTCTCGTCCCACTAGCCCATCCCCGTCGAATACCTCCGCCTAGGCTCTTTCTCCGACCCCTCAACCACCCGCTCCAGACGCCCAGACTCTAGCTCCGTCGGTGTCGGTGGATCCTTCCTCGCCAGCATATCAGGGAGCTCCAACAGGCAGGAAATATACCCGTTCACGGTCTGGCACGCGGCTGCGCGGACTACGAGGAGGTATACGGTTTATGTGGGGAGCGAGGGCGCGAGGAGGAGGTGGAGGGATGCGTTGGTGGATGCGGTCGGCATTCGGAAGGTTAGAGGGGAGTCAAATATGGTGAGTGTTGAGTGTACGATCGGTTCATTCCTTGAGGGTGGACGGTGGTACTGACTGAGAGGTTGGGTGCGGGTTCGTAGGTGTTCGCGCCGCAGGTCGTGAATGATGGGTTTTTCAGGGTCATTTCGTTGAGAGTGGCCGCGCAACCGGGGACGTTCTTCACCGGACGGGTGAGCTGTGCCGCTCATTTTCGTACGTCGTCTTTTCTTAAACGCCCGGACTTCACTTCATCGAGTTCGCTAACGTTCGCTGTAGATAGCGGTGGGCGAAGTTTCATAGTCGTCGGCGCGGCCAACGGTATCTTCGTCGGTCTATTTGGCTCATCCAGTGCGTTACACATTCTCTCCCACGTTCTTTATCCCCTATGGCTAATTACCCCACGAAATGGTAATGGCAAAAAAAAAGCCTACCGCAAAGCGCTCCCCTTCCCCTCCGTCCCCTCCATGTTCGCCCTACAAGACTTCAACCGCCTCCTCCTACACGTCGATGCCCAACTCCTCTCCCTCCCTCTCTCTCTCCTCGCCCAAGTCGCCCTCTCCAATATCGACGAAACCGCGCCCACGTCCTCGCTCACGAAACGCCTCGAGCGCGTGGCGGGCAACGAGGGGAAGATCATGTTTGTGAGGGTCGGGGCGATCAGCGCACGGACGGTCGTTGTCTATGCGATTAAGAGCTTTTTGCAGGTTACGGTGTTTGCACTGGAGCCGGTGAAGGGGCCGGAGATGGAGATGGGGATGGGGTTGACGACGAGTGCGAGTGCTGGTGCGAAGGGGGGCGGGCAGGCGAGGGGAAGGGGCGGGTTCAGGTCTTTTGGATCGGTGAGTCCTTTGAGAGATCACGAAATTATCGACGTTAGGGTGCTGTGCTCATTCTTATTTGTGTGATTCAAACTGTTTTCAGCCTCAGTCGTTCGTAGCGCCGAGAGACGCGTATGACGTCGTGTTTCTGTCGAAGAATATCGGAGTGTGCACGGAGAAAGGCATCATCATCGTGCACCCGACAAAGTACGTACCACCACCTTTCTTCCCATGCTTTGTCCTCTCCTCTCTACCTGATCCTTGCTTACGGTTCGTACACTGCAGTTTCTCGAGCACGCAGAATACTATCGTACCTGACTTTACCGACGCACCGATGAACATGCCGATGAACACGCTTAAGAGCAGGGCGGACAAGTCTAGAGTGCTCGGACTCGTCAAATCGGACACGGCGGAGCTTTTGGTCATTTACGAAGGTACGTTTGTTTCCCTTTCCCTTTCTCCCTCCTCTTCCCCCTCCCTTCTCTCCCTCATTACTCGCTACGTAATCCACTCGCGTCTACTCTGCTAATCCCCTCGCGTCCTGACTGTCGTTTGCCCTATTTATGCGTACAGACATCGGCTGCTATATCACCAAACACGGCGAACCCGCCCGTCGCTCGGGCTACATCCGCTGGGAATCCAAGGTCTCGCACTACGCCCTCCGGGACGGTCACCTCCTCCTCTTCTCCTCAGACTTCATCGAGATCCGTCATCTCGTCTCTGGAAGGTTGGTCCAAGTGATGGAGGGGAAGGAGATCCGGTTGTTGAACGCCGGTGCTCCCACAAGAGAGAAGGAGTCGTCGAAGGTGAAGGAGGAGCCGTTGTTGGTGGCGATGAAGGGAGAGAAGGACGATAGGCTGGGGACGAGCGAGAAGGTGGTGGAAGTGGTGATGACAAGGGAGATCATGCGGACGCCGACGCCGGCGGGCGGGAATGCGGAGGTGTATTGGGATGATTGGGATGTTGTTTGAGGTGGATTGGGTGGTGAGAGGCGCGTGCGTCGTTGTGGTAGAAGAGGCGAGCTTGCGAGGTTTGTCGTCATTGTCTGTGGTTCGGTCTATCTAGGATTTGATCTTTGGCGAAATTTTCTCAGTTGTTGCCCTGAATATCTGATTGGACGGCGGACAGAACGAATCGCTCTGACGTACGTGTACGTGTACTGTACCCTGAATCCTCACCGTTGTGCGTAGATCTAAGACTGCTGAAACATCCCTAGCTCAGGACCTGCCTGTATCAATCTTGATTTCTTACCTCTTCTCCTCCTATATTTGTGTTCTCTTTCTTTGTATACCTACCTCACCCTCGATCATGACACGCCGTGTTCTACAATCTTCTCTATGCACTGTACAGTCTTTGGCAACAGGCATGCTAGCCGGTACGATTACTTTTATTAACCTTAAATAAATGTATTGCTTTTTCCCTCTTCTCGTCAATGGCAATCAGTGTCCCCATAGTGCTGGTTGCTGGAGCTTGTTTCCTATATGGTCTGCGTGCCCTAAACTGTGATCCGTATTTATACGTTACCTTGCTTCAAGGTTTTTTGCATCCCCTGAAGTCTAGCTGCGTGCTCGAGACGACCAGTCGCGTGGGTCATTCGTCTCCTGCGCCTGCCACGCAGAACGTCGAGCCGCACGGCTCACAGCTCACATTCTCGGGATCGTGGGTCTTGTATAAATATTAGAAGTACACGAAAAATTATCCGGAAGAAGACGATACCAAAGAAGGATGAGATCAGTGATCACTTCGGTGTGTCCGCAACCCTCACGACCATTTTAGCCCCACTGATCTTCTTAGCCATCAACCTCGCAAATCCTTCCGGGAGGCCGCTCAACCCTCCTGGAAGCACCTCGACCTTACTCGGCTTGATGTCACCGTCTCTCAACATCGTCTCCAGCGCGGTGTACAAGCTCTTCCCAAGCTGCACATCTCCTCCCACTTCATCACTGTGCACACTTCCAAAAACGGTGATGACCCTCCTTCCGTCTTTGTCCTCGACACCGGGTTCTCCTATATTTTTGGAGGTAATAGGGCTTGCGACGACCAACTTCCCACCCGGGGCGAGAATGGACCAGCAAGTGGTTTGTGAGGCCTCAGCGCTTATGGCATCGTAGATGAACTTGATCGGAGCGGTCGTGATGGCAGAGACAGCCTCGACGAAGGCTGGCCCGTAAGGAGTCTTCTGGTAGTCGATGACGTGAGTCGCACCCGCCGTTTCGCAGTACGCTGTGTTGTGGGAGGAGGCGCTGGTGATGATTGGGTTGAATCCTGACATTTTCGCCAGCTGAATTGCTTTGCATTGAAGTACGTCAGCTCGAGTCGGCATAGGTTCTTCAGAGAGGCCAAGCCTGGTTTCAATCACTCACCACACTGACCAACGCCGCTTGCGCCTCCTATAACAATCGCAGGCTCGTTATGATATTTGTTCCTACCACCCTCTACCCAAGGCGCTACGAGACCCGCCCCTCCATGTGGCGTCTTCAGCACCCCGTACATTCCTACGGCTGCGGTGCCGAGGACGAGGGGGATCGTCGAAGCTTCCTCAAATGTCATATTTGCAGGTATCTACCATTAACACCATAAGCAACGGAGAATATACGTCGCAAGACTGATCGTGGCAACTTGCCTTGCAGGACGTTGATGCATGGGCGAGTGCATATTCCTGGAAAGTATGCATATCTGGCTTGAAGTCGCCCGCGAACAAACTGCGCTGCGGTGTCAACCATGATTCAAGCGTGATGGAGAGATACTGCCTACACTCTGTCTCCTTTGGCAAACGCCTTGACATCCTCGCCAACCTCCTCTACGATGCCCGCTGCATCGCACCCGAACATGGCAGGGTAAGATTGAATGAAAAGTCCTGTGAGAGCCATGTATGCGTCGACGGGATTCAAAGCAGTCGCGGAGACCTTGACCAGAATCTGATCTTTGCTCGGCTTAGGAGTTGGGCGTGTACCGACCGTGGGTGGTCCACCCTTCTCTAGAACCAAGAGCGCCTTGTGAACCGAGGAAGTCATGGGGAGGGATCAAGTCGGTGTGCGGATAGAAACGGATGCTGGAGAAAAGAGAGATACAGCTCGGAAGTAAGCTGGGCAGCAGCATGATATATGAAGACATAGATAATGCGTAGTATGTTGCGGCGCTCGGGATGTTGTGTGGATGAGATATCCACAGATCTAAAGCATGTTCAACTGATGAGTCACGGGCCATGAACAGGCTGGGCAACAGGATATCCACATGACTCCGATATCTGTCTGAGTCTTACGATGGAACAACATACATGGCCTAGGGAGCACAAAAAGACAACACGGAATCCAGACTCCTTGTCATCCTCAAGGAGGACACAGGCAACGCTGGCCTTAGTCATTCAACAAAATTAATGGCACGGACCGCTACTACAATTGTCCATCGAAGTCTTCCAATGGATCACTTCAGGACCACACGGGCGCAATCCGTGCGACTGATTCAGAATCTACAGGACAGACGACATCATGACAGCGTAACTGCGACAGCAATGTCCATTGCACTCCCGGGCGCCGTTGAGTAGAACTGTAGATACTCAGTGGTTACCCTATTAATAGCTGCACCGTGAACAGACTGCGGCAACATGAACTTACTGGGAAGGAGAAGTTCACAAGGCCAGTTTCATGATCAAACTATCCTAGGAAACATGGCTGAAAAGTGTATGAAGCTGAGTAGAGTCTTCGAGCTAGAGAGCGACGCGGAGGAGGACTCTCGGCGGCAACTCCGAGTCTTCAAGTTCACCATATACTACGGCCAGTGCCGGATCGTAGTTCAGACTCAGCTCCGCTCTGAACTTAGCTTGGATGTAATGTAAATACTGTATGCAATGTACCATTCCTTTCCTTCCGGTGATGCTATTAATTTGAGACCACATACTGGTATATGCGATTCGCGAGCCCTGCACAGTACACGACCCTGGTTAACATAGACAACACAGCGTACCGTGTCGAAAATCGAATAAGCCCCGCCCCCTTCCGAGCAAGGTTGCAGCTAACGAAGGCAGCGCTACCCCAGTTCTGATATAATCTGCTCCAATGAACGACACTCCTGTCCGACAAAGCCATCGTACGTGGTACACTATACATTCAACAACAGGAAGCAATGCCGTTTACTTCAGGAATCAATAATATATCTGGCCGAACATCTCCTGGAACCGACAACCGATGAGCTCAGAGTCTCGCCCCCGTCAAACCATCGACATGCACGACCCTACGTAACAACGATTAGTACAAGCTCTCCATCAAATTACAAGTTGTGAGAGAGCAAGAGGACGTACAGCTTCCCGGTATTCCCGCCGCTATAAAGCATCGACATCGCCTCCGGCGCCTTATCCAGCCCTTCCACGATCTGATATTTCCGCTTCAGGGAGCCGTCCGCGAGCCAGGATGAGATTTCCTTGACGGCTTCGGGGTAACGGGCGGCGTAGTCGAAGCTGTTATGATGACACAGACAAAAGTAATGGAAGGAAAAGAGGGGAGAGATGAGTGACAGTACATTGACGAGGGTGGGGCTGGAGAGGAGAATGGGCTTACACGATGAATCCTTGGAGTGTGGCGCGCTGCGAGATGAGATTCATGTATGCAGAGAGGCCCTTAGGTTTCTCGGCATCTAACGATGATAAAATCACGGTAAGTATAGGTAAGAAGCGGAAACCAGACCACGTAACCAGCGAGATGGGGCGTGAGGGAGGGAGGGAGGGAGGGAGTGCAAATACGCACTATAATCTGAGATCGCACCGCAGAGAGCGATCCTGGCTCCTTTGTTCAATCTAGTGAGCGCAAAATTGAGGATATCACCACCGACATTGTCGAAGAAGACGTCGAGGAAGCCGACGTGTTTCTTGAAGTCATCGAAGAACGTTGGGCTATAGCGCGTCGCCACATTAACGCCACAACACAGACATTCATATTCAAAGCAAAGTTAGCAAACGACCACAGGTGCGACGGATGGGACAGAGAGAGGTGGTTTGTGGAGTCAGGACCGCACCTCTTATAATTGATCGCCTTATCCACACCTAAATCCTTCTCCAACCACTCACATTTCTCTGCCGACCCCGCAATGGCGATCACTTTCGCACCTTTTCGCTTTCCCATCTGGCAGACGAGGGTGCCAGTGGCACCAGCTGCGCCAGAGACTACGAGAGTCTCTCCAGGTTGGATGCGGCCGACATCGTAGAGACCCTGTCGGTGTAGCGCACGGCGTGTAAGTTTGAAGCAGTTATATGGCGAAGAAGGGGAAGAGCCGTACGAAGTATGCGGTCATTCCTGTATGGTGTTTGTTCCGTTAGTCAATGTTATCACCAGCAGTAAAACAAGTATCCAGCTGTGGCGACTGAAACATACCTGTAAACCCGAGAGGACCAAGGAAGTCGAGTGCTTGTGCACCTGGAGGAATCCTGCCAACGTTGTGCCGATCAGCACCCACCACAAAAAATCATATGCACATGGTTGACTGGGATTTATCTTAGCAGCGACTCACTGGATCTTTCTCGCGTCCTTGTCGCTCACCCTCGCGTATTCCGTCCACCCTAGAACAAACGTAGAGTCAATGACCACCGAAGCTGAGATAGGGGCAAGAGCGCGGCGGACCAGGTGTACAGGCGACGATATCACCCTTGACCAAGTCGCATCCCTCTCCGACTTCGACTACAGTTGCCAACCCCGACGACCTCATAGTCTCTCCGATTTGAACGGGAGGGACGTAGCTCCTCACGTCTTTCAGCCAGCCTCGCATAGCAGCATCTATGTCACGCGCACACAATATCCACAAACGTCCACAAGCGTCCACAACAAGATTGTTGCAACCACCCAGCAGAAACATAGCAGGAACTTTTTAGCTACTCGACTAAACAAAGTTGGAGACAGATGAAGAAACACGCACCAATTGAAAGCCAGTTCACCTTCACCAATACCTGATGCGCACCCGGCTTCAACTCGCTCAACGAAACCTGCTCACGACGGAAGGTCTTTGCATCGATGTCGCCCACAGGGCGTTCAGCGAGAACAATGCGCTTGTATTCCGAGGGCGAGCTCATCTTTAGACGTTTACGAAGGAAATTGTAGGGAGCAGTTGGATGATTCGAGGATTACTTGATGGCGGTGTGGATGTAGAAAGGTTCGGTGACGAAGAGGACCTTGATATAACAGTATCCGTGGGTAGGGTGTACTGCCGGGGGCAAACTCAGAAGATAGATGGACCTCGGTGACTGGTTGGGGAAGATGTCTTGCAAAGCCGGGCAGCGTAAAGGCCGGTGCCGTGCAACAATCATCCTCGCGCCCTAAGTACTCTAAAGCAGATGGAGTCCAAAGCGCCGAATGTCAGTGGACGAAATCGGCGCTGTTTGCTGCCCGATGTTTCGAATTGAACAAAAGAGAAGCCGGATTAGATGGATGATTATAGATGGATTGGGATTGCATGAGCGTAGCGCAAAGACGACGAAGTGTTCGGCGAGCCACTGGCATATCGCTAGGATATCACATGCGATATATTGGCAGGGGTACTGTGGCGCAAGTATGTTCAGACGTGTGGCACAGCTAACTAGCATTCCTTCGGGTCCTCTTGGAGTTCTTCATCCTTCCTTCTGAGTTCACACAAAGTCTAGACAGCCACCTCCACCGACAATCACACCAAAGAAAATGCGAGTATAGCGGTCAGTGATAAATATTTCGGCTCAGCTACCACAAAGTACCACCACCACCAACAAACGACGACAAACGACGCACGAACAAAAAACATCAGCGCAAGCACTGTAAGTGTATGTAACGAGCGAATGCAACGACGATGAAGGGGTGAAGGAAACTAAGAGCAGCATGGGCAAAGGCATGGAACACGGAACACGGAATCATAACGAGTCAACGAATCTTCAGACACGAGAAGCCAGACACGAGAAGAAGGGATTGCATAGGGGCCGGGAACAAAAAGTAGAAAAAAAGAAAAAGTCAAAAAAGGAAAAAAGAAAAAGAGATAGAGGAATGAGAACTTGAAGGGAAAGGCGGACGAGATCAACGAGACGAGGAGGAAGGCACTTCCCGAAGTGTCGTAACGGACGTCACGTATATACATTCAGTCAGTCGTCCACGACCTAACAAGCCTCTGGAACGGGCACATAGAAATCACGATCGAGCCAAAAAGCAACGGGAAGCCACAAACAATGACTGGAGAGGATACGCGGAGCAGGAATGAAGGAATTGAGGGATGCCGAGGGCTGATAGACCCGCGGACTTTTGAAACGTGAAAGAAGGAAACGGAAAAGGCAAGATAAAGGAATTAATAACACAAGAGAAACGACGACGTCGAAGAATTGAAGCCAAAGGCTCCAACGAATGGACGTGCCACGAAAGAAGCCAAAGAAGGAACAAGGAAAATGAAAGGAAGAAGAAAACCCGATCCGGAAACAAGCAGAAGCAGAAACGGACGATGAAGCGAGCAAGTGAGAGAAAGAGACCGCGGACGAGAAAGAGAAAGAGACAAGAGGAGAAAGAAAAGGAACCGAGAACGAGAAATCATGTCGTGGTAGATATCGAATATCGTGTCCGTCGTGTTGTCCAAGTAACAATCTGCATAAGAACGGTGTTCGTCGAAGCTCGTGGCCCAAAGATTTCGAATAATCAAAATCGAGAGCCAACGAGCGGGGGGAGATGGAAGGACAAAAGAAGGTATGACCTCGCCACAACACAGAAAAAGCAGGGCCTATTCCGCGCGGTAACAAGGGTGGTGAAATGAATGGCAGGTAGAAAACGAATGACTCGGGTGGGATGGGTGGGGGATGGAAGATAACCTAACTGTCTAGGCAGCTGGATGATCGACATCGCATAACGTCGCATATTTCGTAAGGCTGCATAAGTAGACTGACCGGCCGACCTGTCCACGAGGGAACAATGTCGGTGGGCGGTCGAAAGTCCATCATGAAGAAGTTGCAAGAGGTGCATAATTTCGAAAGCGAGCCTGTGGTACGTGCGCACGGAAAACGAGTGAGGATAGTCAGTTGCAATTCTGAGTTGAACCCATGGAGAAGGACGATGGAAGTGGGAATAAAACCAAAGAGAAACACTCACGACGATACGATGGTCCTAGTCAGAGACAAGACCGTCAACAAACGAGTGTGACAGCGAAAGGATCGGATTGGTTTGAGAAGCGGGTTGGGTGGGATACGGACACGACCAAGGGTCGATGAGGTGGTGACCGAATGAATGGGGTGGGCGAAGCGAGACGGCTCCAGGAGGGGGAAGCAAGGACGAGACTTGAAAGGAAGAAATGCAAAAAGAAGAAGCAAGATTGAATACAAAAAAAGGACGGGGACGAAACGCAGATTCAAAAAATAGATTAAATGGGGTCAAGTGAGATGAGATGGTCAATCTGTAGATGTATGAGATTCAGATCCGGACCCAGAATCGGGAATCGAAAGAAGACGGATGCGTGAAGTTTCAATGGTACAGATGAGTGATCAATGCAGAAGAAGAAGCAGCCACAGCTAAAATTTGTATACAACAGGGACAGAAATCAAATGAGTCAAATCGTGAATGAATCGACCGTCACCGTTCACGCATTGTAGACGGCGATGGATCGAAGAAACGGAAGCAAAATGGAGCAATGAACGAAACGGGGGAGAAGAATGTATAGGAACAAACAATTGCGGACGATGAGGATTTGTAGAACTCCGACAGCGGAAAGCAAAGCAAAGCACACAGGAGACACAGACAAGCGTACGACGGTGACGGGTGGGGCGGATGGGGCGACGTCAATCAGCAACTGAGGGAAGGTTTCGGAATGCGGGATCATCATGAAAAAATGTATGGATGAATGTATGGGGTGTACGAATGTATGCAAACAATGTGATGATGATGATGCCGAGGCGTGCTTGTGATGACCGTAGTGGTGGATGATGTAGTGTGATGTGACGAAGCGGAAGGTGTACGTATGTATAATCAAACACAGGTAGAGGGAGGAGGTAGATCAACATGTACAAGGGGACATGAGACGAATGAAACATGGCAAAGACGACGGGGCCACGAATAGATATACGACATGACATGATATGAGGCTGAGGCTGGGGCACATATACAGACTGAGATACGAAGACGGGAAACAGAGGAGAGACAGGTTGGATATAGATCACAGATGGGCTGGGTTGTGGACGCATGCGAGGGAAGAGATGGTGTTGAGATACGATGTGGAAGTGTACACGGGTGAGCAAATCGAGGAAGGAGTGGATGAAGGGGCGGGTGGCTCTGCGGGAGTATAGTGCGTGCAGGAGTATGAGCGAAGATGAAAGACAATCAAACGCCAACGGCCATTTCCTCGCCGGCTCCGGCGCGCTGGACCTTCGCGTACTCAAGCGCGTAGAGCGAAGCCTTGAGGAACTTCTTGTTCGCGTACTTCTTCACCACGTATTGCTTCTCGAATCCTTCCTGGTTCAGCTTGTTGATCAAGTGCTGATAGCCAGGCAACAGGTACTCCTCAGTGTAGCCGGAGTAGTGCACGAATCCAGCGTCCTAAAATGGTCAAGCAGCCATGCGGTAAGTAAACGATCAACGACGCGTTCGAGGAGATTGCAAAGACCAAAACAGGAAGGCGAACAAACAACGCGAGGCTGACAGCGTGCACTGCACGTGCTGGGAAAGTTCCATCATGTGCTGAAGCGCGGACGGCCACGCACGAAGCACGACGCAGAGAAGTACAAAAGGGAGGACAGCGGAGTAGAAAGACGAGGCTGCACTCACCCACGGTCCCTGCAACATCCTCCTCGCAGTGTACATCCCAATCGCTGCGACTAGACTTGGCTTGACACCCAAAAAGTTATGATCAAGCAGGGTCACCTCCGTCAAAAACTTGCTCAGCGTCCTCGTCTGCACATCGTAGTCGTCTGCCTTGCTGATCTTCCTCATCCAGCTGTAAGGTGAGCAGTAGTGCGACACCCTGAACTCCAGCGTCTGCAGGATGATGCGCTCGCCCTTGAGGATCTCCTCTCGGGTATAGCCGTTGCCGGTCATGTACACGAACTGCTCCACCGAGGGTGCGATGATCTCCTCGTACTTCGAGGCGATGAACATCGCAGTGACGCCGACGAGCTGCAACTTGATGAGAGACACCACCCGCGAGGTAAGGAATCGGTCGATGATGTTGATTGCGATCCACAGCGTTTCGGGCAGCATGTGGTACCGGATGTGGACCTGCAACAACCAGTCAACCAACGTCTCACGCATCTCCCACGAGATCTCGCCCTGGCCGTCCATATAGTCCGGGTTCGGGAGGATCTGCTCCTGTGATATACGGTGCGTCAGTAAAACATTCTCAGGGATCAATGACAACGAACGTACCTCGAGCTCGTTCATGTACTCGAAAATCTCCTCAGCATACTCGTTGCACATCGTCTCGTCGTGCGACTCTGTCATGTCCTCAAACACATCCCTGATCTGTGTGATCTCTACCTGGTACCTTGACGCAGTGCCTGGCGATACCTCCGGCCAGACATATTGCGGCGCCTCCTCAGGCTGCTGGCATTCGACTTCCTCCATGTCCGAACTTTCGTCGGCCTCCGGCACCTCGACAACCTCCTCCTCATCATCTGCGACATCGATCACATCGATTGTAGCAGGACGCGCGGCCTGCTTCTCCTCGATGACGTCCATTTCACTCTGGGGCACGAGCTCGTCTTGCTCCTCTGCCTCATCTTCATCATCGTCTGGGACGACGATGGGCTCTTCGGTGACTAAGATGCGTTGCGATTGGCGAGAAGGTAAGCCGGCGCGTTTGGGAGCGTTGACGGTAGTGGTAGCATTACGAGTGGCGAGAGTGCGGACGTTGGCGGTGGTCTGAGACTGGCTGATGGCCGTGCGACCGTTGGCGGCGAGAGGAACTCGTTGAGGACCGTTACCAAGTAGGTTGGAGGACCGGCTGCGTTTCACACCAGCATCGATGGCCTCCTTTGCCTTGCCGAGGAGCTTACTCTTTGCCTCCTAAAGATAGGACGAGGTCAGTGATATGATCGAACATGGAACAAGTCAGCCCGACGCCTCTAAGAGGACGATCTGCGCGATCGTGAGCGAGGACAGCTCCCGCGCCTCGTAGGATAAGGGAAGTACCACGGAAATACCTCCCGCAGTGTATATCCATCGGATAACGAAGGTGCCCCGAGCCCACCCCTACCAGCTGACCCGTGACAGAACACACGTTATAATTTCATCCCCGCCCCACTCGCATAACATGAGGTCCCCAAAAACGACAGGAGCGAGTCCGCGACGGGCTTGACATGCGTCGATAAGATGGGGGTAATGGTACGTACCTTCCTATTGACTGCCTTGGTGGTGACCTCGCCCAGGGCAGGACGTTGGTGGCCATTCTTCGCGACGACGGCTAAAGTTGTGTTGCGAGTAGTGCGTGATGTACCGTTGACGGCTGCGTTAGAAGACTGTTGTTGTTTGAGTTTGCTGATGGCGTTCTCGTCTGCATTCTTCGCCCGCTGGGGGCCGCGGGTCGAGCGCATTGCGGGCTGCATGGTCGGTGTCAGCGAGTACGCTCGAGCGATGACCCGAGTAACGGGTGGCGAGATAATGAAGAAGATGCTTACACGTTGAGAATTCATTGTAATTTGTATAGCGAGAAGATATGTATGTACTTGTGTAGTGCGAAAGATGTTTATATTCTTGTGCAACGAATCGAAAAGTCTCGAACTAGCTTGCTGGTGCCGCGATTGGATGCGATTTGAGGATTATTGGCGATGACGGTGGACTTGAAGTGGCTCTTGAGAAGAGAAAGTCTTCGAGTCGCTGAAGGAAGGGGAGGGGAGAGGAAAGCAAAGTGCGTCGAAAGCACGAAAGCAAGAGAAGACGACGGACGACCACTAGAGCGAAACTCGAACCAACGCCCCCGCCAAGACGCGAACTTGGTAAATACGGACAAACAACGCACCTCACGTGACCGCGATTTCTGCTCATCGTCAACGCGCCGACGCGCGTTGACCCTCGCTCCCACTCTCACGCCTGTACGCGTTCTTTTCGATCAACGGTCTCATAGGTATCAGGAGCTTGCTGCCCTTATCTTGACACAGCTCATGCCGCTTGTAGCTGTCCGGTCCGGGCGGTGAGGTGGATGGGCCACTGGGATTCTGAGTCGTCTTGTGCCACTCTCACGCCCAAGTCACCATTCGGTCCGGCTTTATCTCCCTAGCTGGTCAACTTGTCTTCGCCAACAGAGGTCCTGATAGGCGTATGTATCTGGTTGTTTCCGTCGAAGGGCCCTGGGCGCCAGCACCGACATGCCATCGATATGGTGGAAGGCTGTTTCTCGGATCTCCATGGCCTGGCTGGTACAAGAGCATTTGTCTTGGAGCTTATATGTATTTGAAGCAGCGTCGTGCATGCGGACTGCACCCACCCTATTTTCATTCCTACTCTAACTCTGCCAGCTGGTCTGTCGCTCCTTCAAGTTAGAAGATGACTACCACTCCTTTATTTTTCGTCAGAGCGTCTTTGGTCGTCTATCTCATCATCTGTATCGCGGCACTGGCCTTTGGAAGGCGCTGCACGATTCGAAAATCGTTGACCGGTTTGGACGGGGTGGCGAGACGAATTCTATACTTTGGCCCCCAGTACTACATGCGTTCCACTGTGCACGTGAAAGGGGTTGAAATTAATCTCAAGGGGGGTTGAGAACAACTTTCCACCCGTTAAACGGTTTGCGGAGGGTGAAGCCAACGCTGTAGTGAATGCGGGTGAGACCGAGAGCATCAACGTAAGCCGACTTTGGCCTGCCCTAAAGCTCAGCGCCACCGGACAGTGTTGGCACTCGACCGGGGTCAAGTCCCCCGGACACGGGGGGTCAAGTTGAAAAATCTCCGAATTTTGCTCAAACTCTCGATATGAACATCTACAGAGCCGTCATATGAGGCCCCTCCAACAAGAACGGGGGAGATTTCTTTGAAGTTGCAAGCTCGAGGCAGCCGGATGTCGACTTGACCCCCGGTGTCGGGGGGACTTGACCCCGGTCGAGTGCCAACACTGCCACCGGATGCGCTGTCCGTCCGAGCGGCTCGTCGTCGCTTTCAGTCCAACGACGACGTCCTCTTTCCGCGCAGCCACAAGCGGCTGGCTCGACGCTGTATGTTTTTTCTTTTCTGTTTTCTAGATAGCTGATTGCTTGTCCTAGTTGTACCACGGGTGCAGGCTCTCTTTCTGTTGTGGCTCCCTCGACATCGTCCACCCAGTTCGCCCCGTCATCTACATCACCGAGCGATATCGTTATTAACTGACCCTCGTTACTCTAGGTCCCATATATCCAAGCTTAGCCAGGAGGGCTGCCAGTGAAGAGTGCTGTATATGTGCAGGATGGTTGGATTACACTTATCTGTGCGTTACTTTCCTTACTCTGCATCGTTGTCTTTTCGGGCAGCTTCGTACGTGTCAGCACAAGCGAAACGTCTGGCTGTCGTTTCTCAGTGCGCATTGCCATACAAGGAGTTCAAGGTGGTACGTAGCTTCTTGTTGTATTCCGAGTCATCTGGTCTCTATGTTTGGCCCCCATCCACAATGATGTGCATTGACCAACCGGTGTGAATACGTAGGGTCGTTACGGTATGGTTCATCCCTCCTCCTACACACCATCCCCCTATCGTGGCTTACTTTATTCGGTCACCAACACCGTACAGACTCTCAGCACTCCTCCGTTCACTTTGCCACCTTCGGCCAGTCAAGTTTCAGCCGTCAACGTCAGACGAACACAATGGGGGTCAGGGGTGCCGGTGGCGCTGGCGGTGGTGGGTCTGAGGGCATGGTAGTCACGATCGAGTTGGAGACTGTCAGGGAGCCTGATCACGCGGTTGGGCAGACCACAAGGGAGGCAATTAGTTTGTCGATGGTGCTGGTCTTTGTTATCCGTGCTCAACCTCGATTATTGGGCCAGAGTACATGGAACTGTCACTGTATATAGGCTCTGACATGTACCGTAGTTTTGTTTTTGGCAATACAATACCACAATTGAGTAACATATACAGTAGACCGTAGTGTGCGAGCCTTCCAACATATGCTCAGTGACATTTACCGTATGAAGGGGATGATTTCCGCTCAGGATGATGCGAGTGAATTCGGCAATATAAAGGGTGACTATCAATCTCCTTCCTTTATACCGTGAGTCAGCTGAAACTTACCTCATGCAGGTGAACTTTCTATCGGCAAGCGATTGAATGGAATTAGATTTACAGGTTTTCCTTCGGTTGACATTCAACCTTTTCCGAGTGCACAGTGTTCTGGCGTGAGGATAACGTCACGGCGTATTACCTTACTGCAATTGTGACCACCGCTCATGGTATGTGCACGTGGTATACCGTCGAACTCTTCTCATTAATTGACTCTAACTCTAAATTGCAGGCGGAGCGATCAAGTCAATACTCATTTTGCGAGGGTGTCGGTCTGACCTGTACGACTTGGGCCTTGTCTACGCATAGGTTTCAGTCAGCGGATTATGGCTGTGTCGGCACGGGACAACCATACAGATCGAGTTATCCTGGCCTTTCCGCCCTCTCAGTATGCACAAACAATGCCAACAAGACCGTCTCAGCCAGATGCCCCTTGTTTGATGCTTGAAGAGCGACTGTCTCTGATAGGTTGCCTATATGAACAGTTCTCCAGCCAGACGACCCTGCATTCTTCTTTCTCACCACCGTCAGCCGGTCTGCCACAATTCCAAGCCAAGCTATGGCTATCGCTCCTTTACTCCTCGTCAAGGCATCCCTGATCTTCTACATATATATCTACGTCACATCTCTTGCCTCTGGAAGGCACCGATCTCCCATTCCCATGGTCCAGGCGCAGTTCGTCGCCAGACGCGTTCCAAGGAGACGCCTGCGACCTCGACACTCCTTGTCGATTACTGTATGACATGTGTTCGCTTCCTAGTGAGTTGATTCGTACTCTTAATGGTCAGCATCCCGCCTCCGCGCTTTCGATTTGTCAATTATTCCACATCTACGATTCTAACATCTCTCAATAGACCACTTACGGCGTATACCACAGGCCCACTCCATAACCCCTATCCCGATCGCAAGCGCAGCTCCCACCATAGCCTTAATCCACTCCTCTCACCCCATCACTCGTTTCCACGATTTCGGAACGGAACTTTAATACGCCACTTTGCGCAGCGGCCACACTGTCTTTTCAGTCAACGCAAACCATCCTCGACCGCCTTCAAATGCCCTACGTACGCTTGCCGTCTCCCATCGATCGTGTGTATGTAACTTGGCTACGCACGGGTACTTTGGGGTCTGCGATGAACAACTCAAATATATGTGTGGACTGTCTTTACAGTTGGTTGCGCCTCGATGAGTGATAGATATGCAGAACGCGCACGACGATCCTTGTATACGAACAAAATGTGGACGTCCTATTTCAGAGTTGCCATGGTGCTATGTAAAGCACGGCGTAAGTCACCTCCGTCTGCGCGTCTTATTGTATATAGACAGCAGTTGGCCCCGGTCAGAATCCGTGTAAACATCGTAGAGAGAAGAATGCGAGGTGTATCCGTGCAGCAAGGTTGAGTACCCTGATGGTGGGTTCGAGGGGTAGAACTAGGTCTAGTATGCACCAGACGTACGAAGACTCGGACACAGGGTCTCAAGGTCTCAGTTCTCGAAGAGAAGCCAGCATACCGAAGTTCGAAGCACTTTCCTACTACACAGCTGCACGGTACCTACATAACATCGATGGTCTCTGCGCCGGTACTTGGGACAGATACACGTACCGCGTTAGATACGTGTTCAGGAGCTCGAGCTGCTGGAGTATGAGTTGTGTCGATGCCAATTAGGAGAAGCGTGGAACGGGTAGTTCAATTATAATCGGCGCTGTCCTAACTGGTAGCGTCTACTGTAAGTAGTTGCACACTGGTAGGCGTGTCTTCGTTCGGACGCGAAGTTGTTCTGGCGCAAAATTATGAGAAGAGAGCCACTAAGCTTGCAGATCAGGTCGGTCCAGGCAAACGGCAAGTGCGAAAATGATTCAAGCGATACGACAGTGCAAGGAAGCTGTAGAGAAAAAATATATGCATTGGATGCCCCTACAAGACAAGGCTACCGCTATCCGCAGGCCATGCTTTGACGTCTGTTACAGAGTTAACTCGGGCGCCTCGGACGAGTAGTAAGTGGATTCCTTCAACTTGTTGATCGTGGCTCAACCCATGGTCAAAACCCACTCAATTATACCGTGTGGCGCCCTTGATTTGTCGGGAGAGTATGCGAGGAAAAGACCGCTCAGCAATGGCAGAAAGACTGACGGGATGGTCGTCACGAAGGAGCCGCCACACAATGATTCCGGTCCCACCCGAGTGCCACTGTAGACATTTTCAAGCTCCGCCAACTCTCGGATGACTCGAGTTCTCCAAATCGTGCGTAATTTCTCGAACCAGCTGTTGCTTGAACAAGCAGGCATACCTAGCCTCTAGTCTCTCCGTCTGATGCAGAGTCGATATATACGCGCAGACTGTTAATGCAAGTACTCACAGTCTTGATGCAAGCACAGTCTCGTCTCTGGTTGAGTTACGACATGCACTCTGTGAACGACGTAACCCGAATTTAACTTCTGCAACGGCATCTTCTACTGAATGGATACTTTTGATCTCATCTTGCGGTCTCACTTGTCTAGTCGTCTCTGCTCTCACGATGATGGCCCAGTGCTCCTGTGAGCCGACCTCTTGACTAAGTGAAAGCCGCGTACAGCACCTCACCCGACCGACTATGGCGTGTGCACGGATACTTACCAGCACGAGCTATCCCTTACTCACGTTGATTTAGGTGTGGTCAGTCAATCGGGTAGTGAGCAAACCCTTTAGCTGTAGGATTGCTCACACTAAAGACGATGTTCCCGGGCAGCTGATCGGTACTGCTCGAATGTGCATTCGACGGTAACTTCTCGATGCTTCGTATCACATCTGCCGTGTCTTCTTCCTGTTCATGTACAGCTTGGAGTCACTTCTGGAATACACTCGACTCTTATCGCCCATTGTTTATTTTCAGTCACGCCATAGCACAGGGTGCAATTCCTAATGAAGATGGGCGATCGTACATCTATGAAACATTCGAGTATCATATACATCCAACTACTAAAATCACAGCTCACCTATTTCGTATCACATAGCAGACCAGGCTCCGAGTGCGAACTCGAGCCATCCAGTCATCTGAGAAACACATCTGTCCACGCAACGACGAACAAGGAAAGCATGTTCGTGTCTATAATAGGCTGAGTCAAAGACATACTTATCTGAATGTTCTTCTCACAGTTCTACTCGGGTTCCCTCTTATCTGACCTATCTCGGACCAGGTCTCACGTTGCGTCAAGACCAGGCTCACGGTTCACACTACACATTCTCGTCTTTCACGCCAACCGCGCTATACAGATTCATCATCGCGTAGAGGCGAGGACAGTCAGCTGCTGGCGAAGTTTATACGATTTATTGACGCACATACTGGTCAGCCAGCCTGCACACCTATACGTGAGTAGAGCGAGATCCGAGATTGCATCCGTCATACGAACTGTTGCCTGCTTTTGCCATGTCCAGCAGGCTTGCATGTGCGTCTTCAGTTTCTCAAGCTGTCCCATACGTTCAATCATCAGTATCGCTCTGGCGGAGTATCGCCGGGTGGCGGTCAGCTTTCAAACTCTGCTAACACTAATCTAGACCTATGGTGCCCTGGATTTTACGACCTGGCTATTAATCAACTTTGTATCGACCAAAACATTGACGTGACAGTTTGCGTAAGGACGTAGGCGGCACACTCATCGATCCTTAGCAGATGAATGCATCCTTTTGGGAAGTGATCATCTGTCCGGTGCCTCTTTTGAATAGCAAAGTATGCTCTCTATCTAAAGGTGTGTCAAGTTCTCGTCATAGTTGTATGCTATGGACTTATTCTCTCTCTTCTCGGCAGTGCCCCTGCCGGTGGCCTGCATGAATCACAGCATCAAGTACATTGCAGATCAACAAACCCTATGCCATCTTACTCGGCTGCTCAGTTCATGCATCGAAACTTAGGACAAGACAAAGGGGTCCGCTTACTAGGCTATCCCCGCGGGGGATGAGCGCGGGTCTCCACTGTCCCCTGGACATATCTATAAGGGAATCTGTGGCTGATGACATGTACAAGTCTGCTCTTCGTGAGCCACCACTTCGGGTCAGTTCAGTCCGTCGTAGCGGATAGCGGGATATCTCCAAGGTTTGAACTGTATGATCCTTCCTCTCCGGTGTATAAAAGCACACTGGTCAAGAAGACACTGACGCACAGATCCCCTGCGTATTTGAATTTCCGCTCAGCTTGAGCTATCTCCGTCCCGCTTTGCTTCTCTCCCCTGTTCCTTAACCTCGACCCGGAACGCCTACTATCCAAGATGTGCTCAGATGAATGGTGAGTCAGTCGACTGCCCATTGACACCCAACCCTGCCGATCCTCAGCACGTTCGCCGACCAGTGATATTGTCAACAGCTACGGAAACATGTACAGAGGTTGTGGGCATTATGTTATCCTGTATCGTACCGGCAATCGAACAGACTGCATGTCGCCAAACTGTGCTCTAAGCAGCCAACATCAGCACAGGGCTGTGAGATATTGTAATTGTAGTCGGGTGAGTTTCCAACCCTGGAACGACGTAGAGACTGGCTGACCATGCGCGCGCTCACAGCACACAAACAACAGTCCTCAGCGAGTAGTCAACCTCTTTCAAACGCAATGCGATCTCTGTCAAGAGGCAGACTTCCACGATCGAGGGCGTCGTCGATAAAAGTGAGAATTCTGCTCACTGCGCGGAAGCAAAGTGACCTCCTTCCTACCCCGTATTGTTGAATCGTTCCCGCTGCCGGCATTCAAGTTGTTGATCTGCTTTCCTTGCATAGCGTTCCTGTAGTCCTATGGCACCGACACCACTCACACTGTACTATACTCTGTATCAGCATGAACCACGTTTACTCAACTTATGTCAAAGCTTGTGGGAAGACCGAGACTCATGAGACTGGGTCCCGAGAACAGAGCGTATAAAGGAACCCGAAGAGTTGTTCCGAAAGTTGTGCATGGTCTTCTTCGACCAGTTTTGTGCGTTCCACAGAGAACAGGCCAACTGTCGCACGCTCATGAATGTATGGTGCCTTTTCAACTTTAGAAAGCTTATTAAACCGAAGGAATTCTGCTTGGAAAACATGGACCGCGGCTGCATACCCGCACACATTGCTCACGCGTGTTTGTGCAGGTGTGTGCCACGCTGTATATGGGACCCTTGCAGGCGTTAACGCGTCACTGACGCATCGACCCCATACGTATTGAGCTTCTGGATACGCATGCCCACTTAAGTCTTTTTGTGCGCGACTTCTCAATTATCTCGATGGCGAGGGTTGTAGACGCACTTGCGCAGCAGCTAACCTGGCGTGCTATTGTTATAGTCAATGCACGGACCAGATCAGAAAAGTGCCCAGACGTAGAGGTAAGGTCAGCTGCAAGGCTTATCTGCATCGCGCTGTGCCGATCGAGAGATCGAGGGTCCGAACCTACTCACAGAAGTGAAGAGAGAATGTGGCCAGGGCCACTTCAGCAACGTAGAATTCCTGGTCATGTGGTGAGGTATGACGCCACTCAGGGAAACACGAGATGAGAAGACCGACAAACGGCAGGACCACGGAGGGGGGCGGTATCTTATATTCAAGCGCAGGATTCTTCATAACACCTAGTACATACGCACGGAGCGTTTAAATCTGCGATGTCCCGGACGATTGACTTGTGCTCTAACTTATCTGGTAGGCCATTGTGTCATGACAAGGGGAGCGACAACCATGATGGTAATACATGATAGCGAAGAAAGCCCAGGCGAAGTAGCCGCAGTGGGAATGGATGACTACAATTGACAGATGGATCAGTGTTCAAAGCGACAAAATCAAAGCTAGGACCCTCACGCACGACACAGGGACCACAGGTCACCGTCGCACAAGCGGTTAGTTCGATATGGTAGCGCTCAGAAACGCCGTCCACCTCTCTTTACAGGTTGCCTTGTGCCTCGACGGACGGTGGTCTTCGGGGCCGAATCACTGTCACTGTCGTCTTCGTCTACTGGAGGCTTTGACTTTGGCGCTGTCTTGGTTTTTTTTGTGGGCCGCACTGGCGAAGAGTCAGATTCAGAGTCGGAAATGGGTGTCTTCGCTTTCGCTTTCCCCTTCGGCGGAGCTCTGGAAGTCTTCTTCATCGATGTGGCTGGGCTAAGGTTCGTATTGGAATCGGCATCGGGAGTCGGTGTTCGAGATTTAGCCTGAGACATGCCGCCCAGTTTTGTCGTGGTCAGCACTGGGGACCTTGAAGTAACTGGCTTTGGATCCCCGTCTTCGGATGAATCTTCCGGCTCTGTCTCGCTCAGAATAGCGCCGTGGTGGATGTGAGGCGGAGGGGAGGGGGTACGAGGTACAGGCTGCTTCACTCTCTGTTCAGGCTCCGGACTGGGCACAGGTTCATCGACGACCATGCTCTCCACCTTAGTCAATGATTAAGATGAGTAGTGCATGGTGCACAGAAGCTTCAGAAGCTTACTAGAGGACTGACGCGGCCTGATGGTTTTTCTGATGTCACAGGAAGAGATCGTGGACGTTGAGACATGCTGTCGGGACTATCTTGAATTTTTGCCTGAGAGGTAGATGGAGACTCGGCCCGGACGAGCAGAACAGGGCTTTGAGGAGGTCTAATGTCCGGCTTGTCGACGACAGTAAGAATGGGCGCTAGAGATGAGGAAATCTATCGTGAGTGGAGATGTCTGGACTTCGAGGGAGATAAGTTGTAGAACATACGGAGGTCGTTGTTGTAGTCTAAGAGTGCGGTCATCCGACGCAATGCAGTAGCTACTTGGGGACGTGAGATCGCGTTTTGCATATACGTCTCAAGGGTTCGGCGTGCGGTCCGACCAACCTTGTCCACAGACTTTGCTTGAACAAGCAGGTCGAGGTTCAGCGGTATACAGTTCGCGGATGTCGCGAAATAAGAGCGAAATTTTCGAAAAATAATGGTGATCCCATGAGCCGATCAATGTGAGCGGGAGAATAGGCAGAAGGCAGACGGACCTTCTCTATTTCGTCCCCGGTCATATCGGTCAATGGCTCTGGCGAAGTGAACGCAAGATGTATGGTGCTGATGAGGGGCATGATGAGATGCTGCGAGAGAAGCCTGGCCGATAGTTTTGGACCGACAAGGTTGGTCTCCCAGCGCCATTTGAAGCCATCGCCTTCAAGAACAAACGCGAAATCCTGAAAAAGGCAAAAAGTCAGCAGATTGCGATTAGACAAGGGGCATTAGCGGTTTCTGGAAGTGGGTCGGTGAATACAGCGGTGTATAAGGACGGGATGTACACGATGCGTCGGGAGGAATGATGATTACTGAATATTGAGATTCCACGGGCTCTAAAGTTAGTTCGGCCATCCCACCGAGAGTATGAGCTGCGGATAAGTTGTGTGCGACTTGCTCTCGCCATTGTATTTCCTCGTACTTCAGCAGCGTATCCTGCGTCGGTAGTGAATTTGTCAGGCCACGCCAACGGCGTGCAAGCTGGCTGCTGGAGAGAACTATCCGGTTAAACAAGAATACGTGATCAGCTGGTCGTGCTCTCAGGGAAACGCTAGGAGAAGCTTTTTAGAGCGCAGTGGACGCACCTTCTGCCCAGACGGTCTTAGTGTCTGTCACTAATAGTACGCACGAGGAATCTATTGGCGAAGAGTAGAACTTCTACTCGAATCGAGCCAGATACAAACACTATTTAGACTCGACCCATGATATCTTTGGATATAAATCTAAGGCTTTTACATACCATGAGGTACGGAACTGAGCTTGCTTTGTCTACACGAGCAAGCCACTCTTTGGACATCAGTTTTCGAGAGTGATCCTGCAAAAAAAAGATTTTCTTTTTCATCATTTGTGAAATTTCCAGGTCAACATGCGACGAACCTCTGAGAAGTCACCGTAGTGTGTAAAGGGAGCTTGAGTGGTCATACTACCACTGTACGCTGATGATGGAAGGACCATAAGATATTTAGCGAAAGTTCGAGACCGTAGCCTGAGCACGGAGCTACAGCTGCAGATAATCAAAAAATATTTTACTCACAGTATCAAACAGGTTATTGTCAGTACTACTCGCAGTCGTTGGTCGTTGGACGTTGGACGTTGGAAAGCTGACACGAACTTGACGCGTGCTGGTGACGGTACGTAAGTTCGAATTCCGACAAGCGCCCGTGCCTCGTGTGTCGTGTCAACAAAGTACGTCAGCACCGGCGATAGCCATTCCTGGCTTCGTGCAACCACCAGGGCCAGAGAGCCTTGACTTCCTGGCCGGAAGAGACCCATACCGTTCATCGTAAGTCAGCCAGATGACCGTATCTACTGAACGTTTCTGAAGGTCAAGGTAAAACTGACAAATATCTCGACACTTACCCCAGGTCAACCCAAGGTTGTACACTGGAATTCCTGCATCATCTGGGACCTGGGTGTCTGATCAGCCTTAGGTTTTGACTGCCTGCGGCTCGCGATTTCTGGGCAAATGTCCTTAGAAGAAGGAGAGCTTATAGAGATCTTTGGTTCTCCTCAAATCGTCGCTTCCCGACATGCCTACGATCCGGCGTACGAATGGCCAGGGGATGCCGCAACTCCTTCGACCAGAACCAGCATGCTCGAACATGAAATATACAGCCATACACACGATCACAATCAAAGCGACGTCTACATGCCCTCCCACTCCATGCACCCTACATCTTTTCGAACGTCTTCCCGCCCTGTTTCGCCACCTGTGCCTACTACTCCACCGGCTGCAGAAGGCGATGACCCTAAAGACCACCCTTCATTGCGCCTCGTCATAGAGCACTCCACTATCCGCCCTTCGAAACAGCGTTTAGCTGTTCTCGACGGATACTTCGAGGTCCAGCTGGGCCGGGATTTAGCCCCGTCCGGTACTGACATTCCACGAGTCCGGCTCAAAGATATGGAGGTCTCCAAGTTGCACGCTACTTTGTTTTGGGATAAGGAGAGGAAATACTGGGCGGTCGTAGACATGGGATCCAAACATGGAACATATATCAGACCAGGACTTGGTGAAATGCAAGGCGTCGCATTCGGCGTGGGTGAGAGTGGCGAGACGAAAGGTCAGCGGTTGTCAGCACCACGGACGGCAAGTATCCCGCGGGAGCTGAACCATTTGGATAGATTGACTGCCGGTGGTACGACGTTCGTCGTCCACATACATGATGATAGGTTGCCCTGCCTCGACTGCTCAGTTTCCGCTGATCCTCGTGCAGGAGACGAGATTCCCTTGTTCCCCACGGACAAGAAGCGGAAACGCGAAGTGTCAACGATCGCAGCCACTGCCACGTCCGTGAAAGCTGGTAATACTGATGCCCCCCAAGACGCAAAGCGCGCCCTGACATCCCTCAGGAGGAACCTCCTCAGTCGTCACAGTCATTCGCCTTCGCCTTCTCTCCTTCCATCGAACACGCAAGACGCGACCACGTCACATACTCGATACATCGACCGTTCTGCCAAGCGCCGCGCCCTTCACCACTCATCGAGCAGCTCCGACGTCCCTGGCCTTCCGTCCATTCCTAAAATCCTCCCTACAGCGTCGTCGGCCCTCGCCACACCGATGACTGCGACTCCCACTCGATATAGCACATGCTCGTCCCCGCGTGTCCTCTCAGCCGAATCGTGGGAGCCTCCGCCTCCGCCTGCTGCTGCTGCTGCTGCTGCTCTCGGAACATCCAATGTCGGACACAGGCTTCTCATGAAGCAAGGTTGGCAACCGGGGACAGCTCTCGGGCCACTCGACGTTGAGAAAGCCTCAAAAGAGTCGACAGGGATGTCTTCCGAGACACAGCAGGCGATCGATGCAGCCCATAATCGTACAGCGTTAATCGTGCCATTGGAGGTGACTGCTAATTCGTCACGAGCGGGGTTAGGGATGGCGGTGGCCCCTTCCGAGGTCGAGACACCGGCGGGGATGCGGAGGCAAGAGACTAATAACTGGACTCGAAGGCGGTGGCAGGATATGAGAGACGATGGGAACTAGGGCTGTACGTGGTAAGCAACCTGATGCTGTTGCCTCATTCCAAAGCACTCATATATACGATCGCAGACACGGACCCTCTGGAATCGATTGAAACATGCTTCCTACGTACTAGCCATCGTTTTCTTACACTCCCATTACCTTCTGGGCCAAACAACAGCACTATCAAGCAGTCTCTCGAGTTCAACTCGTCTATTAGTTCTATGTTTTGATCAACTTTCAACTGTTTCTTTCCGCGCTTAAAATTCGCTGGCCATTTATCGTGGCACTGAGAATGACTGGGCAAACTTGAACGGACATCTATGCGAATATGTCTATGATGACAAGTCGATTGCTCATAGCACTCTCATCACCACTGAATGAATTTGATGTAGGTACTGTCCATTTAGACCGTGCATTCTGGCTCACGATCGTATGCAATTTCCTGGTCGTCTCTTCCTGCTGTTCATCTGCATTGAGAGTGATCACACCAATGTGGCGTACAACGTCGCTCTTCATGCCATCGACTCGGACCTCTCTTGGTTCTTTGTTTTCCCTCAAAGCAGCCCCACGAGAGCGATGTACGCGAAGACGATTGATCAGATCAATCATGCATAGTATTCGTTGCGTTAAACGCAGGGAATAATCTGGTGCAGGGCAGCGTCGCTTGTAATAATACAATACTGCCGAATAGGGAACTGAGAGGATGCTACAGGATGCTACAACATAGCCTTCAGTAAGTGCACACAACTGGATACTTTGAAGACGTAGGTAGCGATTCGTCGTTGATGTGTTCTATCTGTGCTCGATGTCAACAAATACAATGCCATGGCCATCGACCGACCAGTGACTTCCCCAGCTCGCACCTCTCTCATTCGAGCTCCGAGCGCCAGCACTACCAGTTACAAACAGACCTTCCCACCACACGACGATCCAAGCCGTGAATCACTCCATCCCTCGACAGCGGTAGCGCCTGCCTCCATGTTGGTCCTCGCAATCGTCCTCGTCCTCAGGGAGCCATCTTCTTTTGCCTCTTGCTCTAGAGCTATTCGGGGAGTCAGCGTGACCATGATCTAGCCTATCAAAAGTGTGGCCACCCGCATGTCCTGAGCCCGAACGATGGCATCTTGATTCGAGAATTCTATAGAACCAGTGGTGAGGTTGGATAGCTCGAGCGCTCGAGCCCGAACGTCTTCCATCTTGTGGTATTGAACTCGGATGTTGGTCATCATTCGACCGACGAGGATGACGGAAAACCTAGGGAGGTTGGAAGGGTGATTGGTGTTTATTGGGGATTATTGGATGGGGGTGATTGAGAGGGAGATCAACCGGAGATGGAGAGAGCATAAATTCACACATTTACTATACTCCCGGCCACGGGGCGAAAGACTGATGAGAGAGGGGAACCTTATGACCGCGACCCAGACTCACTGCAGCCGTCTGGTGTTGAAAACCAAGGCGACGATCGTCAGTCCTCGTCGAAGATTGGGTGAGAAGTGACAGAACCAAGAACTCACGAATAGCAACACAATGTTCATCAGATTGGTTATAAACAGAACGCTAGATAGATAAGTGCAGTCATGAATGAGACGCATCGACAGAGAATACGCGCAATTCAGCGGCTGGCAGGAAGGTAGTCGGAGTCATCGTTCAGTCTACCCACCTCCATACAAGGGCACCTGGCACACGGTGCAGCAGCAGCTGTAGATAACGAACGGTGGGAGAGTTCGATGGGAGCGTAGACATCAGTTGTGCCACCCGAATGTTATATTTATTAGTATAATTGTTGTCTGCAAATATTCCTGGCACGTATGATGAGTCGGTGCGACTGCCTTACGATGTCCAATCGTTGATATTATTAGAGCTATGCGTGTGTAGAATAGCCTGCTTGGTGCAGGCTCGTCTATGGAGCTTTTGGACTCCATAATGCCGACAGACGAATACGATGAATTCGAAAACATCCGTGATGACCTAGCATTCCCAGGCCAAACACGCCATATAGTCGTGCTCTCCCGATCGTGGAGCTTTGCCTGACACATATATTTCAACGCTCGAGGAGATGCCGCGGAGCACCAAAGCACCCCGCTGGCTCCCAATTAACGTCTCCCACAGTCACCCGCAATGCTTCCCTTCATCTTCCCCGAGCTAGGACACGAGGACGTCACACAAATCGTCCATCCCCCAACTTCTCGAGATTCCCTCCCGTTAATGCGTTTAGCATTATTCGGGGGAACGGATGTATGCGGAACGCAGGACACCATGTTGACACCATGTTGCGCGTGCTTCAATCCAGAAACAAATAAATTGTAAAGGTACATGCCCATACGGGACACATCCGCTGAAGCTCGATACTAGACATGATCTCGTTCACCATGACTATGCCTTCAAATCCAAGCAGAACTTGCAGCATTCTACAATTTCGAAGCCCTAAGCTTCGCGCTGTCCATACGATCGCCTTCGTCATCCTGCTCCGCGACCCTCAGGTCTGGCAGCTTAGCAGGCATGATGCGTCTGGGTGTCGACCCAGGAATAAGAGAGTACTTGGTGAAGTCTGTAACTCCGCAGTGCTCGCGCAGGAAGTCTTCGTCGAGAAATAATTGGCCATTGACGATGGATGTGGGGGCGCGTAGCATCGCGAGGATGGCATCGCTATAGATGGTCTGATACCGAACAGATAGCATGTCAGCCTAAACTATTGTATGAGAAAAAGAAATCGAAAGGAGAGTCTGACCGGTTTCCGCAGATTCTCTGCCATCTGAGTATTCGACTCAGTCTCCCTTACAGTTGCCGCACTCTCAATCGCCGCCGCAGGCCAAATCGCACAGATAGCCATGTTTCTCTTTTCCTCTCGCTCCCAATCCATCGCCAAGCCCTTCACTAGCACGCTCATTCCAATCTTTCCCACGGCATACGCGGTCTTGCCACGGAAGAAGCGGCTATATATGGGCGGAGAGACGACTATGATGCGACCGGTCCAGTTTTGAGCTTTGAAATGGGGGAGGGATGCCTGAACGGTGGCATAGAGACCTTCGATGTTGACTTGCTGCATGAGCTGAAAGCGTTTGAAAGGTGAGTTCTCGACGGAGGCCCACCAGATTGCGCCACTGTTGTAGACGATGACGTCGAGGCGACCATATTTCTGTATAAAGTTGAACAAAGTTTGCCATCAGTAATCGCTGTAAGTTGGCCGAGTCCGGGTGAGATGACTTACCGCCACAACAGCGTCCACACCGCGCCTCACGCTCTCAGGATCTCTCGTGTTCACGGTGACAGCAAACGCCTCACCGCCCGACTCCTTTATCTCTCTCTCCACAGTATTGATTGTGCTGCTGGAAGAATTAGGCCCAGGAGGGAATGGGTCGGTTTTATACGCATCGGAAGTTGATTTGGCAGCTACCGCTGTGGCATAACCTGCTTTTGCAAGGTCGACCGCGACCTGGCGACCAATGCCGCGGGAAGCACCGATTACAAGTGCGACAGGTTGGGAGGAGGGGTTCATTGTGTGGAAGAAAGTGTGGGTTGGACTGCAATTTTGACCTGAAGGGGAGTTAGTAGCAAAGTCTCAAGAGGAGGAAGGCGATAACCTCAAGTACAGTACTAAAGTAGAGCGTCTGCGATGACCGGTTATAGATGATGCCGGTGCACTTGTCGCCGAAAGCTGCGTGTCTTACCTTGTGATGGGCCAAAGATGTAAGAGTTCTCGGGCTCGGTCAAGAAGCCCGGGTCCAGGGGACGATGTGGAAAGCGGTGGTCAATCACTAGTATAGTTTCCTTCAAAGAATTAGGGGCAAACGACGGATGGCGTCGTGACAGTATTTATTTAAATCATGCGTACCGGAGACACAAATAGTGAGTAGCTAGCGCCCTTCAGGCCGTACCACTAGGTACGGGCAAGAGCTGCAAAACGTTGCCACCTGTGACACTGAGGAAATGGCGGTGGAGACACAAGAACCAACTCATGAAACGCCGCTGAAATGTTGGGCGGCATCTTCCGAGATCTTCCCCACCGGGGGTGGGTTGGGGGTGGCACAACGGCATAATTGCAGAGTTCCACTCTGGTTTGACTCTGGTTTAAAATTGACGTGTCAGTATTCTTGGTACGGTGCTGTCTTTGGAGTCAGCTCTTCTCTCATTTTTGACAGCAATAAGCCGTCAGTCCAGTTCACATTTGGGCCACAGTGCGGCTCAGGCACGTGAAATTGCACCTTGGGAAAGGCGCTTCGTCCTGACCGCACGCCCATGATCCGTCCTCGACCGTTGGACGTTCTACCCTCCTGCTCCCAGCCAACTTGTCTTTGACACCATCCAACATAACTTTGGCGTCATTGTAAGCATGGCAAAAGGCAAAATTGACGCTTTCCTGGACTGTGGTACGACCTAATTCCGAGCACTGGCAGAGTGTTGAACATGTCGGTTTTGTGTTGACCCAGCTACATTGGTCTACTCCACAGTATCACCCTATTCCTACTATGCCATCTTATATCTTCTCAAGAACCGGAAGGCCCTTGCTTCATACGACATCGAGGTTGAGTAAGTCTCCAGCATCTCCGCCTCACTGGCGCCCGAGACAGCGACCTTGTTGGCTAACTTTCACTTGCCAACCTTGTAACGTTCTGAGGTTTCACCCGATATTTCTCGGTGGAGTCAACGCAGGCTCAGGAAATAAGCCTCCCTGGACACTTCCTGCGAAGAGCAAATATTCACAGTACGATTCTGTTCGTGCTCGTAACTATTTCGGTGTTCCCGACCTTCGGACGCCAGAATGCTTCCCAATTGTTTCCCTTTTGGCGAGTATCCCTCCTTTTTATTCTTGCTTAGTATCTTTGGGTTATAAAGTACTGATCTTTTCGTCCGTTGTGATTGCTTATTGGATGCAGCCTCAACGAGCTATGGTTTATATCAAGGCGAACTATCCCCACGAGAAATATGAGACTGCCTTCCTCTCACTGTGGCACCACCTGTGGATCTTGGGCGAAGATATATCCAAACCTGATCTCTTAGTGAAAACGCTCTCCGAGAACTTCTCTGAAACCGAGGTAAAGCAGATCATGGATGCTACAGGAAACCCGGAGTGGAAACAGAAGTTGCTGGACAACACGCAGCGAGTGCTTGATTGTGGCGCATTTGGAGCACCTTGGTTTTGGGTGAGGAATCTGAAGGGCGTGGAAGAACCGTTCTTTGGAAGCGATAGGTAGGTCTGATAGATGCGATGAAAACCAAATGATCGCGTGTTTTGGACGCTTGCTGAGTTGGAGATGTTGAATAGGTTTCACTACATGTGGTGGTTCTTGGAGTTACCGTACGAGGATATCAAGCTGCCCGAGAAGAGTACTCCAAAGTTATGAGCATCGACGCATCTCCTTGGACTTGGAACTCTGTTCCCGTGCATTATATCTTGATTTTAACACGATGCACAGACATTTCTCCGGAGCTTGGGATGGCCAGGTTTCTGCAACCTCCCTTTCGTGTCGCTATATCCTACAAGACGAGCCTTGAGACTCATCTCCTGCCTGTTTGCGCTGGCGGAATTCCGGGAAGATCGTGAGTCTTGTCATTGAAGTTTCTACTAGAAAATAATAAGCCGCTAGACCGACTCACCACAACCCACAAAGCTTTCGTCTGTATATTGTTCATGACTTGCGCAAGGAAGTCAGGTACTTGTTCAGTAGCGTGTGACCTAGAGTGACACTGCGATGCGTATACGTAGACGCCACAAGAATCTGTCGAAGTGGAACTCAGACACGTACAGTTTCCCGAGGCAAAGAGATCATTTCCTCGTTATCCGGTGGATACATCCTGCGGACAATTCGAGAATGACGCACTTAGTACTTTTAGAACAGATTTATCCACAAGATGATGGTCCTTGTATACACGCCACTGTAATAGGGAGAGGACCCGTTTGTCAAACCCATTGAGGAGACGGGTATATAGGCAGACCATCACTGTCGCGAGAACGATCACAGCCCCTCCTCTCGACCCGTTCCATACTTGAAGACTACCAGTCAATTTACTACCAACAATGCCGCACGTCCACGTCAAAAACGATACCGGCAAAACGATCCACGTCGCTTTCACTGGTCTCCCGTTGTCATACGGGAACAACATCATGACCGGGACGATTTGGACTCGAGAGAACATGCCCAGCCTCGTCTATGCCGTGGAAGTTCGTGAAGCAAGTGGTGGAAAACCGTTCACAGATGACGAAGGCACGGAGAAAGCAGGCCAGATAGCGGGCGCATGTGCAGCGGGGTCAGCTAGCATGCTGGTTGGTACAGTGACGGCTATGGCGGCGGCCAGAGGGGGGTCGCAAAAAGGGTTCGATGTGGCAGGCGGATTGATGAACCAAGCTTGTGATGGTAAGTAGTTCCTGCAGAGTTTCTTTTACTTCATCTGCTCACATTGACCTGTTGATCTCAATAGGCGGAAAGGAATTCGGCTCTGAATACGACGGCCATGTGCTAAGGGTCAAGGGAGTGGGCATCGGTGCTCAAGAGTGCCACTACGCGATTCGTTTCGAGAACGAGACGTACAGGTTGTTCGATGAAGTCAAAGAGGACTACCTCTGAAGGAAAGGTACGCAACATCTGGCCAAAAATATCGGTAAAGATTATTCTGAAATTCTGTCAGAGCGCGGAGAAGAACCTAAGAGCGATGATGACACTACTTCAAAACATGTAGCTGCCCTGGTCAAAATTTTTGCGTTGATATACATAAAACCATACTGCTATTGGCATAACGCTTCGTGGGCTGCGGGTTGACCTTAGATTGGCGGTAATCTGCACATTCACGTGCTGTGATCCCATCTGGCCAACATCTGGCAACGAAACCTGCTCGCCTCCAATTCGGTTGAAGTAAAGGATGGGAGGCGTCTTTCAGCTGAACGCCTTTGCTAAAAACAATGATAGGAGAAGAATAAATAACCTAAAATCGCCCATGGTCAGTAGTGTATCAGATAACCGAACAGGATAGAACTAGAAACTGGAGCAGGGCCAAAGCAGAGCGGCGGCCAGAAAGATGGCACCACCGTGAGAAAACCGAAGGCAGATCCCAGGAAGTCGTGGCGACGCCACCCTGCAACGGCTCCCACACACAACGCTCAACCATCCTCCACAATCATCATCCAAGGCTTTCGCTAGACTTTATCTACCGTGACTCGTACTTCCTAGAATAACTGAAAGAATGTCTGAGAAAAGAACCCCGGCGGTTCTGCCCAAAGCCCTTCGTATACCAGGACTGAATAAACTACACGGGAAGCGCGTCGTTCTTGCATCCGGGAGTCCTCGTCGCAAGGAGCTTCTGGAAACCTTCGTGTGTACAGGTTTTACTCCACAGGTCATCGTATACTGACATGATGCGTTATAGGGTCTGGTTCCCGAAACAATACCCTCCAAGTTCGAAGAAGATCTGAACCCACACGATTTCGAAGATATCCATGAGTATCCTGTAGCCACCGCAACGCACAAGGCAGTAGAGGTCTACGAGAGACTCGTTGTGCGTCGACTTGCTCAATGCTCTCATGTGCGTTATTGAGTTTCATCACAATCGCGCCAGGACAGACAGAAAACCCAGACGACGGGCCTGACCTAGTAATCGGAGCCGATACTGTCGTGCTCACACATGCACAACCGTCCACTACACAAACCTCATATTCCGAGCTGCCACACACGCGGCAGGAGCTGCTAGAGAAGCCGGACAACAAAGCGGACTGTCTAAGGATGTTGCTGGACTTGAACGGTAGTGTCTGTGAGGTTGTAACAGGGGTTACCGTCAGTGAGTCAACTCTATTGTTGGCACCGTGCGAATGGGAGCTGACGGAGGGACGCGTCACGATAGTATACCCGATCTTGACCTCCCCCGGATACGCGATGAGGTGAGGATTTCTACTCTTATTACAGCAAGGTACACTCCTTATGGGCACATAAAGATCTATCGAGGAGCGAACCCTTGTCTTCTTCTCGGACAACCCAACGTACCTGCTCGAGGCCTACGCCGACTGTGGGGAAGGTCTTGATCGTGCCGGCGGGTTTGCCATCCAGGTATTTCAGATCTCAATGGATCTATTTGTTGGTCTACGCGCAGGATCTCATTGTCCTCTTTATCCATAGGGTCTCGGGGGCATGCTAATCCGCAAGGTCGAAGGCGACTACAACAACGTTGTTGGTTTCCCAACGGCTTCATTCTTCCGCTTCTTGGACCTGCTCGTGGAAGAGGAGGATGACTTCTTGGCTTTGTGATTCAAAGGAGCATGGACTTTATTCAATATCCGGTGAATGGCCATTGTATCACTAATCGATGCAGCGTTTGGATGTTCGTCGTCAGGCAGCTGTAGAATCTACTGGTTGCGCATGGCATATGGTGTGGCGTTGCCAGGTTGTTGATTTAGGCTGTTTTCGATCATTAATGAAGCCTATCTCCCAGCTCTCCGTTCTGGCTTGCCTTTGGACTACGAAAGGTCGATGCTCAGCACCAAGACTGCGTATTGACGCGAGGTGCCACCAGGACTGCAGCTAATATTGGACACAAACGCGTCGCGTGCCGGTTCGTGTCGTCTTTGTGTCTACCACGTGTTGTTTGTCGTTAGCTCGAGCATATAAGCAACCTGGTCGTCTCATCTCGACATCATCTCGACACTTCACTTCCTCTCTCGCTCCTCGGTCCTTCTTGGTATACTTGCATCTACGTTCCGGACCATGCCTTCTTTACACAACTCTTACACTACTAAAGCTCAAGCCCAAGACGAAGTTAGTCTATCTCCTTCGTAGGCTTTTCACTGACCCCTTTCTGACAAATCTTTCGATAGATTTTGAGAACCGGTAAACCTCTACCCAGTACCATCTTCAAATCGCTCCCAACCGGATGCACTGCCGACTATCTCCTCCAAGAACTCAACAAATATCTTAGCCCCGTTCTGGATGCGCTCTCCTCTGATTCCGAACGCGCAAAGATAGTCGCCGCTCTCAAGACCGTTAAGAATCGGAGCGATCTCGTGGCCGAGAGGCACGTCAACGTTGGGAAGATTGACTTCGAGAGGCATGAACGCTCGCTGGGAGATGGTCTGCGAGAGCTGGAGAATAACGTTCGGGAGAGCTGGAAGGATGGATGGCGCGAGCAGTCGCTTATGATGCGTCAGTTGGCAGACGAGATCGCGGAGTGGTTGCCGACGTTGTGGACCCTTGGAGCTCAGGACGGTTTTGAAATGGATCTCGTCCAGGAGTGTCTTTACTTATGCTCACACACCGTACGATGCATCAAGGAGTGCGGGAGCCGGTAAGTGCTATGCTACCCTCTGTCACGTTGGTTGGCGTATACTTGGTGTGCTGATATGGTCGGTGTGTCTCGCCCAGGTTCGAATTCGCAGATGCTCAGCATAAGGCGATCCAGTTCTCCGATTCCCATGGTTCCCAGGTCTATTATGTTGCACCCCACGAGTCCATCGAACGTGTCATTGACTGGGTGTGGAAGGAGCTTTTGGTCAGCTCGTCAGCTCGAGGTCATGATGATCTGGTGGCGTCCATTCTAGACACCATCGACTCTTTGACCATCACAGACGCCGTTTATGATCTGCTCCCCGCTCCAGGCAGTAGGTCACCTTTCACCGGCTATATCACCTCACGCGTCCTCTGACCAGTTATTGGAATTACAGAGGCGATGGCTAGTGGCCACCACGAACTTCACAACGATCATTGGTCGGAAGACATGAAGGAGGCTTACCCTCGTGTCATAATCTTTAGGGAGTACAAAAAGCATGCGGCTCGTGAGATGGCCAACGCCTACAACACGGTTTGATCCATTCTTTCCTTTCCCACGCCTCGAGAACCACCATTTGCCTTTGTTTTCTTTTTATCATCGCGTATCTCTTTGCGGTTGTCCTTTTTTCTTAACCTTATATTGCTTTGATTCTTTTGAGTCTCGAACATCGGTATGACTCTTTTCCTTGTATTGCTCTCTTATGACAAGATAATATCGTTATGCAGGCTGTATCTGGTGATGAAAGAGTTGCGAGGCGGTGCTTTGGTTCCTTTCAGTCTTTGTACGCCTTTGTGCGATACATGCGCCTACAGGAAGTTCCCGAACATTTGATCTAACTCCCGATGTGCGTTGAAAGAGATCAAGAATGTAATTCCGGATGTACATTGAAAGAGATCGCGGATCTGACTGTGGATGTACATTGAAAGGGTGAAAGAGATCAAGGATCTACACGGTGATGTCTCCCAAGATCGTATCTCCTTCTGTCTTCCTTTGCCCTTCAGCTCGCTCATAAAAAGGGGATGGGTGCGCAACTCAACTAGTAGGATCCACTGTTCTGCCTTCGAACACACTGCCACTCCTAGCTCTCGCTCAACACAGATCCCTTCCGTCCAGCACCATGTCGTCGGTCCAAACCTCCATCCCAGCAGACTCCAAAGTACGTAGTAATCCTATCTTCTTTGCTGATTTTTTTTTTTCGTGTTATAAGTAGTCCTTCTTACCTCGGTTTATGCCTTCTAGACAACAGGTGGGAGTACCATGGTTCCGAGCGTCGTTCTTCAATCTCTTCCGACCACATGCACGACAGACTTCCTTCTTGATAACCTCAATAGACACCTTGGACCCGTCCTCGACTCGCTTGCCTCTTCCGCTGAACGCGAGAAGGTCGCCGCAGCTCTCCAGTCCGTGAGATACGAAACGGCCCCGGTGGCCGACAAAGCTATCATACTCGCTTCTATCGCATATGATACTCACTACACCGCTCTTAACGGGTATCTGCGAGACCTGAATGAGGATGTTCGAGCCAATTGGAAAGGGGGATACGAAGAGCAAGGGGAAAGCATGCACGAGATCAAACAAGACATCGCAGAATGGCTACCGGAGCTATGGGAGATCGGCGTAGAGGACGGATGTGAGGTGAATCGCGTTCGAGAATCCCTCGAACTATGCACAGATTCGATACAAGACGCTATTAACTGCGGCAGCCGGTGAGTTATCTATTGACAATTCACTTTCGGCAGTATATAGTAATGGAGGGTCACACTAACACGCTGTCAGTTCTGAATTCTCCGAGGTCTGGTACGATACCTACCCTTTTCGGAGGGAGAAGGACTACAATAGCGAGGACAACGGAGACGATGACGAAGATGAGGACGATAACATTTACGATGCCGATGATCCTATCGAATGCGTGGTCAATTGGGTATGGAAAGAGCTCCTTGTTAGTTCTGCTGCGCGGGGACAGACTACCGAAGTCAAAGCCATTCTGAAAAGCATGAAGGACTTCGGACTCACCTCCGAGGTTCTCGACCTGTTCCCTACTGAAGGCAGTGAGTCGTGTCTAGCTCTGTGGTGTCAGAAATATTCGTTGACGTTGACGTTCTTTGCGTCCTTAGGATCAACGTCGAAGGAGGGATGGGACCTCCATAACGACCATTGGACTCAGGCCATGAAGGACGCAGGACGTCGTCTTCTCGAAGAACATTGCGGCCGGGCATGAATCATCGATCCACGCCCAACGTAACGAACTCTAGTGTCTTATATATCCCAACGGGCCCAAATTCAAAGTTGTCTCTCCTGCGGGGTGGTCTTTTAGAAGTCATGCTGACCATGACGCGATGTGCTGGATTTATCTTACTTACTCTGACTTTGTTCCCTTGATATGTCCTACGCTCTTCTGTATTATGCAATTATCCATACATTTTGGGCACCGGCAGCCCCGGGTAGTTATCACATAGTACAGTGAAGCCCCTTCGCGGTTTTGTGCCGTCAAACTTTCGGTCAATACAAGGTACGATAGAGCGGATGTGGAGTATAGGTCAGAGTGACTACACCGGGGATCGTGCATCGGCATGACTTTCTATCCTTATTGGTTGCGTTCGCCTTCGAGCCTCAAAAGGCGCTCTGCTGCATCCTTCATGTCTTGGTTCCAATGATCTGCTTGATACGGGACGCCTTCGGGGCTTTCGGTACCTATGTTTGTCAAATGAGAACTGAAGCATGCATTTGGAGAAGCTTCATGATCACTTACGTCCTTCCCGAGGAATAAGAGAGATGATTTTACTGTATATAACCCAGTTCTTGGTCTCTTGTAAGACGCCTTCGCCAAAATCATCGATGTCTCGGGCGAGAGTGCTGATGAGGAAGTCCCGCCACACCCAGTCCATTATAGAATCGATGCGCTCCGTGGAAGCGTCCCAAACGACCTCATCGTGCGCACTCTTGATTTGCACATCGTCATGGTCGAGGCTGAAGACGTCGATGCTGGTAAGGGATAAGTCGCATCATTAGTACTTATCAGTACCATGAAGGAGGCGACGGGCTTACTTGCTAACACAGGACTTCATCTCCCTCAGAGTGTTTGTGCAAAAACGAAGGCCGGAGAGAATGGCAAAACCCGTATACTCCTCCTCGACTCCTAGCTGCCATAAATGGGTAGCCAGTTCGCTATCAGATCTAGCATCTCCTCCATAATTCCTGCCTGCTGCTCGTCGGAATCGCTTTCGGGTTCTCCAAACATCGGATGAATGCTATTGTATAACTCATAACACCCATTTTTGAAACTTACTAAGTAGTAGGCGATGGAACTCAAAGTTCAAACGGCTCTCTTGGTCCCTCCGATGGGCGAATTCATCGGCTGTTGACATTATCGACAGACCGCGCCAGTTAATTATCCAGAGGAAGTGGACTTACTATAGGAGTTGCTCAAGGTTGCTCATCAGCTCTCGACTGCTAGATGGGCTACTTAATCCTGATGTAGGGGACTCGGAGACGAAACAAAAAAAAAAGTAAGTATCTACTCTGTGAAAAAGTATGACATCCCACCTTTCTATCTTTCAGCAGGTAGGATGCAACAAGCAGCATGCCCAAGGACCTCAAGATAAATCGGACCCACGAAATTGAAATGACCGTGACGGGATTACACTCCCAACTCGGGGTCCACGTGTCTCGGCCCGCTCCCGCACCAATGAAATCCGGGAACTTCCGTTTTGGGTTTTGGGTTTGTTCCACGACATCCCTCTCGGATTCGCGACGACCATTTCCCTCTCAAGCTGGCCAACCGATTTGCAGCCCATATCAGCCTCCCGGCCTTCCCCATGATGAACTACATCTTAGCTGACCAAATACAAAACTCGTTCAATGGTCATTTCTTCTCTGTGACTATCAGCGGTAGATGTTTTCCGGTACTTACTCTGACACCGACAGGTTCGCTCGGTCGTTGCTCGGTCACAACTCGGTTGCCGCCTGACGTCACTCATCCCGAGGATATGGCGCATCTTTTGTTTGCTTTAGGGCAAGTCTCTGGCCTGACCACAGGTCACGTCGCGGGTTCAGCCCAAGTTATCCTCTACGACGTCTTACGACGCGACTTGAACGCGACATTATCTTCGCCTGGCCTTCTCTAAGGATACTGCGCTTTCTATTGTTGCATCACTTCGAGCTCTCACCTGTGAAAACTCTGAATCTGTCTCGTAACCTCGGACGCTAGTTGTTCATTTGAAGCATTGAAGCCCCGCTGGTCTGAGGAGGACGACCGAAAACCAGGATCTTACGAACTGTACGCGCGTCATTTGTGTCTCTTTGATACTTCTCCTTAACCCTCGGCTTGAATAGGCTTAACCTCAATCAGTGACATGGCCGACGTCGCAAAAACCAAGCGGAAACCCACAACTAAGGTTTGCTCTCCGCATCCAGTCTTTCTCTCATTTGGTAGAGCTGTTGGCCGACTTGAAAATATATATCTAGTCGTCAGCCGCAAATATCAAACTCCCAAGCGCCATTCTCAGATCACTCTCGACGGACTGTACTGCCGTGCAACTTCTCGAGAAGCTCGATGCGCATCTTGGTCCCGTCCTAGATTCGTTTCATACGCCTTCTTCCCGCGACAAACTCGTTGCTGCCCTCACTGCGATCGACTTTGTACCTACTGGCGACTCTACTGCCATCCAAGCGAAGAAGGACCTAATCGACTACAACGGGCACAAAGCGTCACTCGATGACCAGTTGAAGGCGCTCCAACGTCATATCAAATCTGACCCACATGACGGTTATGAAGAGCAAGCAGAGATGATGAGGGATATCTTGCAGGAGTTAGCGGGTTGGCTTCCTCACCTCTGGACCTTGGGTGCACAAGAAGGGTTCGAGGTTGATGAGGTTCGGAAATGTCTTGTTCTCTGTTGCCGCACCGTCGATCGCGCGGGTAGTACTAGTAGTCGGTGAGTTCCTTCGGCCCAGTAGCGCACTATCTTACTCTAACTCTTTTTAAACAGCGCGGAGTTCACGGACATCAACGAGGCATGCACCTGTTTCAAGGACACCAACAACAATGTGATATACGACGCGGATAGCGACTCTATCGACCATGTCTTGAACTGGATGTGGAAGGAGATCTTAGTTGGTGCGGCGGCGCGTGGAGATAATAAGGTAGTGAAGGTGATTATGGATACCATCAAGAAGTTGTCGCTTCAAGGAGAGGTTTTCAACCTCTTCCCCCAAGGAAACGGTAAGTGTTTCTGTTTCCATCCAAGGCATCCTGTTCCTCAATTTTGGCTTGCATTCAATAGAGAAAATGACTTCCGATGGCTGGGACCTCCACAACGATCATTGGTCTTCGGCCATGAAGGCAGCTGGGATACGGCTGATCGCAGAGCATAAGGGTAAGAAATAAACCTATTCGTTCCATGACTGTTCTCTTGTTCTTCCTCCACGTGTCTTGCTGTCCTCAACACAACCGCAACACTGCTCCGTTATATTTGCTATCGGTATGTACTTACCTTGCTGCCCGTGTTGTGCTTGTAATATTTCCACGACTTTCTGCCACCTGCTACCATATTCCCTTGCTGCCAAATCCATAATACATTACCTGAACTAGTTCCACACATGAAGTTGTAGCTCGCTGACAGTCACAAGAGTTTGTGTGATTTGCTCAGTTCGGGTCTGCCATGCATGATTCTTGCCGCATCGTGTAAGTAATCCGAAGGTTTGGCGCTCCGATTGTTCTCTCTAGGGCAAGCCAAGAGCGTTAGCCGAGTTTCTTTTGCGACACGATCTCCTTGTTTTGGCTCCCACCTTGCGCGATACACCCTGTCAACAACTCCTGATATAATTCTACCTATAATGGGTGATACATTGATCGTGACTACGACAGACGTTTCCCTGTTTCCGATCCATGTCTGCACAAACTACCTTTAATCCCCATTCGTCGTCAGTCAGATCCATAGCCAGATACCTCCAGTAATCCTCCTTGGGGAGCAATTCCAAAGCCTGTATCGATATCGTCCAAGATCCCCCGAGCGTCCCAGGCATCGCTGTCGGAGTCTGAGTGGTCTGATGCCTCTCCGTCGGAGTCCGAATCAGTTAGCACCATTGCATTGGGTGTAGCTCGTCCTGGCTGGCCGCCCGCGCCACCAACTCCGCCACCTCCAACCCTACCCCCACGTCCATTACCCCTGCCTCTCCCTATACCTCTTCGTCCACTGCCACTGCCGCTTAATCCGCCGCTTCCGACTCTGCCTCTGCCTCGACCAGATCCACCCTCACCTACCCCTCCACCACGACCTCGATCTGACCCGCCTCCACCTCTACCTCCCCGGGGTAACCCTCTCGTTGCTCTTCGTCCTCCTTGTCCGCTGCCCATAACACTTCCCTGCAATCCCCCCCTGCCTGGTCCATCAGCCCCTCTTCCACCGCTACCCAATGCTCCTGTTGTCTCAATTATCTCATCACGATTTGGACCGTTGCCTCCACCTCGACCTCTTCGGCCAATACTGCCTGCAATTTCCGACCCCTCTTGTGTATGCTGTTCGGGTTCACCCCCACCCCTCCCACGTCCGCGCCGATTAATACTACGACCACCCCTTGCCCTACCATTTCCGCGGCCGGAACCTCTAACTGCTTCACCATCAACACCCATAACACTCGGGCCCCCGCCTCTACCTCTGCCTCTACCTCGGGCCCTACCTCCTCTGCCAGTTCGTTCTGCAGCTCCCATCGAGTTACCTCCTCGTCCAGATCTTAGCGCTGATTCACTGCCATGATTGAGAGACTCACTTCCGGGACCATCTGCATGTGATGACACTGCGGTCGCGGTAGTTAGGTTGGTATTCATGGTCAATGCTGCTCTTGTTGGAGGAGAATTGGATAGCGACGGTTACAGTAGCATTCAAGGAATGTAGAATGTATAGTCGGGGCGGCGGGAGCCGAGAGACGTACCTCCCAGTCAGCAGACTGTGTATTAAGCGATTCGAGGAGTTCTTGGGGCGTGGGGTGTGAGCGGTCTATACATGGCGTGTATTCGTGTGATTATGAGTGGCCGCGGTACGTTCGAGTCCACGGGTTATCTGACAAGCGTTCTGTTCTTTTTGACGAAGCTCTACAGCCTTCCACCCCATAGTATCAAGAGGTAACTGTGGATATAGTACCTCAGTGTTCACCGCGAACAGCACTTACATCTCGAACTTGAACATGTTGAGAGGTTGTGAACCTGCAGCCGTCTACACACTACGGATGGGTAATTGAGCTGATATGACTCAATAAGTTCTACCGCCTTCGATGTCTCGCGGTATGAAAGGCCTGATCTGAGCACAATTCAGGCTTGGGGGATAGTAACCGACCGGTGGAGTAGAACGCACCAAGGAACCCACGCGTTGTCTTGCTACTCGTCGCGAAAAATAACAATACGTGAGACGAGCCTCCTGGTTTAAATTTGGATCTTGTCCTGCCAAACGAGAATAAAGCGATAAAAAAACACATCGACGCAGCGGCCAACTTACAAATGTAAACGCATGTGGCCCAGATTCAATGCCCGCCGGCATGTGCCGCAATGGTGCCACCTGCCTATCCGCCCCTTTGCAAAGTCTTGAGTTTCTTTCGAGCGTTCATCGACCCTATCTCCCTCAAACGTACCCCTGCCTCTGGTATGAGTGGATATGAGCACATGTTAAGGTCCAAGATGCTGCCATTGTAGGTCCCGGACTCGGTATAAGTATTGGCCTACCTGCATTCGACGCGTCTGAATGCGCGGCTCCGCACTTGACTGGAGGTAACAAATTTGAGTCACGATATGCTTTCTCAAGGTGCATTTTCCCTCTTCACACCGTTCTCTCGATGGACCTACACATTTCAGCATAAAGAGTCAGAATGATTGTGGCCCTGGATCTCGGGTGTCCCGAACCCTCTGCCCAGATGATCAGTAGTAGACGCCGTCTAGGTCCGCATAAGTACCAGCGTTTCGACGGGGCAACGAACAACGCTGTCTCTTGTCTCTCGATTGCAACCCGCGAAAACTTCCTTGTTGAGTTCTATTGCTCAGAAATCGATACCATCACACACATGACCATGTCTAGCGAGACTCTACCAGCGAGTACATACAGACTGCCCACGGATGTCCTTCCAAAGCACTATGAGGTCACTATCCGCACTAACCTAGAGAGAGAGGTCTTCGAGGGGATAATTATCGTACAGTGAGTACTCTACTCTGGAATTACCATGCAGAAGCCTGACGGTTAGCTAGTCTAAACATCCTCGAGCCCACGAACACAATTACTTTTAACGCGAACGAAAGCCTTTCTCTTTCAGTCGCAGCTCTCGCCCTATCGTCTTCTGATGGCTCCGTGCAGTCACTGAAACCCACCAACAAAGCCTATGACTCCAAGACGGAACGTGTATCATACTCGTTTGCCGACACACTTGCTGCTGGTACAAACGCCACCCTTCGGGTAGGGTTTACTGGCGTTCTCGAAGGAGGAATGACTGGATACTACAAGAGTACCTGGGACAAGGGAATATATTCTTTGACCCAGTTTGAGGTTATTCTGATCGAACCTTGATATATGCCTTCGCTGAATGGAGTGAATTTTACAGGCTACTTACGCTCGTAAAGCCATTCCTTGCTGGGACGAACCCCTTCTCAAGGCGACGTTCGCGGTCACCATGATCTCTCAAACTGGAACTGTCAGCCTGTCAAACATGCCCGCTATTGATACTTCCTCGTTTATCGCTACCCCCGCGCTTGTGGACGATTTCGAAAAGGCCCTCTACTCAGGTGTAGAAAGCGGAGAATGGACCGTTACCCGATTCGAAACAACTCCGCCTATGTCAACATATCTCCTTGCCTATGCCAACGGCCCCTTCAAGTACATCGAATCGTCATATACCAGCCCATTGAGCGGCAAGGTTCGACCGCTGAGAGTGTATACTACAGAAGACAAGATTCACCAGGCGCAATTTGCTCTGGATGTGAAGAGGAGGGTTATGCCGATTTACGAAGAAGTGTTTGACGTGGAGTATCCGCTGCCTAAGCTCGATACATTGGTAGCCAATGATTTTGACGCAGGTAAGCGGGCTTTGGCAATATAGTAGAGGTTATTATAGGACTGTTTGCTGACTGCCTCACTCTCAAATACTGACAGGTGCGATGGAGAACTGGGTAAGCATTCTGCGAAGTTTATCTGAAATATCTATCAAATGACTGACTGTTGTGTGGCTCTCGCTCCAGGGACTCATCACCGGTAGGACTTCAGCCTTTCTCGTCGATCCCAACGGTACGGGCATCACCACGAAGAAACGGGTTGCTGGGATTCAGAGTCATGAAGTCGCGCATATGTGGTTCGGAAACATCGCGACAATGGAATGGTGGAGCTATCTCTGGCTGAACGAGGGTCTGTTCTATACTAAGAGAATATGCATTTACTCTGACTCTAACTCTGTTCATGCGTCGATCTGATAATGAACAGGCTTTGCTACAATGGTAAGTGGCGTGTAACTCCTACATTGAATCCATGCCGATGATCTGTTCGCAAAAGATGGGTCAAAATATCATAATCGATAAGTGAGCTAACCTTCCTGTCTCTATACTACAGTGCTGACTGCTGATGATTACTCGTATAACTGCCCCCAGGATATTCCCTGAGTGGAAGGTCGACTCCGAATTTGTCACCAACCAGCTCAACAAAGCACTCAGGCTTGACGCCAAATTATCCTCGCACCCTGTCGAGGTCGATTGTCCAGATGCAAACAAGATCGGTCAGGTATGAGCCTTGCTTTTCTGCGCTCTACATCTGGTTTTGACAAGAATAATGACCAATCTCCCACTATGAAAGATCTTTGACAACTTGTCGTATGCAAAGGGGGCCAGCGGTGCGTATCTCTTCCCAATCTTCCGTATAAGCGTACATGATTCCAGGCTGAGCCGGATAAATAGTACTTCGTATGCTTTCATACTACGTCGGCGAACCAAAATTCCTCAAGGGTGTTTCCCTGTATCTAAAGAGCCACCTATACGGGAATAGCACGACGGCTGATCTGTGGGAAGGACTCAGCCAAGCCTCAGGCACCGATATAGGCAAAGTCATGGAGAATTGGATCACAAAGGTAGGTCTTGTTTGTCACAGGGATAAAGGACCGAGGAGTTTCGTAGACTTCGCTCACTCGAGGACGTGATCATAGATCGGCTTCCCCGTGGTTACGGTCTCAGAGTCAGAGGACGGTACGAAGATCAAAGTCAGACAAGATAGGTTCCTTGAGGACGGGCCTGCTGAGCCAAAGGATAACGAGACGATATGGTGAGTTCTATGCCGCTTCCTTCGACGGCATCGTTCTGATACTCGTTCTGCAACGTCTGCAGGACGATCCCCCTGAGCTTGCTCAAGACCAATGCCGATGGGACGCTAACTATTGACAGAAGCATCATCTTGAACACAAGAGAGGCAGAGTTCGACGTTGATACCAGGAAGCCTTGGAAGTTGAATGCGGATTCGCCTGGAGTCTGTACGTCTACGATCTCTCAGCTTTATCACCATTCATATATAACCTGGTTAACTCTGAACTCGAAATTAGTCCGCGTACTCTACACCCCGCAACGGCTGTCATTGATCGCTCACGAGGCTGCAAAGACTATCGGATCTGCGTTCTCTCTCAATGACAGGATTGGATTAGTGCATGATGCAATGGCCTTTGCGAAGTCTGGTCACCTGAAGATCAGTGCTGCCTTGGAATTGGTCAACATTTTAAGGAGCGAACGTGAATGTACGTGTATAGTGATGTGGACCGTGGTCCTCCGTATGTGGCTGAATGGCTCAATAATTTTCGCTCTTCAGTCTTGGTATGGGACGGCATTTCCCAGAATCTTTCGAACGTCGTCGATACGTGGTGGGAGAACACCGATCTTGTGGAGGCCTTGAACGTTTTCCGAAGGGTCGGTTCATTCTAGCTCATTCATCGTTACACCCGCAGAAACTGACTGACGTTCATCATGATTGACGCTCTAGGAGTTGTACGTCCCGCTAGTGAAGAAGCTCGGCTTTGAATACTCCGACCAGGATGATGCCGATACCAGTGAGCTGAGGACTAGAGCAATTGAACAGGCTGCGCTGGCTAAGGATCCTGGGTATGTTAACAATTTTAACGGCGAGCTTGTTGGGGATTCTTTATCGACAATACATGCAGGACGATACAGGAGCTACAGCAGCGTTTCGCGAGGTATGCGGAGACCGATGACGACCATGCTATCCCTGCTGACCTGCTGAAAATCACATTCCAAATTGTAAGCCAAACTCATAATGCTCGAACGACTGGTGTTTGACGAAGTGGCGTCGAATTGCGGATATGTTCTTTGCACCAGGCGATCCAATACGGCGGTTCACAGGAGTACAACGCCGTTGCAAAGCTGTATGACAATCCGAAGACGCCGTCAGTTCAAGCGGCGGCTATGTGCGTTCATGACTGCTTTCTTCCGACCATAAATCAATGTTTCTTGTGATAAACCTGTCCTGCTGGCTGATATTCTACATCTAGTCGCGCTCTAGGTGCAACGCAGGACAAAGAACTGATAGACCGCACTTTTGAGATCGCTATGAAAGCTAGAGATCAAGACGTGATGTTCTTCCTCTTCGGTATTGGACAAGGCAATCCGAAGTTCAGGAGGGAATTGATGTGGTTCTTCGAGGAAAATTATCACATCGTGCGTCCTCCTCTTTTCTGCGTTATTTGTTCTTCATGATGGGGTACTGAGGCCTGTATTGAACGCGGGACGGTGACATGCAGTTGGACAAGCGGTTCGAAGGCAACTTTACGATGCGATATTTTGTTCAGGTAATTTCATGATGGGTATCTTATGAAGCTCGATAGCTCTGATTTATGTATGCGTGGCAAACGTAGGCTTCCTATGAGAATCTGTCTACGAAGCAAGATGTCCAACATATCGAGGAGTTCTTCAAGGTCCGTTGCGTTGCTCTAGTGTAGATCCCTATTTGTCTCTTCCTTGACTGAGCTTGCATCATGATACAGGATAAGGATACATCCAAGTATAGTCAAGCTCTCGCACAAGCTCTCGACTCTATCAAGGCTAGGGCTGCATGGATCGAGGTACGTGGCGACGAAAACAGATTCTATTACGGGGGTATAGCCTGATGTTAATGTGGCCCACCTTCTATGATATGCAGCGGTCCACGGAGGACCTAACGTCATGGCTGAATGGAGCGAAGTGATCTGTATAACCTTGGAATCGTAGTACGATGGAAGCCTCGCTGTGACAGTGATCACCTTGTTTTACTTTGTCCCTATTGCTCCGAAAAGTTTGGAAGAAAGGAAGAATGTTTGGCCTCGAAGCGTAACGCTACTCTGATTACCCTCATATATAGTTCCGACCATGTACTTCTCCACCTACCCTCGCTCGATCCTGAACTGAGCCCTAACGGTTCTTGAGTTATCGGATACATTTTGTTCAGGTGTGCCACACAAGTGCCACACAGTCGTCCACGTGGCTGTGCTGGCGGCTGGGCCACTTTCACTCTTCCTTTGTCTCGGATGTTCAAGACGACACCTCTTTCGTACCAGCTATATATGAATTTCTCCTCCTACAGCACTCCCAGCTTGCAGTTGAATCTCTGAAGCACTCTTAGTATATCTATTATGCCAGGAGGAGCGAAGAAAAAGTCGAAGGGCAAGTCCAAGTCTTCAAAACCTACAGCGAGTGGCGCGCCTTCGTCCTCACCACGAACAGCGTCGAATGCTGGTACATACGTACCGTCTTCGGATTTTTGGAGAAATGTAGAGAATTCAGAGGGGCTGACAGCGATAGCGAGTGTAATATGCGATTTGTTGGATTTGCCTGGTGAGCACTTTCTCCGTGGGTCCAATTCTTGATGGTGGAGAAACCTGGATTATGAAGGCACCACATTGCGAAGATATGTAACTCGAGGATTCGAACAAGGACTTACCTTGGCTCGACTGTGGTTCGATTCGCACAGGATTTCGGAGAAAGGCGCTGGTTATATCGCTATACTGTCTTGAAATGACCATTTGGTGATCTTACAGAGGGAGAGACAGGATATTTCGACATTCGACTATTCAGCCAGACTGTCTTCCTCAGACGATGCGAACCTACCAGTGGCGTTCCGGGTGCTCCATCGGCCAGCATTTGCGAGAACGATAGCTTGTTTCAATCACTTCCATTACCACATCAAGCCTGAATCGAATCCTGGAGCCTAGCTTCAATCTCTGCCCCACCATTCCCGTATGAACAGCCGTTGTGTACTGTCACTCACGTGTTTAACCTTGTCCTTACAGACCTCGACACTCGTTCCGGTTTGCGCAAAGTGCATCACGATTTTGAGAAGATTTACAAGATGCTCAACGGCATCTACACAACAGCTCGTCTACCGGACGTAGGAAATGATTATATTGCAGGTGCCGTTGTCGCGATCTACTCCAAGATGACCACGGATGCTATCCTGAAGGGTAGAGTTTTCAAGGAGGCCGGTACGTTCCATCGTATCGGGTTTGCTCACTCATTTCTCATGTGCTTTTCCACGATCAGATTTCCTGTCCATGGCACTTCCCTTGCTCCCCAACCCGGCCTTTACCCATGTCGTGCTACTTGCTCTGAAGAATGGCACGAGCCACGGTACGAGTCAATACGGGGGTGACACTAAGATTCTCATCGCTACGAAATCGTCCAGTATCCTCCAACTTTTGGAAGATCGACCTGAGGACTTGCGAACAGCCGAACTGGCCGTTTGCGTCATCTCTCACTGCGTCCCAGTAATCGTATCCAACGAGGAGCCCCCAGACACCAAGCTTCTCTCGCCCTCCGCCGTCGACATACCTCGTATAACGCGCGTTTTTCTGAAAATCCTCCGACAGCATCCAGACGCCTCCCAGTCCCTTGTAGGCCACGTCTTAACGTTCCTCGCAGGCGCCAGTCGTCACTGCGCTGAAGCACTCTGGGACGACCCCGATGCGATCAATTTTTTCGTCGCTGCTCTCCGCAGTGCAGACGTTCGCATGCGAGCTTCCGGGGTGGGAGGAATCTTGCGCGTTCATGGGCGTTATATCATGACGGATGAGGAGACTGGGGATCCTTATAGGATGATCGAGGCGCTCAAAGAGGGTTGGCCCAGTCATCTACGCAGTAGGATGTCTGCGACTGATAAGCTCGAGACTACCAGTACCACTATCGCGAACTGGAAATTCCAAGACGCCATGAAGCAGGCCGTGAAAGACCGTGACTTGTGCTCTCTAGGCCTCAAGATCGCGGAAATTATCCCTCTCTCTGAGTCCTCCATCGTTAGGGGTGTATGGCGGGTCAAGGATCGCCATACTGGTCAGCTCAAAGCCGACAGTCTCGGTCTTCCGTTTATGAAGTGGGAGGACTCTCTGATCTTTTGCGCGAAGGCTATGCGCGAAAAGATACCTTCGCTTCCGGTCGAGCAGAGACAGGTGATGGAGGACAAGGCCGACATGATAGAGTTGAAGTATTTTCTCATCAACTCGATGATACCGGAACACCATGCCCTCGCTCGTAAAGGCGTCGCACGATCTCCCCAAATCGGTTTCTTCCACTACGCCCTCACACTCGGTACGAACGCAGCCGACGGCCTTCGTTGGGCAAAGAAAGGACTGAAGTGCCCTAACCTCACCGCATACCTCAAGTTCGGTATGTTGTTTCGCGCAGCACAGCATGCCGCCGACTTCGCCATCGAAAAGTTGGAACGCGCGTGCGAAACAGGCCTGACACTGGACGAAGGGTTTGCGTTCGCGATGTCTTCGTACGAGGACTCGACAACGTACCTGAAGGAGGCTCCACCCGATTCGAAGCGGATGAAAGAGCTGCTTTACTTGCATCTTTTGATGATGTTTCTCGTGAAGGGCGACGAACTCGGTGCAGCCGAACTAGAGGTACATCAATTTCTTGTGCCCTTTTTTTTGATTTCCCTCTGACCCGTCATGATTTCAGGACGTGAAAGCAAGGCTGAAACTTGCGGACGAAATTTCGATCCATCTTGGTATGACAATCAAGGAGAATCAGCTACGAAAATCGCATCAGGCTGTTCTCGATCGTCTGGACGTAGCATGGCGTGACTGGAAGGACATCATGACCAAGATGCCTGGAGACGGGACGAAAAATCATTCGTCTTCCAAGATCAAGCCAGACAAAGCCGAGGCGGACCTGAATGCATGGCTCAACAGAGGCGAACTTCAAGATCCTGACGCGTACAGCGGCGCTCCCGAGGACTATGGAACGATCTCGGGCCACGAGCACACGCAGGCGAAGGTCAACTGGAGCGCGATGGAAATGTATAGGTGTTCATGGTGTAGGAACCCGAGTGCGGTGCTGAAGAAGTGTAAAGGGTGCGGAAAAGCAACGTATGTGACAATTCTCCTCATTAGCTGCCGTGGATTGACTTCATTTCGGCTATTTAAGCTATTGCGATGCTGTTTGCCAGGGAGAACACTGGAAGAAAGGGCACAAGAAGGTCTGCAAAAAGGCTGCTACCCCATCTTGAACGGTGAACGTGAAGATGTATCGACCCAGGTCTATCGCATAGAATGTGCGTCTCTTGTATCTGTCGTACTGAAACTTGTATTTGTATCTTGTCTTTTCCGCGGCCCAGCGTCTCATATTTGTGTCGACCGTCGGGGTAATTTAGGCTCTAGCCCCTCTATCACCGTCGTGCATACGTTCGAGCGAGCGCCTCATTTATTTCCACGCTGGTGTTTCTACTGGGCTACCAGGGCACCATGCAGTAGCAGTCGCATGAGGTTTGGGAACAATGTGCACCACCTCTCCGCGTTCTGTTTTCAATATGCCGATGCAATGGCAGAGCGCCGTCATTGCCTAATTCGGAGTGCCTAGGCAGCTCATTTGGCGCGTCTCGAGATATCTGATGGGTACATATGACATCCTTGAGGTCGTTGATTAGACTTTCTGCAAAGGTACACACACTCCCTACCATAAGTGCAGATACACATTTTCCCTCGTCATTGCTGTGTTATCGTGACATACTGTTCGTTCCTAGGTCACCAAGCACATGCTCGCAACATGTTTGTGTTGGGTACTACTGGCATCGGTGTACTCGGCACCCAAAACTCGACGCTTTCGAGGATGTACTTCGAGTGGTGATAACGGCCGCCGTATCTTTGTCGGACAGAAGCCGAGAAGAAGAACTGGCCACTTAGGGACGATATCGTCGACTTCGCAGATAAATACAGCCAATACCCTTGACTTCATACGTAGTGGATCGTCTGCTCAGAGATTTGCAGTTTCAGGCTGCGTCCGCGTGGTAGAATGGAATCTACCCCTTGTAAGTATGCTACACTGCCTCACCTGGTCATAAACGTCTGTGTCTCTTGTGCTTCGGCGGGCGAGCATGCGGCTGCTTCGACGGACAACCATCTTCTCTCATAGCTATTCTGGGTTGTGCAGGATGAGCGTCTTCGCCCCAGAGCTATATAAACTAGAGGACTCTCTGCGCATTATCTTCGTGAAGCTCCTGCCCTACAGCAAACTACTAGGATCTCCTCAGGATATCACTTGGCTCTACTGTCCTTCCAGGCTACTTCGACATGTTTTCCCTCTCATTCAAGCGTTTGGCTGCCCTCCTCAGCACTCTTGCTGTGATCACCAGTGCAGTGGCTGTTCCAGTCGCTGAGCCTTCCGAGCAGGTCGAGACACGCGACCTCACTCGTCGCTTGGTGACAAGTGCGCCTCGCTTCGTCGTCTACCAGTCAGTTGCATTTATTCGCTTTTACCTCGCTGTAACGACGCTTAAAATGCTCTAAACATAGGGATGCATGGGTCTCTGGTGAGACTGGCCCTCCCGCCACGTCGTCCGTTACGGGTTACAACGTCTTGTGGGTGCTGTCGCTTTGCTGGCTGTACTCACACGGATTCTGACAACCATCTTGATTTCAGCGCGATGAGCTTCTTGTTGGCTTCCGGAAGCGCAGATCAGGTGACTGAATGGCAGACCCTCACGGCCGACCAGCGTAGCACCATCAGGTCTCAGTACAACGCAGCGGGTATTGCCCTTGTCGCCTCTGCCTTCGGTGGTACTGAGCAGCGTAAGTGTAGCTTCTGAACTTTGTCAGCCCTCAAACTCATATTATTGGTCCACAGCCACTAGCTCGGGTTACTCTGCGACGACCCTCGCTACAACCATGGGACAGTGGGTCTTGGATTACGATGTGGACGGTAAGCTTAGATTGACCCGTCATTGTCAATTAATGTACTGATAATACGCCTCAAAGGTATCGATATCGACTACGAGGACCTTTCTGCCTTCGACGCCGGCACCGGTAGCGCTGAGAACTGGCTTATCAGCTTCACGCAGACAATTCGCACACTGCTCCCTCAAGGCCAATATATCGTCACCCACGCTCCTTTGGCTCCGTGGTTTGCTCCGAACGTGTGGGGTGGAGGAGGTTTGTGCTGCTGCTGCCCTCCCGTATTGGCGTGTCTAAAACTAGGTTTAAAGGGTACTTGAAGGTCCACAGCAGCGTCGGCAGTTTGATTGACTGGTACAATGTTCAGGTATGCCCCTCTTACCTCTTGAATGCGACCTGGCACTCATTTTCGAAATGTAGTTCTACAACCGTGAGTGTAGTCCGAATTCCTTATCGCTCAACATGGATTAATCATTGCTATCGCAGAGGGTGTTTCCGAATACACCACCGTAAGCTCGCTCTATTGCTCTTGTCCATGAGTTTATCTAATCAGTTTTGTTTCTGTTAGTGTTCTGGCCTCTTGACTACGTCTTCGTCGACCTGGCCTGAGACCGCCCTTTTCCAGATTGTGGCCAATGGCGTAGAGTCCGACAAGCTTGTCATTGGCAAGCCCGCTACCACTGCTGATGCTTCTAATGGTATGTCTTCGCCCATTGTACATCATCCGGATATATCTTGACGATTATGGTCCAGGCTACATCGACCCGTCTACCCTTGCAACTTGTGTTTCTCAGGCCAAGAGCTCCGGCTGGGTACGTCATGCCGTCTACTTCCTTTGTCATCTCCTGTGCTGACATGTCAATTTTTGCCACAGGACGCTGGTGTTATGGTCTGGCAATACCCCAATGCTCCTGCCTCTTGGATTGCCACCGTCCGTGGCTCCGCCTTCCCAATCAGCGGTGGCGGTGGTGGTAGCGGCACCACGACCACCACAGCACCCACTACCACTACCACAGGCTCCAGTGGCTCTGGCTGCAGTGGTGCATCTGCCTGGAGTTCCTCCGTCGCATACGTCGGTGGCTCCGAAGTTTCTTACAACGGGCATCTCTGGACCGCCCAATGGTGGACTGAGGCCGACACTCCCGGTGAGCGCTCTTCGCGTCTTCTCGTGTCTAAATCAATGCTGACTTTCGTGTACATCAATAGGTGGAGCTGCTGGTGTCTGGGTCGATGATGGTGCATGCGCTGCTGCTGCTGCGACTGGTCTTACCTCCGTCGCCGCCCCCTCCGCTTCCGCCACACTTACCGGACCTGCCGACCCTCCCTTCTCCTTCCTCCCCAGCGCCTCTGCCGCTCTCGGAATCGACAGGGCTTCCGTCAGCCCAATTGCGTCCGCGACGGCTTCTGCCTCTGCTTAGAGTGCTCACGTGTTCCATCACCCCATAATTATGCACACCTTCTTTCACGATCCATTCTTTTCATCGCATTGCCTTCGTCTCCAAAAGTCTTTAGTCTATTCAATCCTTTCGTTCTCCTTGGGCACCGGGGTCTTTGTGGTCGGGGTGTTCGAGTAGAAGCTGTAACGATGTATCATACTACATCATCGTGTTTATTATCTCTTATTTATTCGCAATCAATACAAAAGTGTTTTCTGTGTACATCCTGCGTGTGAGTTCATCGGTATTGGAGCCAAAAATCAGTGTATATAGGACAATTCAGGACGAAGTTACGAGAGAACACTGTGCACGCTTGACCAGTACCGCACGTCATCGCCCCGTCTCGAGCAACTTGATTGACTCCTACAGCGCAAGCAAATCGCTCCGCACATTACTTCATATTTCTACGATCACTTGACACTCCACACAGCCAATAGTCCAAGAAAGTATCTGCTTTTGGTGTATCGACGAAGATCCTTTGGTTTCAGAGCTTGGATTCACCCTCTCTCTTCTCCAACCACTGCTTGATATCGTCCGTCGAACGCTACACACAAAGCATCGCGTCAGAAGTTCCGACATCAGGAGGCAAGTGAATAAGAAAGGCAATCAACATACCTCGATCCAAGCAGCCTTTGACTTGACGGTGTCTAGCACCTGTGCGAGCGCTTGGTTGTACTTCGTCTGGTCCTTGCCCTATTGGTCGGCACAATCAACCCCACAATTTGCGGTTAGATCCATGTGATTTCAAGAGAAATAAAGGGAGTATGAAGCGTACCTTGAAGAACTCTTCGATATGTTGAGCGTCCTGGATGGTCGACATACCGGAATACACGCCCGTGACGAGATAGCGCATCATGAAGTTACCCTCGAAGCGCTTGTAAAGCTGGATTATACGAACCCATGTGGTCAGCTTCCCGTTACTCGAAAGCAAAATCCATGGATGAAATCCCGCCAAAAATCTCGCAAAGGGAGGAGAACTGATAAGATAACCCACCGTCTCAAAGTTCTCCTCAAAGAACCGTCCAAAGTCTCTCCTAAACTTCTTGTTTGGTGCGATTCCATAGAAGAAGTAGATGACGTCCTGGTCGCGAGCCTTGGTCATGGCAGTGTCGAAAGTGCGGTCGAGAAGAGACCTGTCCTGCGTGGCACCCATCGCGCGGCTAAGTACACCACACACCACATCAAATAGACGCTGTCAGCGAAAGAACTGCATTAGCCAAGGTAAAAAAACGTACATAGCTGCCTGCTGAATCGTCGGTGTCTTCGCGCTGTGGAACAACTTTTCGACCGCGTCATACTCAGCCTTGCCACCATACTCGACGGCCTACAATACAACAAATCCCAGTCAATTTTCAACCAAAGTAGCAGTCCAGAGTGGAGGAAAGGATAAAGATACGGAGACTCACAGTTCGGAAAGTAATCCTCAACAAATCCGCCGGAATAACATGATCGTCGCCGGTCTCGACGAACTTCGCGAACCTGTCCCGAAGCTCCTTAATCGCACTACATCAGTCAAAGTCAGCTTTCCGCTAACGACACGAAGAATGCAGGTTTGGGAGGAAGCTTACGCCGGGTCCTTCGCCATAACCGCCTGCTCGACTGCCCTCGTCCTGAGCTGGCTTGTATCCGCGCTGTCCTCGTCGGAATACTCATATCCGAGCTTCTTGACCAAGGGTACGTAGAGCTCCTAAATGCCCAACGATCGCGAAATTTGCTGATATCAAATTTTCGCTCGAGTGAGCAGAGAAAGTATGGGTAAATGTGCGCACCCTCCTGAACGCATTCAACTGGTCCACGACCGTCTGGTCCTCCCACCACGTGTCCGCAACCCTGGCCACATTCTCCGAAATACTGTCCCATACCAGGACTACCAACATTGTCCCAGAATCATGTCACATCCCTCGTCAGTCAACATGCAAAGGAAAAGAAGAAGTAGAAAGGTGGACGGATACGCACATTCTTCTTCACCCCTCAGGATATCCACCATCTGGAGCGCGGCGCTGACCTTCAAATGTCCGGACTTAGCGAGGGCCATAGCATCATGCACCAGTCCAATGCGGTCGTTGAGCGAAAAGGCGGAACCGGTCTTCTTTGCGGCTTCCTGGGCGATGGAGGCGAGGCGTTCGGGCGTGTAGAGTACGCGGACTGGATGGATGGAACACATGCCACGAAAAGGAAATAAGTAAACATAAGCATCGGCGAGGGAGATAGAGACGGCGAATATGAAGGAACGGTAGAAAAGAGGAGTCCACGCACAAACACCACAAGTATCCGCATTCAACTTCCACGGCTTACTCGTATCCACCTCAAACTCAGCCTCCCTCTTGTCGAGCACGATCTTCCTATCGATATTCGTTTCTCCCTTTGAGTCTGTCGAGAGCAGGCTCAAGGGCACAGTCCTGACGTGACGAACAATTGTTAGTGCCCGCATGCCCCACGCCCCACGCCACGCAGCTCGACGCGGAGGAAAGGAAAGAGTGGGCACGCACCAGATCGTCTTATTATCCTCCTCCTTCGCCGGTCCGTCCTCAAGGAACCTATCCTGCCTCACCCTAATCTTCTTCCCGCCCTCAACCTCCGTCACACTCAACACCGGGAAGCCCATCTGCATCGTATCGCGATCAGTGACCTGCTAATGATGCTCAGATAGTGGGCGAAACAGGTCGAAGTACCTCGGTAACCCAATTTTTCATGATTCCATCCACGTCCACGCCTGTCGCTTGGCTGATCCCTTTCCAGAGATCGGACGTTGTGCTGTTGGCGTAGAGGTGGTTCTTGAGATAGATGGAGACACCCTTGAGGAAAGAGGCTTCCCCAACGTGGAAGGAGAGCATGCGGAGGACTGTGAGAGTAGTAACAGGTAGTGAAAATGTTTAGTGAGGAATCGTTAAGAACGATGCAGGTGTGTGGAAATTAGTAACGTACCACTGGCAGCTTTGGCGTACGACAAGGAGTCGAAGATCTACAAAGGCACAGCGCGTCAGTCTTTCTCTTCTTTAGTGCCAAGTAATTGGACAAAAAGACGACGAGCCTGGTTGATCTGATTCGCATCCGGACAGTCCACCTCAATCGGGTGAGACGAAAGCTTGGCGTCAAGACGAAGAGCGTCGTTGAGATGCTCGGTGATGAACTCAGAATCAACTTTCCATTCGGGGAAGACCCTATTTTTTTTGATTTTGAACGAGGCGAAGCAACGCGTCGGAAAGGATTGGTTAGCATAGACGTTTGGGTGGGTGCGAATGAACACTGACTTATCGATGATGATAACTTCGCCCATCTACATCGTCCATGCCCAAAGATCCCATCCATCAGTTCACCACCTATGACCTTTTTTGTGAGTGACCTACCATAGTCGCAAACCCTAGCCAAATGACAACGAGCGTAAGCATCTTCCACCGAATTTCCTCGACCAAACAGAGACATGTACCAACCTTCGTTCAAATACAAGTAGTTCCACCACTCCATCGTCGTGATATCGCCGAACCTGTCCATCCACACAAACGAAAATCAGCATCTCTCCTCGAGAATGATATGCAATAGGGGATAAAGGAGGAGCGCCTACCACATATGCGCCACCTCGTGACTCTGAACCGTCGCGACCCTCTTCTTCGCCGCCATATCAGCGCGTTTCGGGTCGAGGAGGAAGGCGGAGGTTCGGCCTGTAATGAGACCCTATACGAAATACGAAAAGACATGTTGCAATGAGTTTCGTAAATTGACGAGAGCATCGCATAGCTGCCCAGTGACTCGACGAGCAATGAAGAGGGAGTCTACTTACCCAATTCTCCATGGCACCTACGGACAACGACAAAAATATCAGGTTCAGTCTCAAGTTTGGTATTTCAGAAGAAAAGGAGAGAAGAATTAGCTTACCGGCGTCGAAGTCGTTTACGACTAACGTGTCCAGCTTGGGCAACGGATATTCGACATCGAAGACTTCCTCATAGATCGGAAGGACCTTGCGCTTCACCTCGAGTGCGAACTCGGCCTGTAAAGCACATCACCAATGAGTCCAACTTTGACATAAATTCCGGCAAAAAAATGGTATGACGAGTAACATGACACGCACCTGATGGATCTTATCCTTCGTAGTATAAACCCTCAACGGCCTAACCTTCCCACTCAACGGGCTCGTATACTCCGCCTCGATATACTCAAACGGACCATTCGCATAAGCGAGCAGATACGTCGACATCGGCGGCGTCTTCTCGAACTTCGTCACCGTCCACTCACCCTTCTCCACACCCGCGTACAGAGCGTTTTCGGACTCGTCTTTGGGCGCGGAGGTGGAGGAGGGGGAGGGGGTGCCGGGCATGTTGGAGAGCGAGACGGTGTCTTTGCGTGAGATCATGGTGACGCTGAAGGTGGCTTTGAGGAGGGGCTCGTCCCAGCAGGGGAGGGATTTGCGGGCGGAGGTTGGCTAGGCGTCGACGTGGAAGAAAAGCTGGTAAGCGACATGGTTTATGGACGAGTGGGATGTAGAAAAAAAATAATGAGGGAATAAGAGGTAATACGCTATGACGAACAAGCCAGTTCGAACGCAACAAGGTGATCCGCAGTACAGAACCGAACTGGTCACGATAGACGATAATTATAGGGCGGGGAGCCCAATACGGCTACTCGTGCACCAAATCAAGCCATGGTGCAGACAAAACAGGAAATCGCAACCCCTATCTGGTATACCAGGGAACCAATTGGGACACATTCGTCCTCCTTCCTCGAAAGAGGTTTTTAGAAACACTGTGGCGCCACCTTACTGGTGCCACACGTGCCCCTGTCCAACACCGATGAACTCAACAACAGAGCATATTGTCCGAACGAAGGACGAAAACAACGATGAGATTCACAGAAATTAAATAGACTTACCTCGAACTGCGTCAACGTATAAATCCCGCCATCCCAAGTACTCTTGTAATATCCGGTCATACTCCCGTCCAACACGCCCTTAAACGCCACCCGGAAGACCGCCTTAGATCCCGCCGGTAACGTTTCAGCAAAAGCCCAGGACGTGCGCTCATTCTTGGAATCGAAAGACTGTTTGGTCGGTTGTAGGGATTGGGCGGGAGAGGAGACCAGTGTCAATGAAGCCGAGGGGAGCGAGAGAGACTCGTGCGAGTTCAGGACGATGGAGTTGGTCGCTTCCAAGATATCGAGGCTGTCCATCCATCACTGTCAAATCATTCCATACATAGATGTCGAAACAGATATTGAAGACGCACTGAACATCGACCACACCCTCGAACGTCTCCTTCTTCAAGTCCGTCCTCAACGTCAAGTCATAATGGGTCGGCTTCACGTTCGTGGGCAGCCTGTACTCGTCCATCGTGCCTGGTGCGCTCATACTAGCAGGTCGATTGGGAGCCGATGGAGTGATGTCGAAATTATCGCCGTCTTTACTGTGATTTCTGCACTGGCACAAGCCTCTTCGGGTTATGAAACTGAACGGTTTGTGAGAGGATGAGCCGAGGGTGCCGGTTTGGTGTTTCGTAGACAAAGCAAGGCCAGACGATTGCAAGTAAGATAACCGGGTGCTATGAGACTGAAAGCAACGTATTGAGAAGATCGATGTCGATGGGGAAGAACCTGCAATGGCGTGGCGCAGAGCGGACCCAGGGAGAACGGAAGAAGGTCGTCTTGGCCATGTGGCGGGAACCGATTTCGACGCGTTTAGGATGCGTGCATTCCACATTCGGTTTTGCAGCACTCCGTCAAGTGGCTGCTACCAGGCCGTATAAGTCTGGTAATTTTTTTGGGAAGAGGGTGTTCTCTTGAGGGAAAGAAATTCTTGGGGTCTTACGGCAAAGGCGCTTAATGGCTCTCGGGTGGCGGAGCGACCCGGAATTCAATTTGGGTGGCACTGAAGCGGTGTGGCGGCGAGGCACACCCTCGAGCAGCGGAAGTGAAGTCTCTTTCTCTCTACCTCCATCATCTCAATACTCAAAAAACGAATTCCCGGTCCTTTCTGCTCGAAAAATAATTTATCACTCGTATACTCAACACACTCATCCCAACAAATATGATTTTTACTCTCCTTCCCCATTCCATCAAGACAGCGCAGCTGCAAACAGGTAACGGCAAGTCTCCCTGAACCTGTACTGCATGCAGACCATACTAATCGTCTGACAGTCCGGTAGCTCAGCCGGTCATAGAGCTGGGGAAATAGTCATCCAGAAGACATCTGACTGATCAATTATCCCAAAGACGCTGGTTCGACTCCAGCCCGGAGTATCCACGAGCTCACATTGCTCCCCTTTTGTTTTGTTAGATGCAGAGCAGAAACACGTGCAATCTCACTCACAAGGGTGACCTCTAGCTGAATTGACCTGAAGGACTTGTTTCGCCTGCAGATTCGGAGCACCGTACTCGCTCAAGCATCCATAAGCCACCAAGTGCATACGCTCTTTTGATCGCTCTGTTCGATTGTCAACCACAAAAATGTCAGTCATAGTATCCTCCGGTAGCTCAACTGGTAAATAGTGTTTGGAACATGTTCAAGTTAGACATAGATAGTCACCTGTGCACCCATATCACGCTGGTTCAAGTCCAGCTCGGAGGGCCTTCGAGTGAGAACCGCCGTTTTCTCCCCTCAAATTTCGAGGCATTATTTTGATTTTGTCGCTACCTCTATGCCTCGTTGCCTTAGTTTGTTGGCCCTGACATCATTCACCAAATATGCTTGGACTCGAACTTGATCACGTTGAAGTGGGTACCAAATGCTGTTGTAAACTTAACCATTCGCTAGCTCAACTGGTTAAGAGCATTGAGAGCTTGTGTTTGCTCTTTCTTCATGAAATATTCTCCAAGACGCTGGTTTGACTCTATCTTGGAGGTCTAAGTCTGTGGCATGAGTTTTCCGAAGAGATAGCGTTGGACTCTTCCAAAGCAGATGTCCCCTTTCTGCTTTGTTTGGTTCGGGAAACGCCCATGGGAGAGGTAGCACCGACACAGAGATCAAAACGAGGCCTCGCCACAATAGACGGATATCATCGATACAGAGTTCCGACAGGACTAGGAATACAAGCTAGAGAGATAAAAGCATCAATAAACGCCTCGATGATGAAGAGGAAATCGTAGACGAAGAGCACGTACCAGGAAGCTATCACAGGAAGCATTCGACATTCATTGCACCGGACCTGACGGCTGCGACCCAGAGCCAGTATCAGTCGCACCTCGCGGAAAGATTGTCGGCGGGGATGCAGCAGATTGTGACTCTTTAGAGCCTTGACGTCGGGTACCACCTCCACTCCTCCCAGTACCCAAAGCTCTAAGCGGCGGGATCGAGGGCATCCCCGTTCCCGCACTTGTATCCGCCCATGGTGCGCGCGTCGGCACAGTCGTCGGTCCCGTACTCTGGGTGTTGTACCCTGCGTTACTCGCGTTACTCGCCCAATCACCATAGTCCGAGCCATATCTATAGATTGACCCCGGAGGCTGCATCATCGATGCGAGCGACGTGCCGTGGTCGCTTAGCCCCGTGCGGAGGGCTGTGGTGGCCCAAAGAGCTTGGGTCCCTCCTGTTGGCGTCAGGCTTGGACTGTTGCCTACGCTGATCGCAGAATCCATACTTCTAGGCGGAGGAACGATAGCTGTGGAGCTGTAAGCTGCTGTTTGCGGTAGAGTCGAGAAGCCAGTGGATGTCTGTGAAGGCGACGGGTCCCACTTGAGAAGACCGCCGAGGGGTATATGTTGGACGACGACACGTTTGCCTAGAACTTCTGCCTGTTACGAGGAATCGCATTCGCCGCCGCCACATTTGAGTGGATAGTCTACCAAATTGGTTGACGTCGAAAGATACTCACCTCGTACATCTTGAACAGGCCAGAGTTGACCTTTGCCCAATACATGACGCCTGTCGCGATGGAATGTAGTTGCGAAGAGTGTTCATGGAAAGGGCCATGTTTGACTTCGTGGATGCGCATTATTGACATGAAATACAGGTTCGTTGGCGGCAATGATGGACGAAGAATCGCCGACGGAGGTATCTCAGTCTGATCTAAAGATGCAAAGATGGGAAGATTAGCGATAAGTAAGGTAGAATATAACGAATGCGTTGGGCCCCTCAGAGTGCCTACGACGGGGGTACGCAACCCGCCCACATATTCCGGGCTGCAACAGACTGATTTCCGAGGGTACCTATCAGGAACGAAGACTGAATACAAACATGCTCACCTCTCAGTTGCGCGCTCCCGAATATATACCCCAAGAAATGTGAATCATCCAATCCCCATACACCGTGACTCCCCGCCGGCTCAAGCTTATATACGTCCTGCAGTCTCCAGCATAGCTTCAAGTAGCGCACGAATATCTTCAATACTATTTGGCGCTCCTCTTCCGGGTTTGGCTCGAGAAAGCGTACGAGGGTAAGACACAGGAGGAAGAGAGCGAAGGATGTTTCGTGGCCAGTCCCGTAGTCCATGCGAACGAAAGAGCCAAACGAAGTGTGGAAGTAAGGAAGGAGATGTGCGATGCATGCATGGAAGGCGGGTGGTAGTTTGCTTCGAAGGAGAGTGTCGGCTTGCTTTCGAAAGGGGCCATGAGAAACGTCCTCCTTGAGTAACACTTCAGTATATGTCTTGAATATGGAGACTCACCTGTTCTAACCTCTTCCCCCAGGTTCTAAAGGCAAGGTTGCCAAAACGTTGGGGAGTGTTTAGAGGCGGTATCTCGTTGATCCAGCCGTCGAGCACATCCAAGACGCTGAGCAACGCTGTCACCGCTTCCGAGCCTGAGTATCCCACTACGTATCAGCAAGATCAAGACCGTTATGTTGTAAACGTTCTATCTTACTGGAAGAATGATCATAGGGCAAGCTAACACCGACAACTGATTCATTCAACCGGCGAAGAAATAGAGCATAATCCTTGTATCCTGTGGTCTGCTTCCAGAGTTCGACATCGGTATCCGTGCGGATCGTGAGTGTTGGGAAATGTTCAATGGTGGATACTGTGGTTATAGGCACTTCACGAAGGTTTGGTAAAGCTTCTGGGACAGAATTCATCGGAGGTGATGGAGAGGAGAATACAGTTGGCGTCAAGCATGGTTGGGAACTTTGATGCAGATGGGTGGCGCTCTTGTTTACGCGCCGGCGTCCTGACTGTGTGGCGGCTTTTGGCCCCCAGTATTGTAATTATTTATCTTCGACGGTATACATGGGAATAAACCATGGAGGCAGGAATAGTATCACTAATATGAGGTAATACGCATGTAGTATAATGTATCGAGAGGAGATTGAAAAGGGCCAATTCCTCAGGACCTCGAGAATCGAACAAGATCACAACAGATATTCATGCCAATACTTGTGCGCCAAATTTTTGAGGTAATATTCCGACAAGATGTATCTAGGGTGTGGCAGATACCTGCTATCCTGCGTCAAAAAATTGGGACGAATCAGAGAGTACGACTACTCACCTCACAACTCTGGCCAAAGAGTACGTGTAGAGTCTAGAACGAGAATACCAGCATCTCGAACGGCAAGTTCACTGGGCCCCCGAACTGTGTCAAGAATACAACTCATCAGCATTGTGAGACCTAGATGGTCAATTCACAGTAAATGAGGGAATATCGTCACGTACTTCGAGCACTAATAACTGGTCCTCGCTGATTTTGTACTCCGGTTCAATGAAGTCAAAAGGAGTCTCAAGCAACAGGATGCTACGATACGGAAGTCGAGCTTCGAATGCGATGGAGAAAGGACTGTCATTTCCGATATGAAAGATGTCTGGTTCGGATTTTGCCTTGACCAAGACCGGAGGGCGGTCGCCTTTACGATTGTAGGAAGCTTCCAAACTTCGTGGAAAATCCTCATCTCGCAGGAGATGGTACCCGAACTCGACGACAGCGCATCGCTCATGATCTCTTGCTTCCGGCGCCGTCAAGAAGAAGTCAGAGACGATCCTTTTTCCACTGATATACCCTACCAACCTGGCCATGACACGACTCAATATGATAGGTCAATGGTATACAAGATAAAACATGACGCACGATGGGTCAGGCAACGGCGAGACAGGATCCTGAAGAAATATTCTGGAAGAGTCCGGTCCCCATTCTAACCATGGGACCGGACGGACCACGTCATCCTTCACCTGCTTCAGAGCGTGATGTAGCAGATTGCTGCAGCACAAGACCATGTGATAGTTTCTGAGGGTTGTGTCCTTTTCATAAGCCATTTTGAGGAGCAAAAGACTAGGAGGGGATTGCGGAGAGAACGAGGAAGTCCTCATGTGAGATTCAGAGTAGTAATTCGCGCATCGCAGCGGCGGAAGAAGAAGGCTGGAGATGTGGACGAGCTTGCCACAGCATGGTTCGCGGCTCGGGGGGTTCCCTGTAATAGATCGTATACCGTCGGCAGTTGAATAAATTTCAAGCCTGCCGTCGCCTTTTTCGCCTGGCACGAACGTGGCTATGATCCCCGGAGAAAGAAAGCAGAAGTCGTCACTAAGGGTCCGGGCGTTGGCGAGCTGGAGGTTGGAGTCGTGTTTCTGCAGGGGCTTAGTATTCTACATCTAAATACGTAGCTAGAAATTACTCACAAAAATGACCTCCCCAGATTTCCAATTCCAAACGCGAATGTACGTGTTTTGGGTCTTCACCAACAGGGCGAGCGTATCATCGAAAATCTCAAATTTCCTAATACATTCATCCGTGATGTACATCGTGTCAGGACACAAACACCGAAGGATAGGCTTCGAGGCGAAGGGATGACTCCGATTTGTTGTCAGAGTGCGTAAATGGACCAGGAGCTCTCTGCTCGAAGACGCAACCAAGGAGTCATAACCAGAAGTTCCTCGACGCTCGATGAGTGTAAGGACATCTTGCACCGGGTCAATGGTCATTTCGGCAACTAAAATACCTATGTCTTCGAAGACAATCTCTTGCGCGCTTTGTGTCGGAGATGGAAGGTAGAAGACAGTGAGAGAGGAGTACGTTGTGCCTGTGTCTCCACGCTCGTGATTCTCAGTCTGAGCAAAAACTCCATTTGAATGCTCGTAGAGTTCGCATGGCCGTGGCATTGTAATCCGTTCGATCTTACTAGAAGACAAGGAGCTCCATCGACGGCGACGGTCAAGATGAGTCTGTAGCCGCTCGGCGGAGGAAGTGGACCTGTCGACTGGTGTCATCGTATCAATGATTCCGTCCGCTCCGAGCTCAATTTTCAGCTGAAGAGCCGATGTCGCTCTAATCAAATCATGCAGGAGTTTACACGTCTGTGTGTGGCCTTGTGTGAGTGAAGCTTTAGGTGATGAAAGTGACTGGCTTCTACGAACCATCGAACAGTGTAGTACATCTCGGAAATTCAAGCGACCTAGGATCTCCACAGCCAAGAGCTCTTGGGGAAGATCGAGAAGTTGGTTTTTGATCAGGGGAGACATCTATCTATGGATGAATCAGTAACTAGATTCACTCGCGTCTGGCGCATGGTGGATATCAGCGTACGTCCGTGACCTTCTCGAATCGTCTTCAAACCGCGATGTTCTAAATTGTTGGGAAATGAACGCTGCTTAGCCAGTGGCTACATAAGTGTCCGCTCGTCAGTCAAGAGAAATTTATCAAAGCCAGCAAATATGCGCACTGCAGTTGATCGACAGACCAATTGGAACAATGGTAGAGTTGAAAGAAGAGACGACGCGACGCGAACGCGACATTGACACGATGCGATCTGATGTGTCTCAATGATTCTCACGGTTGTTCGCGTGTGTGGCACACTGTGGCACATAGATATTTATCTACTTGGCGCGACGACTCAGCGACGTGAATGAAAGCCAATATATAAATACATATGGTGGATACTAATACAGTACGGTTGTGAGGATAGGTGTTTGTTCGTTGCTTATCTAACAGCACTAGATAGGGTGATACGTTCCTCGGCCACTAATCCCAATCCGAAAACATCCATGTGAAACAGAAGAAAACAAATCGTAGAGAGCGCATACATAAGTCGATTAGAAAGAGAAAACCCTCATGGCTGTTGGAGAGTCTTCGTCTGGCCCGTCCTAAACCACAGAATGATGGGCCAATTCGTCAGTACTTTTATCAACAGCGCGGATGAAACGGCTAGTGAAAAGACTTACATGAAGGAAATATAGATGCCTATCGTCGATCCCAAACTCTGGACGCGGTCCACTGCAAGGAAATATTTCTACTTGAACGCTATGATACGGCAAGCCCGTCTCGACAGCGATAGCGAATGGACCGTGATCGGTAACGGCAAGTCTCAATGGTTCCATCATCGACTGGTAACGGAGAGGCGTTGGCGGCAGCCCTTTCTTGAAGTCAGGCTGGCCCCATTGACATGTGTTACGGGTCAACGCGAATTGTGGATCCCTGAGGAGCTGATAACCGAACTCGACAATCTCGAAGGGAGGGTTACGAGGATTTCGTGGCCCAGAGGCCGTACACAGGTTCATCACCATTCGATTCCCGACGATGAAGTTAGGCCACCTGTACCATCGGTCAGAACATAGACCAACCAGAAGACGATAGGTAGAGAGAAAGCACGAACCAGTGTTCTAAAGGCTCATCGACTTCGGTAGGTAGCTCACTGAAAAGACGTGAGCTGGTGGGACCCCATCTCTCCCATGGTATGAAAGGTGGTTTGTGGGAACTCGAGCAGAGGGAGTCGGAGGCGTATCTCAGAATATTGCGGATGGAAACGACCAGTCGAAACGCTGCATGTCCGAGGTCGCCAACACAAGTCAACGTGACGAGCAGGAGGGCGGGTGGTGTAGTCGGACTGAAGTGTGAAGCAGCGACTCCAAGATCGCGGTAGCGCCACTCCTCCTTCATGGGTGGAAGTTGGAGTCGGGCGCGATGGGTAAGACCAGGGATGCTCCCTGCCGCCCTCTTTTCCTCTTTTCTGGGCGAAGAACCATCCGATAGAGTGTATATGTCCAAGGCGCCACTTGTCGCATCGCTGACGGCCAGTATGATCCGAGAAGTGAGGAAGGCGTAAGTTCTGAATGCGATTGAAGGGTATCCATCGTTATCTTCGAATGTATGATCCTGTCGAAATTCGGCGTTCAGCACATGTACGATAACGAGATGCTAGGAGACCTACGACGACAAGGTTACCGGATTGCCAGTTCCAAATCGCAAGATAGACAGATCGGTCCGATTTGAGACAAATAGAAAGCATATCGTCGAAAATCTCGAATCGGCACACGGAACTGAACTGGACCGCTCCCATGGGGCAGCAGCAGTAAAGTACCTTGGTTCGTGCTTTAGGATGGGCTAGGTTGCTGCTAAGGGCATGCAGGTGTATACGCAGAATTCCTTCAGGGTTTGAGATCGTCGCCATATCTTCATCGGCATCCGGGTGGCGCTCGAGAAAGGCGATGAGATCGTGATGACAGTCCAAGGCGTGGTCGGCCGACCAAACACCACTGTTAGGCCAAACACTACTTCGTATCATGCTCGTTTCTGGGGTAAGCCGAAAGATGGTATGGGAGCTATGTGGCTTATCGAGGTCAGGGTATAGCTCGCTGTCGCACTGCACAAACGTGTTGCCCTTCTGCTCGAAGAACTCCCATTGCCAAGCAGGAGGCAGCTGCATGTAATCGGAAGTGTGCCATCGTAGCGTACGCCAGCGACGACGAAGATCGAGATGTCGGTGGAGTCGTTCGAAAGAGGACATAGATGTGTCGTACGGCGAGATCGAATCGTCGATGATGCCATCGGAGCCTAGCTCGACTTTGAGTTGAAGAGCTGGCAAGGCCCTCACAACGTCTGATAGATATTTGCATGTCTACGTGGCAAGTTAGACTATAATGATAGAGACTAGACATATAATTTGACGTACGGCGGAGCAGCGAAGCACATCACGAAAGTCCAATCTTCGCAGAACGCCTTCGTCCAATAGTTCGAGAGGTAGGTCCAAGAAAGTGCGTGAGCGCATCGAAAAGCACGTCGGAAGCCAAATGACAGAGGACAACAGTATGCGAGCAGGAGAGACTTCGCGTGAAGAGCAAAGCGACTCTCTTGTAGGAAAGATGGAGACAAAAAGCTTAGCGCAAGCCTCAAGGCCTGTCTACACGGTGTTCCCGACGACCTTTTGACCGCCTCATTAGGAAAAACCAATCCTTAGCGACGGCCCGAGTCAAATGCCGATGGACGCCTTCGCAGGGGAAAAGCCAAACGTCGTGGATTCAGTGAAGTTGGGCTGCCAGATTATATAGCTACTATGCGAGAAGGGGTTTCCACTCGAATCGTAGACGAGTCAGAGCTGGAGGGATTAGACAAAGGAAAAGCGGTGACGTCCGGATCGTATGCCACCCCCGTGAGAACGTTTGTTCGGCTTTGTCCGCGTGGCCCACGATTGTCAGAAGTGGCGCAGACTTGCCACTCGAAGGTTGGGGCGAAAAGTATTTCAAGTGTTCATCGCACAGTGTGGATGTCCGTATGGATCTGGGTCACAATCAGCGTCAAGTGAATCATCTGCACATCTGACTAGATCTTATATCTCGCGTGCTATATGATTATGGCCAATACTTTGAACTACTCAAATGCGACACTCGATGTGCAGACCACTACACGACAGTGAATGATATGAAGGTATGGTCTGAAACCATCGTCCATATTTATACAGAAAGACCTCCATCCACATTCTGGGTATACCTCATTCCGAATACTGATAACAAACTTAGCAAAAGGCCATAGGCCAAGGCCTAGCAAAGGTCGCCCGAGCGAGCAATGTCAGCAAACACTTCACACACGTAGAAAAGCAAAAGGGATCAGGGACTTACCCTCTAAATATCCTTCCCCACAATATGTTTTGCTGGAAGCTGAGTTCCGGCGTGTGAATGGAAGTCGAAGAGCTCACGGCCAAAGAGTCTATACGAAGAATAGACCGTATCTGCGAGTGAATTTTTGGCCCTGCTTAGGCTCGCCAAAGCCCAGTGGGACGCGGTGATTGGTCCGATCACCGTTTTAAAGTCGTTTTAAACAGTTGCAGATACGGTCTAATATCGCAGCCATTGCATCTCGATTCTCGGGTGATGAAACGTGGTAATCAAGCTCAGCTTTCGAACCGCTTCGAGTCAGTAGAGTCTCTGCTGTGACCTCTAGTGTTGTTCTACTTCAAGTGAGTGTCATACTGGCGGAGACATATTTGAGTCAAAATGACAGACTTGCGACTGTAGGACTTACTATTCCTCTGGTGTAAGAGCCTTGTTACAATAGATATGGCTAGATGTTCAGAACATAGCCACGACATCAGCTTGCTTGTCACGAAGACGAAGTGAATAAGGTAACGAGCGCAAGGGTCAGAGTCTGATTATAACTCAACACGGAGGATTAAGCCATGAATAAGTGATTTAATTGATTTTCTATCATGTACAACTCGTCCAACTTGTCGGACGAGGGGTCCAAAAGTGATGAAAAGAGCAGCATGCTCACTGTTCTAACCCTAAGACAGTATAATACTCTCTGGTGCGTTGTGGTGGCGCCAGTAGCAGCGTAGGCATAGCTTGAGCATCTTCGTACTCGAGTATACTGTACGCTGCTTGGCCAATTGTAGCCCAGGTCAGGTAAGATAAACAACTAATTCCACCGTGTAACGTTGTCAGGCTCCATAGCGTTGTGGACGTTGTGGTGAGAGCAGCAGAGCAAACAGGTCGTCGCGTGAGAGCAACAAGGAGTGACGTCACTGAAATACTTACACTCGCATTTCGCCGCAAGAATCTTTCTCTTTCAACTCTTTCGGCACCACCATCTCCAACTCTCTGCGTCAATTCGCGTCAGTGCCTTCGTCACTCCTAGGGTCGCAAAAGGTAGATACCCCAATAGCTCGGTGGTATAAGTACGGCATGTGCAAACCACAAGCCTCATCTTTTCATCCAACTTGACGCCAATATCGGCTACCGTTATGACATCCAACGTAGGTCTCTTGAACGCATCATGAGCTGCGTCCTACATCTTACCTGCCTTGGCACTTCAGTCTAAGGAGACCGTGACCGGTAAAGACTCCCTTCCTATCGAACCGGGCGACACAGTCTGGTCCAAGTCCCGAGGGGGCAAACACGAAGGTGTAGTCGAGCATGTCCTGGAAACACCAGAGGACGTGGAAAGAGCGGCAGACGCTGGAAAATTACAGGGAGTCAGTGTGAAACATCCGCCTAAGGTTGTGTTCACGGACCAGGTGTGTATTTTGTTAATACGGAACGCACTAACGGGCGACGTTACGATGTATCTGACGATCGACGTGAAGCACGGACACAGGGTGTCACATAACCCAGAGGCCTTGCAACAGTCCGATGGAGCTGATTGAAACATTGGGACTCCTCATTGCTTGCTGCGTGCAATACTAGTTCTTGGTTGTCTCGTCACGCATCCCGGGACCCGCATCGGCGCCCACATCCACCTTTGTATCATCGAGCAATGAATATTTGTCGATACCAGTCAGCCTCATATAGGAGGGACCACTTTCTCGATGAAACTAGTTTGAACATGAATGTGTCCTGAGTTACTCCTTTCTTTACCATGTCTGAATATTCCAAATTTACTTATCTCGCACCAGTCTATTGAACGCTGGCTGGTCTACTACAGCAGGTGCACCTTACTACGGTTGTGCCGAGTTGTGGAACATGGACCACAGAGCTCGGGATTTGGGTGTCATATGTGTTTCTCTCAAGTTTTTCTGGGTCTTGGTTTTTGTCTCCCTTTCTGATGACGACCGTGTGGCGTGTGGCCCTACTGTAACGCGGAGATGTCCGGAAGCATCGTGGACTTCCTGGTTTCTAAATTTCATAAACGCTTCACAGTCGACCCCCACGTTATCAGTAACAGTGATCTTCGCACTCGCACAAGCTTGAGCTTGGCTTGAGCGGTTCTCTCGCTCGATATCTTGGAAACGCGTCCTCTCGGCCACCGATACCTGTGCTATATCTTACTGCAAAGTACCTCTGGCCTGCGCTGCCTTCGCGCTGCGCCAACGACCTCGGGAGATGACGTGGACGCTTGCCGAGCAAGTGTGTGCACGTCGGCGCCCGCGCCCGCGCATGTCTTTCTATTGGTCCTTCTTGGCACGGGGCTATAGATGATCTTTCGGCCGCGCTTATCTGATAACTGGAGCGGGTATCCCGCACTAAGATGAAATGAATATCGACAGGGTACGTACCACGCCCGGCTTCCCCTAGCTTCCCCTTCACCTTTAGGAAACGGTGGTGTATATATAAGAACGTGTTGACTACGATGGGTGCTCTACGTCTCAACACTTGTCTTCTTCATCTCCCCCCATATTCGCCCCTCTCCTCAGCATGCCCGAAGGAAAGCACATCGTCATCGTAGGCGGCGGCGGAGCAGGTGCTCAACTCGCCAAAAACCTCTCTCAGTCCAGGGACCTTTCACCTTCGTCGGGCCACACACTTACGGTTCTTACCGCGCGTCCATTCTGGATATTTCTCATCGCGGCAGCACGGTTCACGACGTCTCCTGAGAACCACTTCGAGCAGAAGTGTTTCATTCCGTATGACAAGTTCTTTGACGGCGCGGGTTGTGGTACGGTCAAGGTTGGCAGGGTTGTGAAAGTCGAGCCAACTTTCGGTGGACGTGCAAGTGAGAAAGGTGACGGTGAAGGTACTAGTGACAGGGGCGTGTCATCAGGCGGAGAGTTGTTGCTGGAGAGCGGAGAGAGGATGAAGTACGACGTGCTTGTGCTCGCACCAGGCAGTACTTGGGGTGGCCCTCTAGATTTTCCAGACAAGAAGGAGGACATCATGCAACATCTAGAGGTATGGTGGAGGAAGTTCTCGGAGGCAAAGTCGATAGTGCTTGTTGGTGGTGGAGCTGTGGCTCTCGGTGCGTTCTCACTCTCCTTACATCCATCCTCTATCGCGACTTCTGGTGTCTGGGTGCTGACAAAAGTTCGGTATCCGTGACCAACAGAATACGCGGGTGAGATCAAGGATTTCTACCCATCCACAAAGGTCACCGTCGTACACAATGGACCCATGCTTCTTAATGCCGCCTACTCTGAAAAGTATCGACGTCGCGTTGAATCGGAATTTCGCGCGCGAGGCGTCGAAGTCATCCTTGAGGATCGCGTAGATGACCTGACGCCACCGACCGAGGGCAAGATCACGACGCGTAAAGGCAAGACTATTGAGTGTGACCTGATGGTACGTTCGAGCGGTTGTTACTTCGTATGAAGTCCGTATTTATGGCTGGATGCTCTTTCCCAAAGATACCCACTTATGGCAGTCGCGCGGCCACATCCTTCCTCACCTCCATTGAACCGTCAATCCTTAACTCTCGGGGCGACATCAAAGTCAATTCTCACCTCCAGGTGGACCATCACTCCCTCCCGAATGTCTTCGCGGTGGGAAATGCTGTCGATTGGGACGAACAGAAGCAAGGTACGTCTACTCTTTCTCTTCTCTTAGGTCCTGTCTCGATTGGTGGGCTTGGATGATGAACTCGCTCCGGTCTGTACTCAGCGGGCAAATACGGAAAGCACGCTAAAGTTGTTGGTGGGAATATCCTGGACTATCTGCGAGGGAGATCCCCCACCAGTGTGTATCGAGGATCGACGGAGAAGATAGTCCTCTCGAACGGAAAGGTGAGTATTTTCCTATTAGAGCCACGCAAATCATCCTCTGACTATTAAACATGTCTCGACTCTTGCCAAATTGCTCCAATGTACCCATGTAGGGAGGAGGCATAATATTCATCTCCATCTTCTTCGGTTGGAGTATCATTCTCGGAAACTGGTGGGTGAGACTATCTAACGGTGACACGTACAGAGTAGAGCGGATCAGGAGGTGGTTTGGTCAATCGGAATGATTATGATGGCCAGGCCTGGAGTTTTCGTCGCGTGCGAATTGTCCGTACGACGGTGTCTCTCTGAACAGTGCATTTTTTCCTGTGATATTTATATATGCTTAGTGTAGTTGTATTGAAACATATTAGAAACGTTGTCTCGAGGCTTCTTGTGGTGTCGGCGGTCTGTTCGAGGACTTCGCGGAGGCGTAGCGTCACGGTATGTCTTGTCTCAGGGTGCAATTTATTAAGATATGTATCCGGGGTTACCGGATTTCTTTAGAGTTTCTACTAAGCTTACAGAATCAGGAAGACAGCAAAGAGGAGGACTTGCGCACTCAAATGGAAGGGATGTTCTGGGTGGCGTGTGGCGCTCAGTTTTCGGCAATGGCCGTACGCGCACACCTTTCGTTCGAAAATCCATGGCCCGATTATCAGAACGTTTTCTCGCTATCCGCCATCTGGCCGATACATACGTGTCTTCAAGTAGCCATCGTGGCCACTGCTTTCTATCGTGAACAAGGCTTGTCGACGCAGGAGCTCTTCGTGAACTAGACAAGATCTTTCACGCCCTCGTCGTCCTCACAGTCCCTTTGTGCACCATCGACGCGTCGTGCACGACTTTACAGCCTTTAACTCAGTTGATCGCCCTTGTTCGCGATGATGCTCAGCTCTGCGTTGTTGGTGGCGTTGATCTTTTTGATATCGCCGCGCCTTGGTAGCTTTGCAGGACGTTGCGGACGACGTGTTCTTTCTTTTCGCTGATGGTGCCTTCGAAACTTGAGACTTGACTCAGTTGCTTGACTGTTGTACGCGCACAGCCTGCAGTACTATAAAGAGCTGCTCATGCGTACTGTCCAACTCAAAGCAACTCCCCTCGAACTGTTCTTGGATATCTTCTATAACTTGAAATTCCTCTCGCATTCACCGTTACCACCTCAATTTCGCTACACATGCCTAGTAAATCAATCGTGATCATAGGTGGCGGCGGCGCAGGTGCCCAAGTCGGTCTCCTCCTCTCCCGCTCCCCAGCCCTTGCTTCTTCCTCTAGTCTTAGCACCGGAAACACACTCACACTCATCACCGCCCGTCCTTTCTTCATCCATCTCCCTGCTTCTGCTCGTTTCACGACCTCTGCAGAGGGCAATTTCGAAGAGAAATGCTTCGTGCCTTACGATCGGCTCTTCGCTGGAGGGAATGGATCATCCAGCGTGAAGATTGGAAGGGTCGTTGGTGTTGAGCCTCTCGTGGGCGATAATGGAGTAGGGGAGGTAGTGCTGGAAGGAGGGGAGAGGGTGAAGTATGATGTTTTGGTTCTTGCGCCGGGGAGTACGTGGGCTGGCCCACTTGATTTCCCGGATGGGAGGGAAGAGGTTATGGGGCATTTGGATGTATGGCGGAAGAAGTTCGGTGCTGCGAAGGCTGTGGTCCTGGTTGGTGGGGGCTCAGTCTCTCTCGGTATGCACTCTTTTTCCTCGATGCAGTTTGCGAGTCTTGGGATTTTGCTGATTGCTTTTGTCTTATTCATAGAATATGCGGGCGAACTGAGAGACTTCTATCCCTCGACTAAAGTCACGATCGTACACAATGGCTCTATGCTTCTCAATGATGCATACCCCGAGAAGTATCGTCGAAGGGTCGAACGGGATGCACGTGCAAGAGGGGTTGATATCGTATTAGAGGATCGCCTGGACGATATGACGCCGTCGAGTGAGGGTACGGTGACGACACGGAACGGGAAGGTTCTTCCGGGTGACTTGATTGTACGTTCCCCTTCATTAATTCCATGATATCTCTCTACGTCTACTGACACAATCGCATGAATGGACAGGTGCCAACGTTTGGCTGTCGACCAGCCACATCTTTCCTCACCTCCCTCGAACCTAGCATCCTCAACTCTCACGGTCAGATAAAAGTGAACGCTCGCTTACAACTGGTCGACCCAGCGTTCTCGAACATCTTCGCTTGTGGAGATGCTATTGATTGGGCCGAGCAGAAACAAGGTACGTCCACCTTCCCAGTATGATGGCTTCTTATGCTGACTTTCGTATGGGTATGCAGTGCGCAAGTACGATGCTCATGCTGCAGTCGTTGGTGCAAATGTCCTCAGTCATCTCGAAGGGAAGAAGCCTGCCAAAGTGTATAAGGGGGTTTCTGAGGATATTCTTATTACGAACGGCAAGGTCAGTCCTTCCTCGAACTTGCCTCCAATCCTATTCGACAGACCACGCCAACCCTTTTCATTTTTTCTCGTAGAACCGAGGCGCCGGTTATGTGACCCTATTGTCCGGCCGAGGTGTTGTCCTAGGTGATTGGTTCGCAAGGCTCATCAATGGCGAGACGTTGAGGGTGGAGAAGGTCAGGGAGTTCCTTGGGTACTCGCCGTGAAGCTTTGGCATGGTCATGGGAGAGAGCGTCCTGGGTCCACGGTTTTCTTCTCAATTTCTTTGGGCTATTGACGGACAATCGAGCTGGACTTTCCAGTATATATTACTTTGAAAGCGACGTGATACAAACCCTTCGACGAGCGAGCGCACCTGAAGAACAAAAATCTTTTTTGAGCACAGAGCCTGGTAGTATATCCGAGTTGGAGTCGAACCAACGTCTCTGCGATATACTGTAATTTTCATGTGCACTAGAGAAGCACCTAACGAACCGCAGCTGCGCTCTACCGTTGAGCTATCGGGACATAGGGGACTGAGTGCTTTGTCGGATGAGTGCACTTCGGGCAATAAACCGACAGTGGTAGGATTGCGATTTTACATACTCAGTGATTAGGCCTTGAGGACGCCGCCTTCAGATTCTCTCATGGATACTTGAAGGTCAGTGACAGTACCACAGTCTAAATATGCAAACATTGCGACAGTCGAACAAAGTATAATGAAATGAATACGAAACCATAGTCAAGGAGGCCAAAACTTGTAGCAGTCTGGGAGAGAGCCCTCCGAGTTGGACTCGAACCAACGTCTCCGGTAGTAATGTGCTTTCGCATGTACAGGTAAAGTACACCGGCGCTCTACCATTGAGCTATCGGAGGGATAGTAGGGAAGAGTGTGCTTGTTATCTGACCGGAACTGACTCTCGCTGATAGTTGAGTTGCTTTGTGGACGACGCCGATACTTGAGGGCGTGATGGCGGGACGAGAGGTTGAGTCGAGACACAGGATGGTGGGACCGAGTGGCACCAGGGTAGCTGGCTTCGCTGCGTCGATATTCCGGTTCAAGATTCACAGAGGTGACATCACACGAGTAGAAAGAAAGTCAAATCCGCGAGTGAGGGAGTCAAGTCGAGCCAACGTACATGTATCCTAAGCCACTCGACTTTCCGTCCACGACGAAGCCCAAAAACAGCGTTGGTTTTCGAGATAGTGTCCTAGTAGTCCTCCGAGTTGGGCTCGAACCAACGTCTCCAGCATCGCATGTCGGGATGAAAAGAAAGTACACCGGCGCTCTACCATTGAGCTATCGGAGGATTAGTAGGGAAGATGGAAGACCATGCTTGTTCTTTGACCGGTACTGACCCTCGTTGGTAGCTTGCTTTGTGAACGACACCGGTACTTGTTAGGGGCGTGGCGGCCAGGCGGAGACAAAGGAAGGTGGAACCATGTGGCACCAGATAGGATGGCTTCGCTGCGTCGATATCCCGATCCAAAACTCGAAGCCGCGATGCTGCTTGAGTGGAATGCAAGTAAAATGAAAGACGTTCGCGAATGACCATGGTGGCACTGAGGGAGTCAAGCTGAACCAACGTACATGATTCAAAACGACAAACCGTTCCGTCCACGACGAAGCCCAAAAAGAACGCGTAGTTCTGAGCCTCTAGACCTCCGGGTTGGACTCGAACCAACGTCTCCGGTAGTAGGTAGAGTTCGTATGTTCAGGTAAAGTACACCGGCACTCTACCGTTGAGCTATCGGAGGGTCAGTAAGTTAAAGAGACCATGCTTGAGATCTGACTTGGACAACGTACTTACTCGTTGCTTTGTGTATGACGCCGATATTTGCCAGTGGGGGGGTGCTGGGCGAGAGTCCGAGTCGAGTCGAGACAAAGGATGATGGGACTGGGTGGCACCAGCCTGACTTCAATGCGCCGATATCCAGGTCACAAAGACGACGCCACATGAGTAATAAAATGAAAGACATCCGTCAGTGCTCATTACACTGAGGGAATTAAGTGAATCAAGTAGATCCCACGTACAACTCGGACGACGGAACGTTCAGTCCACGACGAAGCCTAAAAACAAGGTGGTTTTTTGAGCCTCTATTCCTCCGAGTTGGACTCGAACCAACGTCACCGGTAGCAATTATCGTTCACATGTCGAGACGTGAATAAAGTAAACCGACGCTCTACCACTGAGCTATCGGAGGATTAGTAGGGAAGGCCGTCCTTGATATCTGACTTGGACAACGTACTTACTCGGAGGTAGTTGGATTGCTTTGTGGATGAAACTGATAGTTTCGAGAGGGGGCCGCGGGCTGGACGAGAGTCCAATTCGTGACAAAGGATGATAGAACCGAGTGGCAACAGTTAGGGTGGCTTCGCGGCGTCGATATCCTGATTCAAACTTAACAGAGGTCATGCTACTTGAGTCGAAACAAAATAAAAGCACATCAGCGAGTGAGGGAGTCAAGTAGAACCAACATACATCTCAAATAACGAACCGCCCCGTCCACGACGGAGCCCAAAAACAACACTAAGTTCTGTGACTGTAGTCCTCCGAATTAGACTCGAACCAACGTCTCCGGCATCATGTCTCATGACTCGAATAAAGTACACCGGCGCTCCACCATTGAGCTATCGGAAGGTTAGTAGGGAAGACCATACTTGTTATCTGACTCGGAAAACGGACTTACTCGTTGGTGGTTGCGTTGCTTTGTCGGTGACACCGATACCTGCAAGTGGGGATGTGCTGGTTGGGCGAGAGTCCGAGTCGAGACAAAGAATGATGGGGCTGAGTGGGACCAGCTAGGCTGGCTTCAACTTCGCTGCGTCGATACTCCGATCGAAAGTTCACAGAGATGACGCCACACGTGTAATAAATCGAAAGACATCAGCGAGTGAGGGGATCAAGTACAGCAAACGCACATCCCGAACGACGAACAATTCCGTCCACAACGAAGTCCAAAAACAACGCGATCTTTTCGAGTTTCAGTCCTCCGAGTTGGCACCGAACCAACGTCTCCGGTAGTAATTATCATTCTGGAAAAAAACTGAAAGTATACCAGCGCTCTACCGTTGAGCTATCGGAGGGTCAGTGTTAGTAGGGAGGACCGTGCTTTTGGACAACATATCTCCTTCAATTGGCAGTCGCGGTGCTTTGTGGACGATACGGATGTGTCCGTGTTGGGCAAGAGTCCGAGTCGAGGCAAAGGAGGGTGGGACCAAGTGGCACCAGGCCAGCTTCGATATCCAAGAAATACAATGGCAACACCACATAGTAGTGACACTCAAGACATCCGCGAATGCCCATGTCAATAAGGGAGTCAAGTATAATCTACGCACATCCTGAACGACAAAACGATCCGTGCCCAAAAATAACCCGGGCATATACTCCTGGGGTTCCAGTCCTCCGAGTTGGGCTCGAACCAACGTCTCCGGCATCACAATGTTGAGGGGTAGAACTGCTAAGGTACACCGGTGCTCTACCATTGAGCTATCGGAGGGTTAGTAGGGAGTATCGCGCTTGATAGTTGACCAGTACTGACTTTCGTTGGTAGTTGCGTTGCTTTGTGAACGACATCCATACCTGCCACCAGTAGTAGGGGGGGGGAGTCCGAGCCGAGCAATGGAAGATGGAATCAAGTGGTACCAAGGCCGGCCCCTCTGCTTCAGTATCCCGATTCAAAATCCACTTCCTAGAATGACAGTAAAGTATCAAAAGGACATCCACGAGTGAGGGAGTCAAGTAGACTCAACGTACAGTATATCCCGAACAACGAAACCCTCCGTCCACGACGGAGCCCAAAAAACAACGCGTCTCAATCGTATAACCCAAGTCCTCCGAGTTGGACTCGAACCAACGTCTCCGGCATCACAATGTTGAGAAGTGGGAGGAAAGTACACCCGCGCTCTACCATTGAGCTATCGGAGGGTCAGTAGGGAAGAGCGTGTTTGTAATCTGACCGGTACTGACTCGACTCGGAGGTAGTTGCGTTGCTTTGTGGACGACCATGAGTGACCACACTTGAGTAGAATGAAAGTAAAATGAAAAACATGCACGAGGCATATCTAGTCCTCCGAGTTGGACTCGAACCAACGTCTCCCGTAGTATTCATCGGACGGATGAAAGAATGCTAAAGTGCACGGGTGCTCTACCATTGAGCTATCGGGGGTGGTTAACTTAGCAGACCTTCCTCGTTAAGTACGAAGGATTCAGGGGCTCATGGTGAGTTGCTTTGTGAACGAGCACCGGAGGGGGAGTGCACGTGGTTCAGGCGTGCTGGTCGAGAATCAAGACAAAGGACCCACGGCGCAACGCTACCCACAGCAAAAGCACCGTAACTCTTTGTCGATGCATGACGAGAGACAACACAACGCAGGGCAACATCAGGTCCTCCGAGCTGGAATCGAACCAGCCGCCTCCGGGTGGTATATACGTAACGCTTGAAGACGGTAAGCTACCATGCCCCGGCGATCTACCGCTGAGCTATCGGAGGACTGTAGTAAACAATGAGCAGTAGAAGTGGCGTTGACTGGGAGTGCAGAGTCCGCAGAGTACGTCCAGAGGAACACTGGCACACAGCTGATATTGCGGGTGGATTCGACTTCAACTTAAAAAGCTGGCAGAACATGCGATTGTGCGAAAGCTTGTTTATTCCCCTAGGGTCAGGAGTATGATTCACATACAGACAACGAAGAGAAATGAGAGAAGAAAGAGACGGGTGAGGCGGTAAGGGGCGATGACGGGAAGGCGGATGGATTAGAGGAGCACGAGACCGATGGTTCCGATGGCCGTGGCGCCGAGGACGGCGTAACCGGAGGAGTAGGCTCCCTTGAGGGTGAGGACTAGATATTCGTTCGAATGAGGATAAGTAGAAGGTCAGTATGCATGTATGAGGATGAACCGGATGAAGGATGTGGTGAGACGGGGGGGAGGGGCGGAGAGTTACGGGGAGGAAATATATTTTGACACAAGGAAGGAGACACAAGGAGGAAGGAGACGCAAGAAGGAAGGAGACGCACATCTGCCGCTATCCCAGGCCAAATGCCTCAGTCCGTTGAACGAGTGGAAAGCGAACGGAAGAGCGAGGATGCCCTTCGCGGCGTATTTCACGGACTCGGGGAGCTTCTTGACGGTATCGACGACATTCTTCGAGCTGAATGTGTCGGGAGCGACGAGGTAGGCGATGGAGAAGCCGTAGAGGACTGACAATTCCAGGCGGGAAGGGGTGCTTCAGCCACGACTGGTTAGTATAACTTGAGGGTAGGATCACTTACGAACGGAGAGTGCGGCACCGGTGGCACGGTTAAAGATGGAACCAATCCATGTCAGTTGTGGTTGGTAGATGGTGAAGTGAGGGCTTGAAGGGCGGTTGAGACGTTGGGTGTTAAGGATCTCTTCAGAGGCTGAGGGTGGGAGTGATTGTGTCTTGATGGTCCTGTGAACGCCACAGAGGATCCTTCGATATCATTCCCAAACTATGACAATATGTTAAACATACCGCTTGGGAATGGACATACGCAGATTCCTAGCTGTTGAACATATCGACAAGTGACATAGATATCAGTAGACAAGTAATGCTCGGGATGTTCGTCATGGCGCACCGAGCTGAGGGGTAAATGCGCTGCGCCTGAGGGCAGCACTGAGGCCAACAGTACGAGTTGCGTTCATATTGAAGTCAATTCAACGGATTAGATGGATGAGAAAGAGAGGAGAGCGTCGGGAATAGCGAAGAGAGCAAGCAGCGACGACGTTCACGGGCCAATGGCGGAAGAGAGGAATGTCGGCCGGGGCGTGCCGGAAGGACAAATTCACGTGTTGGGACAGGTTGGGACCGAATTCGGACATCCCAAAACGGACATCGTTTGTCTTGGCACCGTCGTGGTCGTCAGCCGGTGCGTACAGACTTTTCTATGCGTTGACCGTAAGCGTGTTCGCTGGGGAAAGTACCACTGACGGACGAGATTGTCACATAATAGCACAGCCTAATTTGGACGACGTATAATTCAGAAAGAGGCCACCATTGCTGAGCTTATCCCTCTCCACTCTCTCAACCACGGTCGGAAGAGGCCACCACAGACTACCACCCAAGGGTTTGACATCGAGACATTTGCGATGAAGTTCAGGTGCGTCTTGCCACTGTGTTGTTCAAGCAACTATCTGACGACAAAGAATTCTTATCGTGGCACTAGCTCGTCGTTGAAGTTTAATGCCGTCGTCGAGTGGTGGGATGAGTACATTGCGTGCGTCTCGATTTTTTTTATGTTTCACTTTCTTTGCATCCGGCGTGGCACCCTGGACCGATTCGTCTCTGTCTCTGGATCATCTGGACTTGTCTTGTCTACTGCCTATGAAGCTTCGGGGTATCATGACTGTTGCTGCTTACTGGTATCGGCCTCGAACGTTATCCACATATCCTTCGACAATTGCTCCATCCCATCTGGAGGACTATTCCTCTACGAGAATACGACACCTAGCCTGTTATATATCACCCTTTTACCAGTACTTGGACAACGACCTCAACGAACTTCCTCGAACGAGTCAATGTGGCCAACTGCCTGGCCGTATAGCCGTGGCATCTTCCCTGCGTCATCCCTAAAAATATCCCCCGATTCTGCAACACGGTAGATACTCCCTACCCTACTCAAGTCAAAACCATGTTATGTATACCTCACCCACCTCACGACACCTTACAACACACGCGATTGCATTCACCGTTTAAGCATAACTTCATCACCGAAGCTCTGTACCTGTAAGTTTGTCTTCTCTTCGTGCATCTCCAGTCCTTCTCCGAAGCTTAGTGGATGGCACAATCCCCTCTTTGGCAGAAAGTATAGATCCTCGATCCCTGTGCTAATTATCTATAGCCTGGAAGCGAATCGAAGTGGGCCACTCCAGGTGCTGTATCATGGGAACCATTGTCTCCACCAATCTAGCTAGCCAGCCAATCAGCCTCCGTCATCGTCGTCGTCATTCCGCACGTAGGGTTGAACCACCCTTCCCCTTCCCCCACTCCAACCCAAAGCCCATATCGTCTCCCAGCCTTTGAGCCAATCCCGAATCTGCTCCTCTGCCGGCCTCTGTTCCTCCTCACAACATCCGCGACGCGGCTTCCCCCACTCCCCCTCGTTCCGCACGATCGCCACATCGATACAGCCCCCACATTCGCGCTAAAACGAACCGGTCGATACAAGTGTTCCGCTTGCGTCCCTCGACTCCGCGACAATCCATCCGCTGGTTCCGTTTCCGTCTGACATGTCGATCCGCTGTACCTACATCCCCACTCGTAGTACGTTTCGTGGTTTGGGGCTTCGCAATCAGAATCTCGAGGCGTTCCCTTTCCCGTTCCGCCTCTGCCGACATTCGGACGTCTATACCATACCGTCGTAGCCGTTAAATTCGAAATCCCACTCGTCTTCGTTCGTCCTCCGTCGCAGGACTAGGCTCTTCAGCTCTCCAGGGTAACAGCTGCGCCATTTCCCCGCGACTTTACGGCGCCGTCGCCAGCAGGCGTGGACCACCGGATCGAATTTCAGGTTTTTACAAACACCAGGATTTCTATTTCGTTCCGCCAGCTACATTCACCCCTGAGTGGCCCACCTCCAGCTTCGCAGCCGACCTCCTTCACTGATTCCGTAGGACCTGTCCATCCCCTTTCGCTTTCATCTCCATAGTTTAGTCCCCCGCGTTTTCGTGATCCTACACACATCTCCTTTCCCTATCACCTATCTGGCCATTCTTCCATCGTTGGAACCCCGGCCGAGTCTCTATTTTCGCGGGGGCGCGCAAGTTCGGTCCCGGTTCAAGTGGGGGAATCACTTCATACGCGCCACGGACAAAGCCGCTCAATGCTCGACCTCTGCTAGCCCCGAATTTCGCTCTAGGTCATAGGCCCCGAGTTCAGGTTCATGAATCAGGCTTAAAGCACTACATCCGCATTCATGGTCGTTCGTTCGATGCTTACGCCTGCCTTACGCCACGATTGAACCGTGGAATCACTTTCTTGGGCCTATTGAATCGATCGCCACTAGATGTCAAGATTCGACCAAGGTTCACGTCCATTTCGAACTCACACCGGTCCTACGGTCTCAGCTCCTACAAGGCTGGCTCCTCCGATCGGACATGGTTTCAAGTCTTCCCGAGCCGCCACCCGTCAAGCTTGGTGTCGTCGTTTACACCCGGAGGAATGGCCCATCTAGCGATCACACTGGGCTCAAATTCAAAACCACTCGCTTTCCTCGGTCTATGTACGAATGTGATCCGACGTCACCACGAGGATGTATCCGGATCTTTCACCCATGTTGTTCTGCAAGTTGCCCTAGACCTGCATTTCCGACATGGCTCCTTTGTTATACAGCATGCATCTCTCGACCTCTATCCATTCGGAAGGCATCACTCGATAGGGAATTCACGGAGAGTCCGGGTCACGAAAGAAAAAGCCGTTCCAGACGGCATACCTTCATCGCCTCTCCCGTACATGACCGCCGTCTTTTCTTCTTCAAAAAAAGTTACACTACTGGACCTTAGTCGTTCAGCCCAGCTCTTCGCCTATTCTCTAGTCTTCCTCCGTCCTAGCTCCTCTTCAAGCTCCGTGTGCCTCGTAGGCGCTGAGATCGTCTTCCTCCTCGTCGTCATCGACCGCATGCCGTATATCACGCTCGCTTCTGGCCTCGTCTGGTTCCTCCTCCATCGCTTGCCATGGCCGTAATTGGCGCGCGTCAAGGCTGACCTCCGAGGTCGAAGTCGCGGCACCCGACGGTCTAACTCTACGGGGACCAAGATCGACAAACGCAATTGCACGCCCTCTTCCTCAGTTGATCGTCTCGTTCGTTCTCACGAGCATGGAGCACATGCACATGCACATATACCCGTCGTCATCGGCGTATACGCATGTGTTTGGACAGGAAGAGCAGACGAGAGCACAGGAAGATCGACGTTGCCGGTTGGATTTACGGGAATGCCGGACGTTTGTCCTCTCTGGTCCCTCACCATCACTGGCTTTCGGTGATGGGTGTCGGGCAATGGGGCCGGCAACGGCGGTGATGTTCGTCTATACGGGAGGAGTACGAGATACGATCATTGAATGGATCCCCTTCCGTCCTTGGAGCTCATTCTTCATTTCCTCCCTTCGGAACCTCACCTCGGCATCCGCATGCGTAACTGGTCTGGAAGGTCCTGGTTTTCCCTGTCTACATGCGATGTTGGTGATGATCCGGTATGACGAGAAAGGTGGCTGGGCTGGGATGTAATTCAGTGATCTAGCATCCGCGCGGACACCACGGCATGGACGTGAAGGGGCGAAGGGGCCTTGTGGCAGCAGTGATCGTGCTCCCTATCGACGTTCGTCCTCGGGGGAATGAAGGGCGGTATCACAATCCCGACATCTTACGGACGCCATTTTCGGGGAACGAGCAAGGGGCTATGTGGCGAGCATCGTTCTGGCGAAATGGGTCAGGCCGCCGACTTATGCCATATGGCATACTCGACGAACAAAGTCCTCGGCGGCGGTGATCTCTCATCCTTGGTGCTTCCTGGATCTGCTATCATTGAATCTAATTTATGGCGACGGGTCATCGTTCTGTGCCTCGGCACCGCGACACAGCGCATGGTACACTAGGGTACACTTTACTGCTCGGTCTCGCTGGATTGCTGGGCTTTTTTGTTCGTAATCTCATGCTAAGACGTGTGGTGTTGCAACGCGATCTCCCAGGCTCGAACGTGCGGCTCAACAGGGCTCATCTACTTATCCACTGGCTACCGACGACAGTCCTGTCTAGTATCGAACAGGGTGCCACACTTACTAACGCCACACAACTATACTTTCTTCTGCCACAAACTAACACATCTTCACAATTTTTTTTGTAACGGCGTGACAATAGTTACGACACCCTCAAGAAATACATCTACCAACTCGAGAAACAACAACACGAAGCTCGTATCGCTGCTCAAGCCCGGCACGATGACCCCGAAGCCGCCGACGAACACACCGCCCTCTTTCCCTCTTCCGACCCCTCCCAATCACCCGATACAGACGCGGTGTTTCGTCCGCTACTTGACACTGAACTGCGAAAAATCTCTTCGTTCTACCAGTCGCAGGAGAAAGAGCTGTTGCAGGAGTTGAGGGAGCTGGAAGACTTGGTGGAGAGTATGGATAGGAATGGGGTGGGTGAGGGCGTGGTGATGTATGAGGATGGGGACGATGATGACGATGATGATGACGACGATGAGGATGACGAGGATTGGAACGATAGTCCTGTGAGGGAGAGGAGTACGGGTAGGGGTGTTTCGGCGGGGCGTAATGGCTCGCAGAGAGGCAATTCGAAGAGGAGACGAGGGAGTAGTTCGTTGGGAAGGAAGTCAGGTGAGTCTACCTTGCTCTCGTATCATCTTCAGCTGAATACTTACGCTATTGCGTGTGTCGGTAGGGCATGCGAAAGAAGTGACATCACCTCGACTACGTCGCGTTAGTTTATCTTCCACGGAGGAAAACACTGACCTTGAACAATCACTCGCCTCTCTCCGTCAAGTACATCTTCAATCCCCGGGGATGTTTCCAACAACGGTCCCGGAGGGCGAGGAAATCTTGCCTCATGACGGACCCTCCTCTTCCGTCCTTCCTCCACCGATCAACACGAAACACATCACCGGGACCGGATCAGGAAAGACAAAGAGTCTAGCGAGGAAGTTGGCCTCAAGTATCGCCTCGTTAGGCGGTTCACCACATCCGCCATTGGGAAGTGAGAGCGCAAGCAGTCCGGTAGGCGGGAGGCCAGAGACGATATGGAATTCGAAGAGCGCGTATGCGACGGATACGCAGTTGTTGTTCAAGAGGAGGATCACGAATCTTTACGTACAGACGAGCGCTTTGAAGCAGTATGTGGAGTTGAACTATTCAGGATTCAGGAAGATTTTGAAGAAGTGAGCTGTTTATCACGGCCCACACAGCGAGTTAGCTGACATCGATTATTTATCTGCAGGTATGACAAAGTCACGGAGAACTCTGTACGTCCCTCACTTGTGTGCTAGCCGCTATGGTTGATTTGGCCTTACCGTCATCTTCCCAGCTTCAATCACACTTCATGCACACCATACTCGAACCTACACCTCCCTTTGACGCCGACTCTCGCTCCCGCCTTACACAAGCCTCATCTTCCCTCCTCTCCCTCTACTCGAAATGCGTAACACACGACGACTTCGCCCTCGCTCGTCGGCAACTCAAACTCCACCTCCGCGAACACATAGCGTGGGAACGCGACACAGTTTGGCGTACCATGATTGCACGTGAGCGCCATGGGACAGGCGGCGGTGGCGAGACCTCTGGCATAAGGATAGAGGATGGCGAAGAGGAGAAAGGCGTCTTGTTGGATGTGGGGACACCTGTAGGGAGATTCAGACTTAGCCGGAAGGTTGTGTGGTTGCTTCTGGCAGGTGTCGTGGGGCTGGTGTTGGGCAATGTGGAGTGCGTGGAGGGTAGGGAGGCGAATACGTGTTTGGCGATATTGGTGTTTGCGACAATTCTCTGGGCGACAGAGGTATGCCAACCCATTGTGTTGAGTCCGATACCGAAGATAATATACTTACCTGGATTTTATTAGGCAATACCGCTGTTCGTCACGTCTACAGCGGTGCCTCTACTCCTAGTTTGTTTCCGTGTCGTTCGTAACGCTGAGACTGAGGAAGCACTATCCGCACCCGACGCCACAAAGTCCGTGTCTATCATTTGTCCTTTTTTTCTCGCTCTAAATTTCTGGTCTCAATAAAACAGATGGGTTTTCTCCGTTATGTTTTCGCCAACCATCATGCTCCTGATCGGTGGTTTCACCATCGCAGCCGCCCTCTCAAAGACCAGCATCGATCGTGTACTCATTACACGGGTGCTAAGTCTGGCTGGGACTAGGCCAAGCGTGGTGTTGCTCGCAGTCATGGGGGTGGCATGTTTTGCGAGTATGTGGATTAGGTGCGTTCAAAACACTGCCTCTTCTGCTTAGTAGAAATTGACGATTGGTACTGGTGAATAGTAACGTGGCAGCCCCAACGCTTTGCTTTACACTTGTTCGGGTGCGTCACGGTCTCGTTCTCAACGTCAACAGTATTGACGGCATCATTTCAATAGCCCATCCTTCGTACTCTCCCGCCACACTCTAGCTTCGCTCCTTGTCTTATCCTCGCCATTGCCCTGGCAGCCAATATCGGTGGTCAATCTTCGCCCATATCATCCCCTCAAAACCTAATTACTCTCAACGCCATGGACCCCAAGATCGATTGGGGCCGCTGGTTCGCCGTCTCCCTCCCCGTATCTGGCGTCTCCATCTTCCTTATCTGGCTTCTCCTCCTCGTCTCCTACCGACCCGCTCGTCTCCCCGACGCGACCGATACTTCTTTTGCCGCCTCCATCGGCCTGGGCAATGGTGGAAGGAAAGGTGAGGTCTTGGAGATCAAGAGCATCAGGCCGAGTCGGGAGAGGTTTTCGCCGAAGCAGTGGTATGTGGCGGTTGTGACCCTGGGGACTATTGTGCTTTGGTGTGTGGAGAGCTTGATTGAGGATTACGTCGGCGATATGGGAGTCATCGCTATCATACCTATTCTGGCGTTCTTTGGGACAGGGGTGTTGAAGAAGGTCAATTTTATTCTCGATTACTTCGTCCGGCCTCAGTAAAATACTCAAGTTGTGTGGTTTATTTGCGTTCACAGGATGATTTTGAGCAGTTTTTGTGGAGCGTCGTGTTCATTGCCATGGGCGGTATCGCGTTGGGCAAAGGCGTCACGTCCAGTGGGCTGCTAGACAAGATGGATGTCCTCATACGCGAAGTCGTCGATGGCCTGTCTCTCTACAGTGTCGTGCTTGTTTTGTCCTTCATCGTTCTCGTACGCAACTCTGCCTCTCCTTCGTTCGATCCACCCGCTAACACGCACCAATTATTACACACAGGTCATCTCAACCTTCATCTCCCACACCATCGCCTCCGTCCTCCTCGTCCCCATCGCCAAAGCCGTAGGATCCAACCTCCCCGGTGATCAATCTAATCTTCTCATATTCATCACCGGCCTCATCTGCTCTACCGGTATGGGTATGCCTGTTTCCGGGTTCCCAAATCAGACTGCAGCTACGCAGGAGGACGAGATGGGCCAGCCGTACCTTTCGAACGTAGACTTTTTGAAGAACGGAGTGCCGGCTAGTATAGTTGCTACGTTGGTGCGTTTCAGGATTTTCTTCCATGCCGTCTGCTTTCTTTCGACGTATCGTGCTGATGCATCGGTCATACACAGGTGGTTGCGACGCTTGGTTTCGCGATCATGAAGCTCATCGGGTACGCTCTCTTTTCTGACATCCGTTGAGACCTCCTTTGACGAACCTGCTTTCCATAGGATATAATGGCCTCCTTCTCGGTCGACAATGAACCAAATACTACGCGCTACACAGTCTTGGACGCTCTACTAGACGGAATAGAAGACACCACGCGCGCTCAAGCAGTGGCAGCAGCATCCCAGGTTTCGGACGCTTATATTATCGTGCCATATCTATATCTGATTCAAGATTCTCGCATCTAAATGGAACCCTTCCTAGTCTGTTTCATGCGGGCGCTTCACCTGCTGCCTTGGAATGATGCTGCTTCTGTCGAGACGCCTGGCACGATGGCATGGGACATGATTCTCGTTAGGTGCGCGCTTCAGGCCGTGACATGGAATGATGTGCTTTTATCTGCGCGTCGGGCGTGTCAGTTTGGCGTATCGCCATGTCGATAAAATTGATTGTCAGCTCGGGTCAGTCGAGGGCCCGAGGTTGGTAGCAAAGTGTTTCTGTGTGGCACCTTCCCTGGAAGAGAAGAGAGCGCCGCTGACCTAGATACCTAGATGCTTGTCAGAAATCAACGGTGAATTTCACTGAACCACGGCGAGCGATCTTTTTTTCCTCCTGCCCAGAATAGAGTCGGAGTGAAGATCATTTATGATCTGCATCAGCAGAATTTTCGAGAATAAGGACTGCTTTTGGTTCATGTTGCTGATATTCGATCAGTATTTGTTTCTGTCGCCGCAGAAAGGAGGAGCGGGTGCTGTGCATGAACGCTCTGAGCTTAGAGGGTCTAATGCTACTGGCTGACCCTATATCCTAGGTCAGACGTAGCAATATGCGCATGATGATGATGGCGTTCTAAAGATTGGGTAAAGCGCGAGGCTACTCATAGTTCTCAAGCTGGGCTGGCGCAATGTTACTTTAAGATCGCGATATAAGGCGGGGACCGCCGTCAGTCGATCAACCACACCGCCCCTACATGGCTTTACATGTACACGAAGGAATTTGTAGTGTGGAACTCACCGCAGACCTCGCCTAGTCGAGGTCACTACTTATCAGGGCCTTACAACTGGAGATCACTCGGAGCTTCTTCCTCGGGCTCTTTTTCGATGACTTTAATCTATCGCCGGCCGCATCTTCTCGTTTGTGGATGGATACCGCAGCAGGTAGTGGTCCCCCATGACACAAGGAGACCCCCGAACTTGTTTGACGAGCACGATCATTTTGATGAGCGTCTCGGAGCGGAATGACGAGTAGACTTTGGTTTTCATCCTCGATCTCGTAAGCCGTTTTGTGGATAACGTTCCCTTTCTGAGCCGACCTGTACCGGCTCCACGACCAGATATCCGTCAGGATTTCTGTCTGCATACTCTACAAGGGGACAAGGTTGGGAGCTGCGGATACTTGTGCTGCCATAAAGAATTCCTCCTTGTGTACTGTAACGCCTTCCTTCGAAGCCCTCGCACGTTCGCTCGTGGCGCCTTGTGCGACAGATTATAGTTATCTTGAGATACTAAAGTCATCTGTCTTACTGCCCTATCGTTGGCATAGATCCGAAACAACCGCTGTACAAACCTTCGACCATCTGATGTGGCGTTTTGACTTGCGCCTTGGTCTTTTCTTGTAGCGATGCTGGTCCCTTTCTGACGGTTTGAGAAGCGCGCACCTCTGTGATTATTATTGTTTCGTGCATTCTGTAAAGGTACAGACGTATGTGTAGCCTCCGACTCGACACTCTGAATCAAAACATGATGATAGAGTTGTTCTCATCACTTCTCATGGTGTGTATGATCCACACACTCGGAGTCTATCAACGGTGAAACAGTTCGAAGGTACGCAAAATTTAGATGATTGCTTCACCCGACGTTCTGATTTGGAGACCAAGTCGAAACGGTCCAGTCATCTTCTCGATCATGGGTATGCAGTTGCGACAGATTTGGATGGCACAGCCAACAGGAACTGACATATCTGACTTCATAGTGGTACGTGAACCCATCCACTTTGGCACCAACGTTCGATTCATCAGCCTTCATCTCTCTTGTAGTTCACGGCGTACGGTGGCGTCGATGTTTATAGCCATAAGTGAAATGACCTGTCGACTTGGGGATCGGTCCGATCATGGCCATATGGTTGTATCTCGACATCTCCTCGGCCTGAGCCTCTTTGGCTACGGCGCGCCCTCAAGAGATGTTCTGAGCTCAAAGCAGGCCAAACAGTTATTCGCAGCAGATTGCCCATGCAACACGGCCCCATTCAAGATCCGATTCGGCATAAGCCTTTCGAAAGTTAAGTTGGCAGAAGGTCCACGCATTTAGCGCTTTCGGGTCATCTTGTGATTTTTTTTCTTGTGAGTGCCTTGATATGGGCTCTCGGGTCACGATAGTGTGGAATACGGGACGACGGTAGACCGAGGCAGACAGTCGTGTGCCACATTTCCTCTCAGGTAGAATGTGGTTCGAGCCGGACCGTTCGGAACGGGGCGAGGAAGGTTTCAACTAACCCGGAATGGTACAAGGTTCATCGGATTCAAATTTGGCTTCAGGACTTGGTTGTTTCGTCCACATCTTCTCGCGCTGAACCCCACAGAACTCTTGGTGGTGTGGGATTATGACGAGAGTTATTTCGTGGCAGAACCATGTCGAAGTTCATCGCCAGTGGTCGAGATTACTTCATGGCTACGGGATAGCGTTTGAGTCACCGATACAGCGCTGATGCTACTATACTGAATTCTCTCACACTGGTATGAGAGCCGCCGAGTTATCTCGGGCAAACACTGGTACACGCCCGGCAAGTCAAAAGACAATTAATCCAAAGATCCTTAACCACCCAATTGACTCCCACACCTGCAAGGACACGAGGTCACCGCGGGTGAGTGTGCATGATCGTCCGAGACCTCGCTTCGCCCAAGGGGATGATTATGTACCTCTCGAGGACTCGAGGTCATCCTATTCTGTGATGCGATCTATCGCATCTTCGGCCCAGTGCGGTTCGCCTTCATGTTTCACCTCGTCATCATCTCGAGCTCCTTGTAGCATTCACTCATGGTAATGATGAGCATGTCAATGATGATGTCGTGCCGGGTGCGATTGCGGCAATGGGTGCCTTGTCTACGGAAGTGTCGCATATAATTGACGTTGCGACTCATCAGAATTGCGACCAGAAATTCTTCGAGGCGACAGGATTCGGGAGGAAGCAGCGGCGCTAGGAAGTTCGAGTATATCCGCTGGTGAACACTAATACTCTGAACGAGACCAAGCTACGATTTCGTTTTCGAAAATTTCCCGGATTTTTGAGTTCTTCACGCCGTCCCGCTCGCCACTCATGGCCAGGAACAGGCGTAGGGGAAGTGCTGTGGGTACAAACAAATGACGTTCCTGAAGGCGTAGGATGGAGATAATGGCGCCCCACCTAATGCGCCAATTTACGGCAAAATTTGTTCAGCAAGGGGTATGGTTGGACTAATCAGCAGGCAACTCAAACGCGAATTGTGGGGCGTAAAAGCGGGTTTGAAGGTGCCATTGGCCGATTTATACTACGACACTGGGCATATAGATAAGTACAACCCCCTGGTCAAGAGCGTATGAGAGCAAGGTGGCGTACAGTGATAATAGCTGATCGAATAGGCAAGTATGTACTATATGGATCTATATGCACAAGGTCCGAGGAACATTAGGTATGCATGATGTGTGGATATAGGCGATATGTGGGATTATGGATTGTACGAAAACCAAAGCAGAGTACAAATATTACATGAGCGACATAGACGATTCAAGACAAAAAGCGTGGCGTTCGTAACTCATAAGAAGGTAGATGCGTACACCATGGAAGAAAACAAAGCGGGACATTCATTCAAAGCACAAGATGAAACGGATGAAAACCTAGACAGCTGAATGATGCGATGGGAGAAGTGTGGAGAAGTGACACTACATTCAAAGCGCCTACCAAGGCCGAACAGTACGAGAAAGCGTATCAGTATTTTCGCGGCGGCTCGAAACCTCTGTCTCGTATCCTCGATACGGAACATCTGCAACATGTTGGCCAACACGATGATTCTGAGGAGCCGCCGTCCGCTGAACACCCGACCAGTCCGCTCCAGCGCTTCCCGATAGCGATCCCCCCAGTGGCGTCCCTCGAGGGCGACTTGCGAAGGAAAAGCCATCGGCGTTCTTGTATCGAGCGGGTAACGTTGAGGTTGTGGCCGTCAGACCCGAAGGCATCTCAGTGATGAAGTTGGGTGGCGGCGTCACGGGCTCGCTAGGAGATTGGTCGCGAACAGATATCCGCTCATTTATGGAAGAGGTAGGTGAGTTCGATGGCGACGGGAAAGATAGGTCGGAACGAGCGCCACGGTCCGAAGCGATGGGAGCGTATAACGGTCCTTCAGTGATCCAACGTGGATGACTAGCGGGGACAGATGAGGGAGACCAGAACGTGTTCTCGAATTTTGGGTACCTGTCGCCATTTAAGTACGGTAAGAGCTCAATGCGCGACTATCAGGTAATGGCTAACTACTCACGAGACAACGGGCGGCTGGGAGATCGAGCGCCGCCGTCGTTGGAGTTGACCCCGGGAGGGAGGACGAAACTGGTCGGAGTCAGTGTTGTCGTCCCCAAACCTCAGGCGATGAAGAACGGCTCTGGGGTCGTTCGAAGAACTTGGAGGGGTTGAGGTCAGCACAGAGATAGGTGGCAAGGAGAAGGATGGTTGATGGTGATGTGTGGGGGATCCGGGTGCTTGCACGGGAGCGATCGGTATCCGGTCGCCGTTAACGGTTTGACGATAGGCACCAGTAGGGTAAGATGAGGATAGTTGAGGAACGTCAATGGGGGAAGTGTGATGAGACCCGTAAGATCCAGTATAGACCGAAGAAGGCGGACCAGGATAAGGTGAATAGCGTGAGCTTCGGCTATTCGGTCGGACATGCGCGTAACGCTCTGGTCCTCCGTCAGCGGAATGCGCAGGCGAAGGGGGCTGATGGTAGCTCGGTTGAGCTGGTGTGTCAGAGGTCGATGGCCGCATGTACGCAGGCGCGAAGGGCGCTGAACGCACGTCGATCGAGACAGGAGGCTGACCGAGGGGCGGTGAGTAGATGGTCCACCCATCGTGTTGTCCGCCAGAAATATCTGTAGCGGCTACAAAGGGATGTTGATTCTGGGCAGTACGCCGTGTCCGGCGACGACCAGTTCCAGCTGGGACGACTTGACCGTAACCAGCTTGGTCTGGTCTCAAACATGTGTCAGGAAACGTCGGCCTATAAACACGTTAGATATCAGGCGAGTTCGAGATGATCATACATAGAACCCACCCGAACAGGGGGACCAAATCAAAGCGAATCTCGAAGGCCACGCTATGATGGAACATAGTCAAAACGTGTCGTTCGAAGATACGTCAAAGCACAACATACCGACGAGCTAGTCGGAGTGCGACCTGTGGACGTAAAGGTCAGCCTCGCCCAAGATGTATCAATAGAGTATGCTCGGACCTCATAAGGCATCCAGGTCCCCTGTATCTTCAAGTAGCCCCCTCGTACTCTGCGAATTTGTCCGGCCAGCTCAGGCTGCGACTCGATCATCTTGATTATGTCCGCTGGAATCGATGTACAGTTTAATTCATGCGTGAGTAGAATGATTAAAAGAATGAACGGACCTTTCGAGTTCCCAAGGGCTGATGTAGATGTGTATGATGAGCTGTGTACGTGTGCGAGGGGGAGATGGAATGAAACTCACCTTTCCAAATACCCGTCCAAAGAATATAACCATCATCTGCATCCATCATGATCCACTGACCTCTCAAGGGATATTCATACACAGGTCTAGCAATGCATCAGCATCGCAGAGATTTGCAGCGCGGAAAAGGCATATTTCACTCACATATACCCTCGAGAGTCATTGCTAGTGATATAACGGCTTTTGGTGACATGGTGGTGAGTGCTCGTGAATGGTCGAAACGGAGGGCCGTCAGGCGAAGCAGTCACAGCAGGTGGGTTATCCTTCTCGAACGGAAGCAAACGGAAGCATCAGCAAAGCGAAGGCACGCCACACAACGAAGCGGAAGAAAGAACGATGGACGGAACCTACTTGCATGCCGGAGGTCATGGCGTCGAGGATGTGGGGAAGAAAGAGAGAGCCTGAAAAGGTGTCGTCGTCCGGACTCGGTCGCCGTTATAGCATGGAGCAAAAGTGGCAACGCTGGTATCACGGAGGGGGTACTTGTATAATCGCCGACAAAAGGAGAAAGAATATATCCCCACAATGTAACACGAGCCTAGGCAGGGGTACTGCATCATAATCCGGATCGCACGCTTCGGTGCGCTTCGGCGGTTCACCGTAAACGCGTATCGAGGCGCCTCCACACGAGTTATGAGGAAGGCGATCCAATTGGAAATAAAGCGGCGTCTCTCGCGGGGTTACAATTTCCCTGCTTGGATCTCCAAAAGTTAACCCTCTGATCCACAGGCGCCTGCATTTTCTCGGACTCGAAATGAGAGCGCCCTGGCTGCGTATGTGATGAACAGCAAACTGCCTTTCATGGCCTGCGAGAAGTGTTGCTTCGTTGGTTAAAAGTGCGGCACTTCGACTGAGTTGCGTGGGGAGAGAAACAACTATATGTACCTTCCGGGCGGCCGGATCTCTATTTTTTGCTCCGTTGAGATTTAGATCTTGGGGGCATACGAACGACAACCGGAAGCGCGATCTCAAATCTCGAGGTTCACGGCGAAGACCACTGTGGCTGGACTTCGCCGGCTCCTTTTACTTACGCCCTCCCATATGCAAATCCCCCGCAAAAATTACCATCCACGAATGAGGGGGTATACACGTGAGCCCACACCGCGGTTCCGGTAAAACACCGTCGCCGACACAAAGCTGTGGCATACCAAACGCAAGTCGTACAAAAACGGCTATACCTTCGCAATCTGAGCAAGCACTCAGCCCGAACGGATCGCCAGGCGATGTCTTGAGATGTATGATACGGAGACATACGCATCATCGGAAAACTTTCATGGGCATTCATCCAGCACGTCAGTGAATAAGTTATGAGCTGTTATAAGTCCGTGGCTCTCTTTTGCTCCGCTGCCGGCCCAGGACCTTATCTGGGCAAATCGACCGTATTGTCGGGTACCAGTTGCACTGTGCTTAAGGAGTCAGCGTATTGGTATAGAATCTCCCCTGTGCGGGATGCTGCGGGTACCTGTCGTCTCATGGAGCCCGGGGAGCCGAGGAATGACTTGGTCCATATTGGGTCTCTGCTGGTGAGATTCATGCTGAGCCGTGTCACCGACAAACATATGAGCAAAACTCCCCTGCGTGGACGCAGGTTGTTCAAGTCTGATTGTCTCGAGGATCTGCGGTTGTGAGTGGGCGCAAAGGATTTGGTGGGCACTTAGCTGAACGCTCCTGTATGACAATTGGCGAAAGTGAACACCGATTATGTATTTGTTTGGAAACGCAAGGCCCCACGGGCGATCAGGGTGATCGCACCCTCGAGAACGAGGAGCTGTGCCTCGAGGGCAAATATGGTTAGCACCGCCAGGAGACGAGGTCATACGAAAGTTCCACTGACGTTGTGTCTTGTAACGTTATGCCTCTGCGACTGTGACGACCCGAACCCTCTGAATCAATCATAAGTAGCCGACGGTGATAATACGGTGAGCATAGGGGGTTTGAGCCCCTTTGAGACAGCTTGGAGACGGCAGGGCTCCGAGTCCAAGTACTTAGGCCTAAGTGCATTACTCGGGGCTTTTTTTCTGAGCGGTTTTCAGTGGATGATATGGATGGGCGCAAACGCCCATCCGAGTCAAAGTGAGGGAAGAAAGGAAAACAGAGTTAGGGCCGGCCCGTGCCGAGAACAATGTGGCGCAACTCGCCACTCATGCCTTTCCTTTCTCCTTGTCATTTGCCTCTTGGGCGGTCTGATCGCTCCGTTCTCCAAGGTCGAGCATCAATAACGTTCAGGGATATCTGCGCAAATCTTCTCTAGCGTGCATCTGTTCCGCCATGCTGGACGATCGCAGCTAGCAGTGTACAAGGCAACAAAGCTGAGGAATCACGCTTGGTGCTTGATGCCGTCTGTCGAGCACGATCAGCTACACCCTATACTTAATTTCTCTGCCTCACCGGTGCAATGCACATACTATAACTCGGAGATCGCCCAAATCTGCCGGACAGAATAATGTACTATCAGTGGCCCCTCGTTCGGACAAACCCTCGTTCGGACAGTGCGAAAAACACGCCCAATTCCCTATCGTTTCACCCCGTTCAAGCTCTCATAAATCATGTTAAATCACCACTAGACCATCTGCGAAGTGGTTTGAGTACAGTAATGACAGTGGAAGGTCGAATGGGGAGGGGGGCGTTTCGGACACTTTGGCGGGATCGGCTGTCCGATCGACGGTCCCACCTCCTGATCGACGACCTTTCTCTCAAGCAATCCACAACAAAATTGCATGGGCATGTAGCTACAGTAGGGGGAATTGTGTGTGCAAAGTTTCATGGCAAGAGACCTTATACTGCGTGAGCTAGATTTTTTGCAGTCTGGATTGTCCGAACGAAGGGCCAGTGATAGTAGGACAAAGGTACGGCTATGGATTAGATCAGTGTCCACGAAACTGGTGTCTCGGAAATAGAGTTGCTTTGTGCGTATCAGAACGCAGAAAACTGCGGAGTGCAACAATCATCTTGTACTGCTCAATGTATCATTTGGCAGTGTTAGTGTGGTCTTTCAAGTTCCTATCTGATCCCTCTCGGAAGTGACGAAGAGTACTCGAGGAGAACGGATGGAGAAGGTTTGTGGTACAGTTATTGGCGTGTCCACATTAGGAAAGTATCAGCCCTATCTAACTCGCAAACATCCGCTCGAGAAGAACTCGAGGACGGTCGAGGATCAGAAGACTGGTTGCAGGAGTCTGCACGGGAACATGTACCGTAACAGGTACGTATTCCCTCGGGAAGACCCCCAATTCTTCCCAAGTACTTTCCTCGAGCCGGAGCACACGATGCTTGTATTGCAGCTAAATTCCAGCGGCCCTAGAAATTCATAGCGACCACACATAGCCACTCCACTGAATACTCTTGGAGTGTGAATACAATATAGCGGCGATACCCTGCGCTTGCCCGACCATCGCAGTGCTCCGGGGAGTCAATACAATAACGTATACAGTATGGAAGACCGCAAAACCCGTTGCCACGACTCGGACGGGTAGATCATGTTCTCGTAGGTTCTTGTGCTATGTAGCTCTTCGCTGCTCTTGGTTGCAGTGACACGCTGCATACCCGAGCTCATGTCTAGCAACAGAGCGGTAAACATTACTAGGATTATCGCCGACCCTGCGTCAAAGCACGTCAAAGCCGGCACTTCGCAGAGGGTTACGACAGGTGATGTCACCGTCGGTCTAAACGGCAGCGTATTCAACAATGAGCTATGTATATTGGTCTGTCGTCCTCGAGCTTCATTCGAGCTTGAGACTGACTCAAAGTTAATTCCCTGACAAGATTCCAGTCCTTTCTTTTTAGAGGCTCTATCCCAGAAAGTCAACGCGACATCGACTGCTCCTCGGACAAGCACAGGAGTAATAATAGGGAGAACGACGATCCCGATATCGGTGCCTCCGCCTCCCCAAATTCCGTAAACATCCAGAAATAAACACAACATCGCCTGTCTAGCGGGTCAAGCGCTGATAAGTGCCCGTGCAGTGGCCGACGTCACACGACCGACACCGTGGTCTCTTGCAGCTGCAGGCGGTGAGTGCGCACAGAGTACAGTTGCCGCGACTAACTCTTCAGTTGTGCTTTCAGTGTATCAGGGCGACCAATTATCTCCAGTCTAACAAAGAACAAAAAGCGATACAGAGGTAAGGTAATGGAGCGCGCACCTAAAGAAATTCTGAGGACCCATCTGGGACAAACACGAAGGCCGAGCGCGCGGCCATCGACGGACGTCACGGTTCGACGGGGGTTACTATCTTCGAGTTGAAGCGCGATCGAGCATTCAGGATAGTACTGCCCAGGTGAGATCGCGTACTGTCCCCGGATACTGAAGATATTCGCCTTGAAGGCGATGTTCCGCGTCAGTGAGTGTTTGGGACCTGCGCATGAACCTGCGCATCAGCGGCTTGGGTGGTATGATCATTGACAGAACGTAAGGACCACGGGCGTATCCTTACGGTGAAGACGGAGAAACGGCGGTTCTGTGTGTTAGGCGTTCGCTTTCACCTTGGAGATTCGGAGCATACAAAGCAAGACCGACCGAGGCCGAGGAGGAACATCTACACTGCGTCGGTGTCAGAGTGGAAAACACAGCATCGTCCTTCTTAATATTCATCCTGAAAGGCTAGAAAGTAAATAAACTCCGACGGTAATTTCAGGGATGTGTTGAGCTACGTAGGTTGTTCTCAGATGCCGGAGGGCGTCTTCAGGGGAGGGGGGGGGGCGGTGTAAGATGCCAGCAGTACCTGCAAAAATATGTGGACAGCCGGAGGCCTACGCGTATTGACGCGTCATTCGAGCACGGCGATGGTAAAGATCCGTCACCAGAACACTTGATGTGTGCAACGATCCTACATCCGATACTTTGGAGATCAGAATTTTGGGAACCGATGGAACGATACGTACCTATCCTATGACGGAGGCGAATCGCATACATTGAGATGAGCATAGCATCTTGCATCCTACGAGCACCTTGATTTCCCCCGACGCACATAGAAATGACGGCCCTCGAGCAGTAGAGCCTCTAGGTAAGGTGTACATATAGCACGTCGAGTCGTCGGATGCTTTAAGTGACTGTGCTGTAGCCCGCCTGAGACTCTGAGCTGTTTCGGGCCAGCAGCAGTCTACAGCATTGGGGTTGCTCCACGAGGCGGTATATATAGAAGCACGAAGGCGAAGTGCTCGAAACACCAGACAGATCTGCATAGGTTTCGAGCAAGTTATGGCGGCGCTGGTTCAGGTTGGGCGACGTCGTCAACTTGGTCGGAAAGAGAACTTCGCCGCGCGTGTCGCCCGGCATCGGCCCCGACGAAGTTCCGGATCTTGCCGATGCGCCACACCAGTTTCGCCACATCCTTGAGGCTCCCTCACCGCGCTCACAGCGCTCACCGCCAATGAATAGCAACAAACCAGTCGTCAATTCGTAGACGTATGCATGTAGGATATCGGAACGCAAAACATCGGCATTGCAACGAGTACCCGATATATAACATAACCACAATAAAAAATCGAAACGGTCAAGGTATCTGAATCATCGAATCAAGTCGTTATCGTCCTTCAAACATGTAGGCAAGTAAAGCAGTCTATCACCCCCAATTTCTTTCATCACGTCGCATATAAGTCGAAAGCCCACGAGTGCTTCTTATTTCACCCTTCGTCATCGTTCCTTGTTCATATGGGAGGTAGCCCTCAGCATGGCAGCTCCTTCTCGCTCCACCCTTTCAACGCCGCCCTAACCTCCTTCTCCCCTCCTCCACCACCACCAGTCGTATAAACGACCCTGCTGACTTCGAATCCATTGAAACCACTAGCCGCACAAACGGTGTACGCCCCCATATTGCTGAACCCGAGCCAGTCGCCCACCTGAAGGGCTTCGGGGAGCTTCGTAACAGGACACACGCAGTCGATGGAGTCGCACGTAGGGCCCCAGACGGATGAGGTACGGAGAGGGAGGGAAGATGGGTCTGGGATGTGGAAGGATCCGGAGAGGGAGAGGACGTAGGGATGGACTACTTGATGGTCGAAGAGGATGCAGTTGAAGGCGCCGTAGACACCATCGTTGATGTAGTCTAAGGGGAAAAAGAGACCAATAACGTCAGGATACGTTGTGGAAAGAAAGATGAAGGATTGAAAGAACGTACACATCACGCTCGGCTCACCCTCCTTATCCGCCACCTTCGCAATTCCTTCCTCCTCCAAAGGCGCCCTCCTCGCGATCACGTTCGCCGCAAGACTGAAGGCCTTGCTCACGAAGTACCTCCCCGGCTCGGCGATAACCCTGATACCCTCCCTCTTCCTGTCAGGGAAATACGTCTCTACCGCCTCCCTCAGCACCTTCGCCGTGGCCTCGAAATTGCCATCCTCGAAACCACCTCCAACATCCAGTAACTCGAACTTGTACCCCGCCTCCTTCCCGTAATCGAAGGCCTGGCGGGCACGCATCACAGCATCGGAGAATGCGTCGGAATCATAGCACCCGCTCCCAACATGGAAGCTAACCCCGATGACGTCGAGCCCCAGCTCCCTAGCCTTAGCCAACAAGCCTGGCACGCTCGCGAGCGGTGCCCCAAACTTCAAGCCCAAGCGGCAAAGGGACTTTGAATCATCGGTGAGGATACGAAGGACGAGTTTCGCCGAAGGATGGACGCGCGCGACCTTGAAGAGTTCGTCGAAGTTGTCGAAGGTCATCATGTCGACACCAGAGCGTGCGGCGGACTTGATGAACGACGTAGCCTTGCAAGGGTTCGCGAAGATGACCTTGCTGGGGTCGATGCCTGCTTTGAGGACGGATGTGATCTCGCCGTTGGAGGCGCAGTCGAAGCCTGTGCCGAGAGCGGCGAGCAGGCGGAGGACGTATGGGTCCGGGTTGCATTTCACAGCTGTGCGGAACGGGGATTCAGCTGTGCACATTCAAACAAGAATGCAGAACGGGAGGGGGACATACCATAGAAAGGTTCAATCTCAGGGAGACAACGTTTCCAGCGCTCGAACTGTCTATAGACGGCACTGAGGTCCGCAACGAAGAACGCCTTTTCAGCGTCAGGCTCGTGGAGGGCCGCGAGCCGCGCGGCTCTCATGATCCCGTTACGAAGATGGATGTCGGGATGACCGCGGAGCAACGGAGGCAAGTCGGGGAAAAGGACAGTGTCCACATCAGACTCAATGTGGACACGCGAAGACGGAGACGCGGAGAGGACGCCATTCTGCGACCTCGAAAATTTATCGGCGAAAGAATGGGCATAGGACTCGGTGAAGGAAGAGGAGGGAGAGGCACCGAAGTGAAGGTCTACGGCGCAGGACGCGGTGAGGATTTCGAGTTGGGACATCGCGACGGCGGGTGTGGCGGTGGTTGTAGTGTTGTTGTTGGTCGAGTTGTTGACGGTTGAGTTGTTACAGTCGACGAGCTGTTCGTCAAAGTCTAGTGGAATGTAGTGATCCGAATCGTCCAGTGAGAACTGGAGACAAGTCTGGCTGGAAATTTTGGCCGCTTCGATGGACCCGAGCTTACCGAACCAGTATCCGCCGCGGCTGGGATGAACCGGGCGGGCCTTGGACGGTAACTAACGAGTGTTGATCAGAAGAAGAGGGTTCCTCGCTCCCTGTTCAGCGAGGATGTGCTTGAAGGGCGAGGGGTGAAGGTAGGGGAAAGAGAAGAGGGGAAGGGGAAAGTCGAGAGGGAAGATGTTGTGTTCGAAGTGGATCGGTTGTTGTTTTAAGTCCTGTCAGGGAGGTTCACCTGTAAATAACGCATTGCTAGCACGTCAGTCGATGCACTGAGTTGTTATAGCTGCGAAGACGAACCTCGGACGGATGACCACCTGTGTGAGCAGAAGAGCGAAAAATGCCATTGAGGCTAAGTTAGATACGAGTGATGAAAGCCACTTGGCAGCGGGACGCACTCGAGGGTCAACAGACGAAGATCGTCGTTTCTCTCCTGGTCAAAAATGGTGGAAGAGGAGGTCTCTGCGTCGTGTGCGCGCTCACGACTGCAGAGAGGTCAGGCTCTGGTGGCGGTATGGGTTCAAGCGGCTCTGTGGTGACGAGGGAGGCCAATGGAGAATGTCGTTGACAAGTCGAAAAATTCTAATCGATGATGACCGACGACCAACCGGGCGACGCCGGCGCACCGTATGGCGCGGCACCGCCACAACGCAAATCCTGTGATCCGGCTACTCGGCCCCTTCCACTCCAACTTGAACTTGTGTGATGCTCGTCTGTGAGCCACTGGCATAAAAACACTCTTGAAATGACTCAGATACTGAGGCTCTGCTCTGGCTGGCTCATACTCACGGAACAAGTGCACTGCCTCGAATGGCCGTCAATGAACTCTCGATGCCTTTCCAATGTGACTCGTGCACTGAGCAGAGTGCCTTCACTGGCAATTAACGGGGAGGGACAACTTGAAATATCGCACAACTAGGCCTTCGATATGCCTTCAATCTTGTTGAAGAGAACTGTAATATGAACATCCGTCACTTCGCTGAATACTCGATTCGCAGCTGAGGAAATGCAAGGTCAACGCAGTGATCACCGCCTCAACATCGCCGGGTGAAGAACAAGGTGTGGCAAACTAAGACGTGAGAGCTTATTAAGCTGCTCATAGGCGATAGAACTACGAACAACACCAACGGTGGTCTGGCACCAGCACTTGAATGAAGAACAGGAATAACCTCTACCTCGAGGAACATGCGATTAGCCAACTTCACAGCCTTCATTGAACCATGAGCATCCCCGCACTTCTCTCGAGAAATAATAGCCTACGAGTAACGGTCTCATGGTTTTGTCCATGCTTGAGGTCACATCCCGCCTTGGGAGGACCTCGGTAGTACGGAAGAGTTTGATTGAGGCCCATCAGCCAGGAATAGGAGCAAAACACAGTGCCAGTGTTAAAAGGAGAACAGAGTTAGGTTCTATGAATACTCGAAGGTACCCTCCTAACCCAAAAAAATGACCCGGTCCACTCGCAGCTTTCTCGCCCCAAAATGCGGGAAGATGGGCCGGTAAACATCCTAGGCATGACCCCAGTCTTTGTTTAAATGAACATGCAGAAGAGAATGCCAAGTGGGTCCCAAGTATATCACTCCTGTTTGAGGACGAGCGCAGAGCGAAATCAAGCAAGAACTGCAAATGGGGAGGTGCAGCAACCGAGGCAACGATGCTTCTGTTGGGTGGATGCCATTTTTGAGCAAAATAAGCGGTAAAGCTCGGTATGATGAAGTGCATAAGCTGATTTCAGATCTTGATAGAGGCTACAGAAGACGTCGTCGGCGTGGAGGCGACCCAATGCAGCGGAGCAACAATATGCATGCATATATGCTCTCCCAGAAAATGAATCATCTCTCATGAAGAAGGTATCCAGGAGCAGCAACAGAATACGCCCATAAGAGCTAAAATATAACCGACAACAGCGTACCAGATGCAACGAGGACGCATATATCGTCTCCGGTGATACACTGTACTAAGAAGGTCGAATGCGGCGCATTGTGCAGGAATAACTGCAGCTATGGCATGAGAGTCGTCAATCAGATAGCTAGACAAATGGACAAAACGATCCTTCCAGAACGCACTTTGTTGGACACCATGTACTTTCTGTGCGGCCCACGTTGATGCCTCCACGGTTGTTGATGCGATACGGTCTCAGTGAATAGCAAGCTTTGACCGGCTTGTCAACCCCAGGGTCAGAGAAACAGAAGGCTTATGATCCAAATAAAAGAGGACAAATAGATTGAGGCCAAATATCACGTCTCCGAGAGGGGAACAATAGCCATGAACGTGGTGGCAGGGTTGGAAAGAACGGAAAGACGACGCGGACTCGGCAGTTCAAGCGCCGCTTGACACCATGCAGAGTCGGAATGATCCGGGACGTCGGCGCCTATTATGCTCTTTCTGTCCATGTCTCTCCTTGGTCTCTCCACTGGAGCTCTGCGCGCTCAGACTCTCCCAGGCCTGCGCGACTTTTCTATCCGTGAACTTTCTCGCTCGCGGACAGCGCGGAGGACAACCTCAAGACTGTTCATGTTTTCGTTGACTCGAAAGCCGTGTTTTATCCATCCGACTTGCTATCGTGGTTCTGGCTGGCGGCTTCAGCCTCTCGATGCTATTCATATTGTCGGAAAATGTTACTACTATCCTGCAATTCGATGACTTTCTCTGATGTACTCCGACGGTGTCTTGTGACGACGAAAGAACAACACCATTGTCATATCTACACAGTAACTCAGGCACCCTTGTCTTCACCGATCTTTTAGTCGACGATCGTGACGTGGTGGGCACAAACTGGCATTGCGATCCGATATTGTCTGTCTAGAAAAATTTTAAGAAACTACGTCCATTGCCATCGCTCGTACGATTGTTTACAGGTCATAATGGTATCCGAACAGATGTGCTGGTTACTTGTGCCGACGGCCGAACCCTTGTAGAGAATGTGTTTCAGATCTGGGTTCAACGAAAATGCACTCTACGTTCAAAGGCTTTCTTTTCCGACGACACTTTGTTTTAGACAGACATCGCAGTACTGCTACAGCGTTTCTCATTATGGACAAGATCACTTATTCGGTATCTGGCCATGGACTCTTGCCTGATCTCGCATCATGGGTACAATTTTGGACGGTCAATGCCATTCGACGAACCGATCGACGGCATCCAGCCGTTGCGATAGTACCAACCCGCCGTCGTTGTTTCCGCATCTTGCGTGCCACGTGCTTGCGCATTGTCCCTCCGCCCACTCCCAAAAAGTCACGACAAAGTGTGGCACTCAACTGCGACACAAAGATTTGGGTCGCCCTTCGATCGACCCATGCCATGGATTACGTCGCTTGTGTGTCACACGCACTTTGTTGCGCTTTCATGTGCATGCGATTTCGTTGAGGTTTGGACACTTGCCCGTCGCTCCTTACGTCTACCCTTTATGTGCCACCATGGCCCGCCCAGCGTCTCTCTGGCACGGCAACGCTGGCCTTGGCTCTCTATTCTTGCCCTCTCGCCGTCTTCACTGATATATAAAGCGCCTCTGAATATCCGGACGTTCTCCACAGCCATCCCACCTCTCATCATCTCAACCATCCATCTCCCAACGCAATACCAACCTCGTAGTGCTCATCATCTCCAGACATGTCTCCTTCGTCCACATCAGCATCCACCCCTCCCTCTCACGGCGTAGCACGCAAGCTCAGCGGTCTCTTATGCACCCAACAGCAAGCTAAAGTCTCTGCGAGTCCTCAACCAGTTTTCACCCCGAAAGCCCTCTCTCGAAGCGCTGTAGATCTGGATAGGAACGATCCTAACACCTTCCGTGTTGACCTCAAGCCTGCTCAGGGTGGCCCCAACTCGAAGGACGCGAAGGGAGTACCGGTACGCCAGTCGAGCACGTATAGCGATGGATCGTCTTCTTCGTCTGGAAAGTCGAATAATGGATCCCTTGACACTTCCGCTGGCCTCTCGAATGCCGAAAAGGTTCGCACTATTCCTTCATCTATTCCATCTCTTTTATCTTATTAATTTTTGTCAAACACGTACTCGGTTGATAGGCAAAGCAGAAGGCCGTCGTGGAACGCCGTATTATCGACCCTGCTACCTTCGGGAACGACGACACGCCAGACACCAATCTCGTTCATGCGATGAGCAAGGTCAACATTGGTCAAACGCACACAGCTAGGCTTGTTAACGACAAGAATACGACTGCTCTGTCTCCTCCGCCAGAGCATCTTAGGCGCAAGAAATCTTTCTTGGACACTAAGGAGTGCAAGTGAGACCCCATACGAACCGTCAAGATGTTCAGTGTTGCAGACCTCATAATTTCTTCCATCGTTTTCATCTCTTTAGTTCATTGTAATCCCAACTATATACGCTATATCTCGTGTCTCTAATGATTTGAGCGCTCCTACCAATACAATGTTGATGGAGTTGTTGCCTTGCATTTGTCCCCCCTTTATCTGAGGGTACTTGCGGAAATCATGTTATCATAGGTCGAAGAGAACAATCTTAAGCTCCGCTGGCGACCTTTCGTTTTGAACTCTTACTGTGGCGTCGATCGATCGATCAGCACTGTCCCTGCTGCTCGCCTCTATATCCCTGGTTTGAATCGTCGAAACATCACGCTGGTTTTTTCGATTCTAAATATGCTTGAGTGTACTCGAATGTGGTTGTAAACTGCCGTCAGCGATTGAGAAGCTTCGTTGCTTCTACCTTTTGTGCAACTACCGGTAGTTCCATGTTCGCATACAATACACCACTAGTCACAATATCTGATCTACATCGTAAGCCTCGATACTTCTCCAGTTTCTGAATCTAAAACTCATAGCTCTAAATATCCCCGACTGCTCCAGTTCTCCAACCATAACTTAACTTCTTCTACTCCTATCTTCCTCATCTCTCCATCATCCCGCATTGTCACCGATTCACTCATGGCACGGGAGATGTCCAAGGTCGCAAGACCCATAGCCTCTTTACCATCCTGAGACTCTTCCATCCCGGATGCGTCCTGACGAAAGAAAGAAAGAATCTTCGCTGCCGGAAGTGATTCTTCTGCACCACTGTCGTTATCGGGGCTCAACGCCCTCTCCTCGAGACGCCTCAGCCATTCGGAATAAGGAACGAGTGGGACGTGGAGTTCTGACAAGATCGTTTCCGCAAAGTCTGTCCATGGCACGGGTTTCGGATGGACAAGGTGTACGATGGATGAAGTAGAGTCGCGGAGGTCGATAATGACACGAGAGGCGAGGTCGAGGGGCACCCATGATATCATCTAATTCAGCCACTCGGCACAGTAAGTTATCCGCTAGGCCACCGACGTGATAAATGACTTGCCTGCTTCCCAGTTGGAAAACATCCCATCGTCAGGCTACTCTTCACCATCGAAGGGACCCAGTCCGTCTCGTTCCAATACCCATTTGGTCTACCTCCACTGATTTGCCCAATGCGCACGATGACAGGACGAAGTGGCGTCACTTCTCTGGTTTTGAGCAGTATGGTCTCTGAGACCCATTTGGATTGACTGTAGCCATTCGTAGTTGCGACCGAGGCATCAAGTGGAATTTCGGCAACGGACCCTTCGGAGACGTTTGCTGCATTCAAGTTACGGTGAATTGTGTCATGACGGTACATAGACCTCATAAGTTCATGCTAATATTTTCGATGAGGGACAAGGAGGACATACAGCCAACGACCGATATACTGCTCGCATAGAGTATACGAGGAGGTGCGGGAAGCTTGGACGATAGCGCGAGGTCTATAAGCTGCCTCAAGCCTCTAATATTGCTTTCGAAGGAGGAAAGACTGAGATTGAAATCTACACGCCAGGCTGTGAGAGGATACGAATGAGAGTTTGATTTCTGGAGGAGAGCACGCATATTCTGTATCATACCGTTGTGAATTATGTGCGTTACGGTTGAACGTATCTAAGAGGGGGGCCTCCATCAGGGCTACGATGCTCAGAATACATGTCTCTAATGACTCACCTCATCCAACGCCGCTTCTCCCAGTCCGGCACTCTCCTCGCTGACATCGGCTTCAACGAGCACAACCTTATCCGACTCCATTATGCTCACATCCAGCCCCTGTTTCGCTAAACTCGCTCTCTGTCTCTCCCACAACGATCCAGTGCGCTGCTTGCGATTGACCGCCCATATCTTTGAGACGTTAGAGCATGCGACCAGATCTTCCAGAAGTCGTGTACCCAGGCCACCTGTCGTTCCGGTGAGAAGGACGACGCTGGTACGAGGGATGACGCGGCTCCGGGTTGGGTGACGCGTTGGGAACGATTGAGTGTACTTGGCGATCAGATCAAGCATGCTCTGGACCTTCTCTTCCTCGGTGGTGGAGAAAGCAGAAGGGAATGCGCTTGCACCTGAAAGCGACTGAGAGACAAAGCGTGAAGTAAAGAGGGCGAGAGAAGAGATTGATGGTTTCTCGAACACGATGTTGTGTGGTACAGCATTCGTGTCAATTTTCGCGGAGTCCCTCATACCGCGAAGGAGCGTATTCCGGATCCATGTTGCTTGAAGACTGATGTTGAACATCAATGCCAGTGAGCTTCCACACGAACTCAGATTCGGGCGTACCTATCAGCACCAGCCTGGAACAAATCTTCGTCGTCTTCCAATTCGCCATTATCCAATACCTTCCTCACACAACTTCGCACAAAGTGGACTGCCGTATCGTAGCTCCAATTCTCTGGAGGTGAAATGTCTATCTGTGTAGACTCTTCGACGGCCTGATATAGCGCCGAGATTTCGGGCTCGTAGAGGTTGAGGACGACTTGACGTCGAGGAGCGTCCTTTGGTGTGTACTGGAAAGGCTTCGCAGGGTGGGCGACGAGGATCATCTGTAAATGAACAACAACAGTGATGTATTCCTCTAATTAGACGATGGTACTTCCGAAGCTAGAGAGATTCCAACTAACCTCTTTGAACAACCTCGAATGCTGCGGTGCATACTTGTTCAAGCGTTCCACTGTGGGCCTACAAGTAACTACGTCTCAACCAAATGCTCTGTTCAATGATCATTACCATAGAAAACGGCTTACCAGATGGCATTCCGGAACTTCGACAAGGCCTCGTTGTCGTCAGGGTCGAAGACGTAGGGTTCTGCTACATCTATGATCATTCCTGTATTGAAGCGACCGCGGCCAAACATGACGGACGACCGTACATGAGGATCTTGATTCATTATACTTTCTGTCCATCGTGCGAAGTGGTCAGTATCATGTCTAATTCTCCAGAGGTCGGACCGGCACCCCGTGCCCACGAATGTATGTACCGAGTGGTCCTGGGTTTGTCTAGGGTCCAAGCAATAAGCATCCTGTCAGCTAAGGAACGAGATATAACATACCTTCTCGCCAGTGTTATGCATAATCTGGTCGTCGGATCGTCCGTAGACCTTCCAATACTCCGGCAACGTGGGATGTGGCTCTAGCAGATCATTGGTGAAGTATGCGTCCTGCCCGTCGATCTTTCCGTTGATTACGTATGGTCGTTCGTAGGGACTTGGCTTGGGAGAGGTATCGAGGGTCAGCATTTCTGCTCTCCGATCTGGCAAAAGATGAGGAAATAAACTTACCACAACCACAAGCTCGGACTGCCCAGACTCGTTCGCCTGAAAGATCGGTCTCAGTTGTTCTGTGATCTTGAAGTATTCCCAATCGATGCAGGGAGCACCTTTCGGTCGAGTCCTTAGTGTCAGTGTTTTGCTTCAGATTGACGAGCGTGATATACTCGCTTGGCAGTGCACGGCTGATGATGCCTACTTCTGAGCTGGTGCAAAGACTATATTGTCAGATAGAGAGCGGTGCCAATGCAGACGACTCTTACCTCCCATATACGACGAATACATGGATACCCTCTCGCATCAACGTATCACCAGCTTCCTTGTTCAAAGGGCCTCCACTGTACACCTGCGCAAGAAGGTTTAGGAAACAGCCTCGTACGTGGAAGTTGACACTCACGATGCCTTGCACCTGCGCTTTCAGTTGTTGGATTCGTGCGGGATCTTTGGACCACGTCTATTCCAGACTCTCTGTTAGTGAATTTGAGATTCGTATACGAAATACACAGACGGACCTCAGCAAAAAACGGTGGGCAAAATATGAAATCGGCTTTCGTGTGGAGGGCGCCCTCGATGACATTATCAGAGGTGAGAGGTACAGTAGGTGAACGCGGCTTTGCGGCAGTAATCGTGAGTCCAACGGTCGCCTGTACAAGGCGTGAACAATGATGACCTTGGAGAGATTGCAGAGACGCACCGTCCAACCAGTCTGCATGACGCCCATGACGTGGAACATTGGGATTGCCTGTGGTGCAGTCAGAAAGAATAATTAAGGTTGCGAAGGGCTCACAACTATGAGAGCTTACATGACAGGATAGTTTGACTCCAGTCATATCGCGATCACCGAAGTCTGATGGAAGGGCATAAGGAATGTTGAGCAGCAGGACGCGAGGATGGTAGTGCATGGCACTCACAAGGAACAACGCCATACATAAGGAAGCCCAGATGTGTCCAGGGAATTGGTTTCGGAAACGCGGTTGATCCTGCAGAACGAACACAGCTATGACTTTACGCTCGGTGGAAAAGGAAGCTGTCAAGCCTAACGAACCAGAGGAATGAACAATCACAGCAAGGGACCGCGGATCAGGCTTTGACGGCGGTAAAAGCTCGAAAGGTTCATCTACAGGACGGTATATGTCATCGAATAATGGAACTAAAGAGACGTCTGGTAGCGCGTGCAGAGTCTTGTACTTGGAGTCATTTCTAAGAATGTTTAAGGCTTCGGAGGCGAGGTCTTGTATCGGTTGATCGTGACCGAAGAGGATATGACATGTTCCTGTGTCGGCTAAGAGATGCGCTACAGCGACCGCAGAGTTACGTGGGGAGATGAGGAAGGGCACGAATCCTGCGCGCATGACACCAATGATGAGGGTGAACGACGAGATCGTGTCTGCTTAATGGTAGTATCAGGCACCATTCACACGAGCAGCTGAAGGAAAACGTACCAGAGGCAGCAAGAATTCCAACGATACGAGGTTCACCCTCCTGCTTCGCCGTCGAAACACGGGCCTGAACGATTCTCGCAGCTGTGTGGACGCCACGCACGGCTTCGGGCCACAGAATCGACTTCACCTCTGCTTGAGAATCCGAGTAGACGAAAAGAGGATGTTCAGGACTGTTGACGTAGTGCCAGTCGTATACTTCCGGGATCGACAAGCTGCCATCGAGAGGTGGTTTCTTGAAAGTCTTGGTGGTCAGAGCTTGGGTATCTGGGAGGGGAGGAACGCGTAGAGCGTCTGAGGGGATTGGGACTACGATCATGTCTTTGAGTGGGCGATGATATGATGTGAGGTTAAATCCCAAAAATTCAGAGCCTCTGCGCATTATAAGCGTTCCTTGGGGAGTTTTTAATATGGTAGGTGGGAAAGCATATGGAGATATTGATTGCTCGCGACGTCATGTTACCGTTGACTGACCCGCAAGTATGATGCGAGAGGCAGTCCAGAGACCTCCAAGTGAAGCGATAGCTAAGCAGTCATTCAATCGAGGCTGATATGTCCACAAAGAACTTGTTCTAAATCGTTGCGCAGTGGATGGCGGCACGGCACGAGCTCTAGTCGCTGCAAAGTTCTTCTCCAGCGAGCCAACAAGCAACTATGTCTGCTTCCTCGGCATGGTCTGAACCGACCAACGTGCCGATTCGTTTCCAAAAACATAGGCGGTGTGAATAGTTTATCTAAGAATAGCGAGAGGCTTTCTCATCTCGCATCGCCGCATCAAGATTCAAACCAGTTTCCTCGGGGAAAATGTTAGCAGGAGCTCGGAGGAAGAAGTTCTGCAGGTTACAGCTCACCAAGAATGGGCAAAATCGGCGAAGCTAACGACTATCTAAGTAGAGTCAGGGCAAACAGGTCAGAAGTGTCAGGGCTTAGTTGAACATGATACGCCCACGCTCAAACATAGTGAAGAGCGCTGTCTGCCTAAATGTTGTCCCATGGATAAGCTCTCCGAGGATCATGAGAGGTGCACGACCATGCAAGCAAGGTGAGGTAACATTGACAACAAAAGGACGAATAAGTATAGCTGAACGGGAACGTTGGAAACCCGCTGAGGCTGCAGTCACATGCGGAGACCAACAAAAGGATACGAAAAGAAGAAGAGTAGCGAGCGCGCAAGATAGAGCAATGAAAACAAAGCAAACAGAGAGATAGCACATGAAAGTTCGTGGCGATGCGTGAAGAGGTCGTGAGCAGTCGTAAAATCAGCGTTGCGTAATCAAGAGGAAACCAAAAGAGCATGATGAGCACGCGCGGCGGTGGGAGATAATAGGGGGGCACATATGATCTGGAATAGGGATGAGAAGGGGAGTATAAGTGACCGGGGACGATGACAAGAAGGAGGAACAGGGGGTGGCGCGCAAAAACCTGGAGGAACAAGGGTGGAGACCTTCTACGACCTTCTCCCGGTCAAAACCCTCCTAAAAACCACTTGCAAGACCACCACACAGACCCCCAGCCCAGCCAACACGACATACGAAGGCAACTCCGATATCTCGTTTGGACTGTTCTGAGCACCATCTCTAGAGCCACTGTGGCGCTCATCGGAAAATCGAGCAAAGCTAGGCAAGAGTTTCGCGAGAGTAGTGGAGGGGCTGATGTTCAGTCCGTCAACAGAGAGGAGTTTCTCGGAAGGAGTGGTGGTGGTAGGGTCGGTGGAGGTAGTTTTCTCGATGGTGGCGGCTGAAGAAGTTACATCGACCGAGGCTGGACTCTCAGCATTCAGCTGGGCTCGAGCCAACGCATCTCTAGTTTCCTCCAACTCTTTCCTCATCTCATCAACCTTCTCCACAGCCTCCCTCATCTTCGCACCTAACGCCAACACTTCCGCCTCCTTCTCCTTCTCCAGCCTCGCTGTTGCCTCTCTCTCATCCTCGAGGTCTCTCTCCCTCACCTGCTCTCGCTCCTCCATATCTTTCACTCTTCTCTCGACCTCCTCCAACCTGGCCCTAAACATTTCCAACAACTCCCTCGAGTTCTGCACCTGCACCTGCATGGCCCTCTCCATCTCGTCCAGTGCGGAGACGAGCTCTGGGGCGACAGTGGCAGCATTTGCCTCGGGCTCTTCAATCTGGCTCTCCTCCGCTTCATCAGGAATCTCGGCGGATAACGGTGGTCCCGGATCGAACAACCCATCAATACCCTTCCTCTCTCCTTTGTCCTTCACCCTTATACTCCCCGTCCCCTTCCCGATCCTCATCTTCTTACTCATACTGCCCTTCATACTACCTTTTCCAATCGCCTTGCCTCCTCCGTTACCTGTCACGCTACCCAAGTCAAAGTCAAAATCAGCTCCTCCCGCACGTCCGACGCTCGGTACCACCTTCCGCATCGTAACCCACTCCGTTCCTTGTCCTCCTCCTCCTCCTCCCTCGCCACCGACGTCGTCATTTGCATCGGGAGCGAGAACAGGCGTCTCCTTATTAGGAGAAACAGAAGAAACCCGCTTCACAGTCTCCCCGATCTCCATATCCTCCCAAGCTCTCGCGCCCCACGAACGAGCGGACGAGGCGAAGTTCGTAGGTGACTGGGATTCGGAGGCGAGCAGGTCTTCGATGGAGGGTTCTTCTCCGTCGTGGTTCATGGGGCCAGAGGCGGATACTGAATTGTCTTGGTCGTGGAAGGCGGGGATGGTTTGAGGTTTGAAGGTCGAGTGAGAGATCGATACGACGTGACGGTCATGTCCGAAGAAAGCATCATCGTCATCATCTCCGTCATTATCCTTCACAAGCGCTCGTCCGTCCTGAGCTTGATCTTGATCTTCGTCTTCGTGGTGCGGCATATCGAGCCCAGCGCCGTTGACCACTATTTCGTCGAAACTATGGCCAACGATCGCGTCTCCCTCGCCTTCACCTTCACCTTCACCTTCACTCTCACTTGCACTGACCCCACTCTCACACCCATCCCTCTCTTGCTGTCTACCCAGACTCTTCCTCCCACTCTTCTTCCTCGTCGCGACCCACCCGCCACCCATCGTATCCCCCTCATTCTCGCTCCCACTAACACTCCCACTACTCTTAACCTCCCACTTATCCACCATCCCCTTCACCCGCCCATCTTTCTCTCCTATACCCGCCGACGGCCGACCTTTGAACTTCGATCTCGGGATTCTCCCACCGCGTTTCAAGGACGAAGACGCAGAGGAGGAAGAGGTAGAGGTATTGAATCTTAAGTCCGGAATATGGATGTTAGGATCGGAAAGTGACCCGGGGAGATCGAGCGAGCTGGAAGAGGAAGCTGAGGCGTAGAGCGCGCTGCTCGAGAAATTAAACCGTCCGGATCCATCTCCCTCGCCTTCCTCGTCGTCGGCTGTGACGGAGGGATCACCATTGTGGAAACGACTGGCTGGCGAGGGAGAGGGAGAGGGAGAGGCGGTGGGCGAAGGAGGAGAGAGAGGTGAGGAAGGTCCCCAGATTCGGCCCTTGAGTACGTTCTGACGAAGGTTGCGGGAAGCGTTAAGGAGTGCGTTGCGCCAGAGGAGGTTCAGTCCTAGTCTATGTACGAGTAGAAGGTCGGTGAGACGAATAGTGAGTATATGAATGATGACCAGAGAGAAACACGTACCCCTCGAGATCTTCCTCTTCCCATCTTAAGAACACCCGGCCAGTGATCCTCGTCGCTTTCACCCATGCAGCGATATCCTTCGCCACAGGCATAGGTAACGACGCCGTCTCCACATACCCAGTCCCAGTCCCAGTTCCCGCGCTCGATCTGACTCTCAGCGCAGTAATCAAATACGCACTCAACTGCGTCGGAGTCCATAACTTTGGGTTAGACTGTAAGTCCTCCATGTCCATGCTATGACCCCCAAAGGCAGACGTGCGGCTCGTATCGGGAGAAAGAAAGACTGAGCGAGACGGAGAGGGTGTGGGAGATTGAGAAGCGGGGATGGGAGGGAGCGTTTCGGCTCGTATGGGTTTGATGTTGATATTGACGCGTGGTTTGCTAGGAGGGGTAGGACCGTCGTCGGAAGCGCTGCGCGAAATCGAAGGAGAACCGGGGAGAGATCGGTCGCTCGTACTACTCTCACTACCGCTCCTCGCTGACTTCCCGTTAACCTCATACTCCGCCGCACTGATCAAACTCGTTGAATATCGATGACCTCTATACTCCGAATTCCGCGTCGCACTGCCCTGGCTGTCCGCTCGTCCACGACTGCGCGTGGGGGAAGAAGAAAGTGGAGTCGAAGGTCTGGGAGGAGTGTAGAAGTAGGCGGCTTGGGCGTTGTGTCCGGAGGAGTTGGAACGAGAGAGGACGCCTGTGGAGGTGGTCTTGATGGCGTATGGGTGTGGGTTGGGCTTGATGGGTTTCGAACCGGATGAAGGGGTGAGGGGGGTGGTGGGCATGGGTGAAGTCGGGGTCGTCGGGATTGGTGGGAGGGAGCGGGAGTGCGAGAGGCTGGGTGGAGATATCGCAAGAGCCATGGTGGGTATTGTCGTAATAGAGATGATGAACCAAGTAACAAGAACAAGAGTCGAGAGAAATGAAGGGTTCCGATAGATATGGACTCAAGGGAAACTTCGAGCAGATATTCAAGCAGATGCAGAAACAGAGGATATGTCTTGGAAGAGTACACATGTAAGTATTGGTATTTTCACCAGAAACATATGGTTAAAAGACAAAACGCTGCTCACCGAGTAAGAGCCGTGAGATGAATGAAGGGGGACCAGATAGGAACTTGGGTATCTCGGGTGAAAATGAGACAATTTACCTGGCTATTCATTGGTTAAAACATAGATTTTCTCTTTCTGTAAGATTGCTACGTGTATGGATCAAAAGACAAGCCTACCGAGGACGGTACACTTCAGGTGTTGACCACGGAGTTGTAGGCTCTCCCAAAGGATAGTCAGACGAAGCCTGAGAGTTCGGATGAGTTGATCGTATACATAGTACACAATAAATCACGGATGAAAATACCTGAAACGTGCTAGGCACGTCGTCGCCGTCGAAGACGATGTGGACGGAGAAGAGGAAGCTAGAGAGAGCTAGAGGAAGGCGTGCCCGCTTTGTGACTTCGTCCCAAACAGGGGTCGTGAGAACGGTGTAGCCAGATTTGGCCGGTGGCACCGTGCGCTTTCCTTCTCTTCTACCGCCACCACGTCTAGTTCGCCGTGTTTATTACCTGCGGAACAGATATTTTCGTGGTTTGTTGACTCTTTGTTTATCCGTTATTACTTTTCTGATTCTTCAGCTTTGCATAGAGAGACTGCCACGTCGGTATGCCCATGAGAGGACGTTGTGGGCCACATCGTCGCTCAGCGCGACCCCTCGCTTCGAATTTCCACGCGAACATAATTTACGAATTCTGTCAAGGCACAACGTCCGAGCCCTGCAAAAGTGGAGCGCGTTTCATCATGTAGCGTGCTGCATCGCTTTCTCCTGTTGATTATCCGAGGACCGAACATATACACCGCGTACGTATCATGGGCCATCCTTCCCCTTCCTCCACCCCCTTTTTTTCTTGCACCTTCGACCTGCTTTCTTCACTTTCTTTCCGAGAGGTTCTGGCTCCATTCGCTTATTTTCTGTCGGGGCGACCACCATCATAATGAACCAACAGCCATCTCACTCACCTTCGCATTCTCATCCGGAAACTTACGAGCTCGAGCTCGACGCACCAGGACTCGAACGCGACAGCATCACCCCGACGTTCCATTTCGTTCCTTCAACTCCAAATGACGGTGTTAATGTCCCTGCTGCTCGTTTCCCAGCGGACGCGGACGTAGAGTCGCAGAGGACGACTTCTATGTCTCTTGAACGCGACTTTCCGGTGCAAAATCATGTACCATTGGAGGTCGGGCAGGGCTCGAATGGAAATGGGAGCGGGAGACGGAGGACGGTAGAAGGGACCCGTAGAGGGTTTGGGCATAGAGGCAGGAGCGTCGATACGGCGCAGGAGAGGTTACATGTTATAGAGACGATGGCTACTACGAGCTATCCTCCTACCCCTCCGGTGCCCGCCAAAACTCGTCGGATAAATGGACAGGACACACCAGAACAACCGGGATTGGCTTTGTCGGCGCTTGCTATTGGTGTACGTTTCTTCTAGTCTCAATTCCGCTGTCCTTTCTCCCATCATATATCCTTGTTCGGCTTGCTTCCGAATACATCGCGATGTGGTAGGTTGCTCCAAGACCGAAGATATCTCAGACTCACGACTTTCTTATTTTCCGTTCCATGCGTAGGCACCCCTCCTCACCTCAGTAATCATCTCCACCTTCTCCATTATCCAAGCCGAACTCTCTTCAGCCTACCCTTCCCCCTCCACCACACCCCACTCCCGCCCCGCCTCCGCACAAGCCTGCATAACCCTCATGTGGAGCGCCATGATGATATCTCTCGGCGCCGCATTGATCTCTGTCGCAGGACTGGCTATATCAGCTGGCTATCATGATTCTCATTCTGGCGTAACGAGGACCGTGGCGCGCTGGTTCGGTGCGTTTTCGAGGAAGAGGAAGGGAAGAGGTTCGACGAGGATGCAAGGACAAAACCAGCACGGAAGCTTGGAGGAAGTCAAGGTGGATGACCCGAGGACGAGTCTGAGATCCACATTGACGGTCACACCGAGTATGCAGAGGGGGAAACAACACGCGAGGGGAGGACAAAAGGCTGCTGAAGTCTCCGCTCGGGTAAGAGCCTCAGTAGTCTTTCATTCACATCCTATGGAAAGTATGCTCACGATGCGTAATGGTGGGTTAGTTGCTAGGCCTCTCCGTTCTCTTCCTCGCTGCATCCCTGGCCGTATTCCTGTTCTGCGTCTACCCGACAGGCGTGGCGGTCACTGTCCTTCTTGTCTCGATATTCACGGCGCTCGCTTGTGCGATCCCGCTTTGGACCATCCTTTCCGAAAATCCGCTCGACTTCGAACATTGACCTCATTGAGCTTTGAATTTGAACACTGAAGCCTGATCATGGACTGTCGATATCGAACCTGTCTTTTCTGCGATTGATTGCCTGATTGCCTGTATGTTTTGTTTACTCCCCCCTCTCGTTTTACGCTCGGACATGCTACCGCCTCCGGACGATGTATATGGACTAAATTGGACTGGGATGTAGAGATCGAATTGACTCGGACACCACTGCTACAAATCATATACCCACCTAAGCTTATAGTAGTACGTATTACTTTACACCGATGAAATAATCTGGCAGTCCTGCCACGGCATCACTGGACATTCCTTGACTTGCATTCAGCTCGACTCGTTGCAGCGGGTGTAGCTGGCAGAAGCTCAATGGGAGTCCAACCACTCCGAGATCCGACTCATCAAGTCTGCTTTCTTTCCTGAGACGGGAAGACCCTTTGCCCTGAGGAACTCCTGCGGTATAGCACATCGACATTCAATCGTCCATCAGCACCCTCCACGAAGAGAAAAGACAAATACGTAGAACGACACGAACCTTCATCTGGTCCACCTTCAACTTCTCCAACCGCCCCGCTTCCCATTCCTTCCTGATCTCGTTCTCATCCACAGGCCCGACAACCTACACATGAACACGAAACTCTGTCAGCAAACAGTGTTCTTACATACGAGGCACGAGAAGACTTTGGCGGGTGAGTGGGCGGGCGGGTACTGGATACTCACAGCCGCAGCTTTCCGTTTTGATCCCGTCGTGATGACTGTTGCGTTAGCAGACTCGTCCTGCTCCAGTGCTTCTTTCCATTCACGTATCGGTTGCGCAGCTCTCTGCAATGGCGAAACCGAAACCTCAGCATGAGTGGGCCGGATGACATAGATCATGGAGAGGCAACGCATACCTTGCGGAACATCTCATATTTTGGGAGTGTGAGATCCACGAACGTCTCGGGGTCATATTCCTCACGGAATGCGGTCGCTTGGAGCTGTTCGTGGTGGAATTGCAGGGCTACAGCATGGGACAACGGAGAAGTTAGTCGGTGATTACGATACGGTAAGCTTGTGGGGAGTTTGCTGCCATGAAACGACGAACCTGGATTTGGGTATGTGTCCGGAGAATATCCCTTTTTGTCTTTGAGTGAACACTTTAAGACGAAGGTTTCTGCGAGTCTGGATAGTTCCTTCGGTGCTAGTATCTCAGTATCAGCACCTCGTCCAGTGTCAATGGTTAAATTAAATGTACCGATGAACCCCTCCTCAATAGGAGCTGCTCGAATGTCGTCCGCGAATGGTAATGGAATTAGATGGAAACCACCTGGTTCTCTCCACCCTCCTGCTTCAATCTTTTCTTTCTACAGCGCCAAATGGAGTCTCAGTTTGTGTCTTACGCTGGTCTGGAGAAGGAAGACGAACCTGCGCGAGCATAGCACAAAATATCGGCGAAGAACCTCTTCGGAACAGCGCCAACACCAATCCGATCTTGTCCTTCTTAGCCATCGACTTGATCAGCGCACTGACCGTCCGTTTACTCCCTGTGTACGCCTTCTCTCTACATTTCAGCTCCTTCATGGATGGACGGAGTCAGAAACGTCGACATACCATTTCGTCGGGATAGATGAAGTATGAATGCTTGATATTGTCCTCGAAGAGAAGTTGATCTTTGTCTTTGAAGCCTAGGAGTTTGATACTGGGCTCGAGGCCTAAACTTCGAAACTTCTTGATCTCCTCGGCTGTATAAAAGACCTGGATACGCTCAAGGTGTCAGCTTGCGCCGGCAGAAACGAGAGGTGAAGCTGGTATATGGACGCACACGAGTATTTGGAGGAACAACTCTGGTGCCGGGATGGGTTCCATCATCATCCGCAGACACTCCTAGCGTCATCCCATACAGTTGTTCCTTCTTGTCAGTCGGACGTTGGCTTTCCTTCAACCGTCGCAACATCGAGGTTAATACCGCGCGAACTATGGAACGCAAAATACGAGGGGGGGCAAAACTCACATTATCGACATAAAGCGTCTTCGGCTCAACAACCTCCATCCTATCTCCCAAATCAACAAAATACCTATACGCACCCTTCCTCTGCTCTGTGACGAGCCCGTATCCTTTGATCCCGATGGTGAAACCGTCTGCGAGCTGGAACGGGATGCTGAAGAGTGCGCGTTTCGGGACTTCGTGGAAACGCATTTGTTCAAGGAGGTCGTCTATGCGGGTGATAGAAATGGATTCTGGGAGTATCGATGGGTTGGAACTGGATGATGAAGGAGAATCGAGATCGGATAGGAGAACGTTCTTGAAAGAGCCCAAGATTGAGCACAAGAACTGACGTTGAGAACAGGTGAATGATTATACTCACAGCCCAGAACTTTGTGGGATTGAACGGCGTGTCTTCATCGCTGATGAAGAAGGGTTCTACCATGATGCCAGCTTGAACCAGATCCTGTTCACAATGAGCAACTGGCTTTAAAAAGAAAACATGAACCCGGAGACTGACGATTAGTGTTGTTCGTGCGGACACAACCAGTTTCTCGGCACCAACGCCTGGATGTGGATCGTCGTTGTTTGTGATAACGAATATACGCTTTGACGCGGTCTTGGGCGCACTATGCAACTATTAGCAACATCCAGGAGAAAGTGACATGCTAGACCTGTTTACCCGTCGCGGAGAACCCAATTGCAACTAGTGAAAACGTCGCCTATGGCTACGTGATCACTGGTCATGGGAGGATACTCCTTCCGCAAAAGTTCAGGGTCCTCTCGCGCATCTATAGTGTAGACAGCGTCAGAGAGCACCAACGAAGAAGTGTCAGGCGGGGAATACCTGCGATGAGTCTTGTTAGTTTCAAGACACGTTCTGCGCCAATGCTTTCGATCGGTTGGTACACAAAGGTACCCTTCTTGATATCTGTACTTTGACCCGTATCATTCCGCCGCGTCTAAGAGGAAGAGAGGCGCTTCAGCCTGTAAAGCAAATTACACCATGCGTGTCGCGTTTACCGTGTTATAGAACATGATCCCGACTGAATCACTTGGGCCAACTATGACCTTCTTCTTCTGGATTTCTACGGCAACTTCAAGGGCAGTTAATAGGTGACACGTCTGCTGGTCTTCGTATTGAGGGTCCTCGTAGGGCTCGAGCATGGATTCTGAACAGTCAATGCAGAAGAGAATGACGTCGCGTTTCGTTTCATAGGGCTGAGAAATGAGGCTATCAATACAGACTGACGTATACATACTCTAGAAAATAAACACTCGCGTTGTCTTGAAGTTCATCCTCCTCTTCCTCTTCTAGCTTGTTCCAGTCGTCATAGGAAGACATTGTTTCAAATGAAGAGTGCCTTGGGGAGACACCAGTAAGGCAGCGGTATTCTCTGAACCAGTCGCGAAGTTGCAGGTACAGGAGAGTATCGATATCGTATTATACAAGCTGCAGGGCACAAATCCAAGATGGGATGAAGTTCAGAATCGGAGAATCACGTTGTGTCCGGGTGACGGTGGAGGTCAAGAGCAAAGAGGTAGGCGCCACAAAGTAAAGAGCCACACATTAATATTGACTCCATGACCAAAACGTGACCGCGTCAAACACGTGGGCTTCGGCCCCGACGCCGGCAGCGTCGGCGAACGGCCACACCAACTGCCACATTTCAGCACATCTCTGGGATATCAATACAAAAGTAGTTTTACAGGTAATAACGATACAGAATATAATGTCGAAGTCATGACCAAATGCATATGCGTTGACCAATCTCACTCTTTGACTTCGAAGAACGCCATACTCCAACCATACATACCCTTCAACTGCTTGCCAATCCTTGTCACTTTCACCTTAGACATCTCTTCCGACGCGTTTCCCGGTTGGTGAGGTCTAAGATGGCGTCAAATGATTCGTACGTACTTTTATGAAGAGATATCTGGGATAACGACTCACTGATGCACGTATAGAACACGATCATTTTCCGCTGGAGGCGAGGAAAATGCAATGTCAGGACGATTCAAGTTCATACTATTAAAAGTAGATTGGTGCATACAAGGAGGTAGGAATGCTCTCGATGATCCAGAGTTCGGAACCTTAGAAAACCCCAATGAAGTGATAGCCTGGGGCAAGGAACAACTTAGGATATGGCACCGTCAATTTAAGCTGAACTCACGTATTCGAGCTCGCTCCAATCCATGGGCCGATTTGCGTGGACGAGCAGTTGCTTCAGGGTCTCGTAAACCTTCCCTTTCACTATATACAGGGGAGTGGCCGAGCTATTGTCCGTCGATAACTTATTTGCACTTGTCGGCTGTGCCGTTGGGGTTGGTTTTGCCTTTCCTTTCGTTTTGACTTTGTGGGTTTTAGAGAGGTTCGTGGATGGTTGCGTCGAAGTCTCTGTACTGGAAATATGTTGTTGGTCCGTATACGGTCGTGGTGGAACATAAGTATCGTCCACTTTTGGGTAAGGCTCAGAAGGTTGGGCCACTGGCTCCTCCACACGTACTTCGTGAGCATCAGCTTCGATTTTCACGTCTGGTTTTTCTTCAGCAGCGGGAGGACATGGAGAGGGTGCGGGAAGCGCGGGAGGAAGCGGTCGATGAGTCCAAGAGGGTTTCATTTCTGTAAATGCTACAACCTAGCCACCACTTGGATCAACACTGTAGCATCAGATCGAGCATGAAATTCTGGCTTACCTTCTCGATGGGCGTCTTATTCCGTTTCATCGAGATCTTGTCGATCTCGTCCCAGATTTTCTTCATCTTGACCGCCGAATTGAGCGAGTCGATGGACTTGACGTGCTTCTCGATGGTGGCATCTGCGAATATATTTGTCGACAACTCGCAACCTTTGGCGTGTTTGATGTACCTGACGTCATGAGGTATAGAAAGGAAATCAACGCCTTCCTCGCCGAGCATGGCGATGAGGTCCTGCATTTGTATAGCCCGATCAGCTTCCTGGAGACAGAGCACGACGAACTCCATGCTTACACATAGCTTGACCAGATCAAACCAGGCATCGTTCATGCGGGGCGTGAAGATCTCTTTCTCTTGTTCAGTTGATGACTTCATATAATGGGCGATCTCCCTGACAACTTCTGTGCTACTCTTCCCTATATTATCCATGAACTGCATCCTGAATAATGCACCGCGCAAGGAGGGCTGCATAACGTAGAGACTGGCGGTATCGGGATCGTTTGCGTGCGAGAGCTTTGCCCCACCATATCCAGGATGATTCTGCGCATAAATTAGGCCGACCTGTCCAGTCAAATGTAGTGACCGAACCGACTTACAATATCACGCGTGACGTTCTTGCGGATGAACGGTACATCGGTCACAGCGGCCAGATAAAAGTCTTTGAAAAGCGACTGTTGGTGGGTATCCAAAATTTGTCTGACCTGCAAGGAAAATGAGTGCTGAGCTATGGATAGCGCAGTAGAAGAACAACGTACTTGTGCCATGAAGAAGCCCCGTTTCCCACGGTCTCCAAACCGACCGACTTTCTCGTCAAGCTTTTCGATATCTCGAAGAACATTCACGATCAAGGACCAGTCTCCCACAGTGAGCAAGAGATTGTGGGCAGCGTATCGTAGCTTGCTGGAGACAAAATGCGGTGTCTTTAATAGTTGTTCGGGGTCCAAGATTTCTCCAGTACGTCTGTCCGGAATCAGGGCTTCCACACAATTATGTGCGGTCTGCCTGATGACGTTGACAAGATACTGGGGATCATTTCGCATCTGCCCCCACTCCGCCTTCGCATTGGCGAGTTGGCCTTCGACGATGCGAAGTAATGCGCTACTAGACAGCGCAGATGCGGCACGGCCGATACCTGCGGAGAACGAAAAATTGGGCCACAGGGGCTATGTCAACACTAACGCAGTCATGGCCCCAAGGGAATATACTAACCGACATCCCCCGATGCCCAACGGTCCATCTCCTTCCGGTCGCGGTATTCGGTGTAACCTTCTGGGGCAACGATATCTAGTACTTCCTGGAAAGATGAACTCTTTTGGTCAGACAACGAAAAGTCAAGGGAGAACGCGTCCTAACCAACTGGTCGTCCGAGACTATGTATTCGTATGCACCATATTTCTTACCAATAGCGTCAATCTTGTCCGAAAATTTGGCCCGCGCTTGGGCAGCAAGGAGCTCGAGGTAGCGAGGATCTAGTGTGCTCATGTCACGGAATTTGCCTTTTCTTTCTGACTGGGTCGCGTCCGAGTCGCTGCCCACCGGAATAGGGCCTGATCGAATACGAGCCTGGTTCATAATTATAACTGAAGAGAATATGCAGTAAAAGAGATCCTGGATGGCCCCAGCGGCGAGGTGTGGAGAAACACGTCCGTGGTGTCGTCGTTGAATGTGTCGGTGTCGTTTTGACGAACAAGGTCAAAAATGGTTACATAAGCTGACAAGTGCCACACGCCCGGCGCCGGGACGGCATACGCCACACTTTCGACTGAAGGAAATTCCGACGAGCTTGTTACAGTATTTGTACAGTGATACTAACGAATCCATCGGGCGATAGTACAAAACCCTACAAAGTACGACGATTAGCGTCAGTAGAAATCGGACCAGAGTTGTGTACCTACAGTACCCATAATTAGTGCCTTCAGCTCAGTCTCTATCCCTTTGAATCTCGAAGAAGCTTATGTCCCAACCATACAATGTCTTCAATTGCTTCCCAAGGCGCATCACTTTACGCCTCGGCATCTCTTCCGAAGAATTCCCGGGTCGATGAGGTCTAAAAGAAATCAAATATAAAGTCAATTTAAGGGGAAGTGAGATCACAACGCGGGGGGCGTGGCGCACTGATGTATGCAAAAGGGACGATCACGACCGGCTGTTGTATGTCAAAGGAGGTCAACTGGTTATTCACTGATTGAAATGTCTAGAAACTGACATGGTGCCCCGAACTTTCTCTCAGATCCACAATTAGGCACTTTAGAAAATCCGAGAGCAATGAGAGCCTACGCGCAGCAACACTTTGAGATCGTACTCCACAATTCGTATTCGAGAGGAAGGTAGAAACTCACATATTCCAGCTCGTCCCAAACCATCGTGCGCTCTGTTCGGACAAGGAGCTGCTCAAGAGTCTCGTATACCTTCTTCTTCACATGGTATAGAGGTTTGCTAGATGTGTCGTCGATTTGAGCACGCACTGCAGCTGTCGGTTGTGAGGTCGGCTGCGTTGTTCCCCTAGTCTTGACCTTGGACTTCTTGATAGAACTCGTCATCGTGGGTAGCTCGGAGTCGTTGCTACGGATGTGCTGTTGGTCCGTGTACGGCCTCGGGGGTGCATAGTTGTCGTCTACCGGCGGCAGCGTTGAGGATTGCCCAGAAGATCCTTCGGCACGAGAGTCATCCTCTTGCCCATCCACAGCCGTTGCTCCTTCAGGTACGGGCGGCAGTTGAAGGGGAGTCGAAGAGGTTGGCGAAGCTGCTGCAGACGGCAGAGCTAATGGTCTGTGCGTCCACGAGGGCTTCATGTCTGTAAATGCTACCACCTGTAGCGTGCGTGTCAAAAACCCGGATTATGCTGTGAAAAGAGAACGAATACTTTTTCAATGGTAGTTTTGTTGCGCTTCTTGGAAATCTTGTCAATTTCCTCCCATATCTTCTTGACTTTCGCTTCAGAACGAAGGGACTCGATGGACTTGACGTGCTTCTCAATCGTCGCATCCTCGAAGATCTTCTGTGATAGCTGAGCTCCACGAGCATGGGCCAGATATCTTGGATCGTGCGGTGTACGCTCCCAGTCTTCGCCATCTTCGCCGAGCATCACGATCAAATCCTAACCAATGTAACCAATGTTAATTTTGGAGTTGAAGAGATATAGATATGCTTAGACACTGACGGATAATTCGGCGAGGTCTAGCCACGCATCCATCATACGAGGCGTGAATATAGCCTTCTCCTCTGCTGTCGCTGAATTGAGGTTGGTCGTGATATCGTGCATAACGTGGAACTTGTTTCGTCTCAACTCAGCCATAAGTTGCATCCTGTAGAGCGCGCCGTGTAGTGACTCCTGAGGAAGAAGGATCTTGGCCTCTTCAGGAATGGCTTCATGTATTATTTGGGCCCCAGCAAACCCAGCGTGGTTCTGTCAATCGAGGATATTAGAAACACATGGTGCAAACGGGGCAATAAACATCGTGGTAGACATACGGTCTCTCGTTTGACATTCTTGCGGATGGAGGGAACATCCGCTAAGACGGAAGTGCGAAATATCTTGAATAATGTATCTTGGTGTTGGTCCAAGAGCTGTTTCACCTGCAGAGCGTATGAGGAAGTCCGCGTGAGATGCCGATCTACTCTATATTATCAACGCAGGAATCGAGACGTACTTGACTCATGATGAACCCGCGTCTCGTGCGATCTCCAAAGCGACCCACTTCGTTATCCAACTTCTGCACGTCCCGTAGATAAGTCACGATGAGAGACCACGTCCCGACGATCAACAGATGGTTATGGACGGAGTAGCGGAACCGGTGGGAGACGAAATTGGCGCTCCGGAGGAGTTGTTCTGGAGAATATGTCTCTCCCGAGCGCTGGTCCGGAATTGTGGCCTCCACGCAAAAAGATGCGTAGTCTGTTATGAGATTGACGAGATACTCGGGGTCATTGCGCATCTGGTCCCACTCTGTTTGCACGCTCGCCAGTTGACCTTCGGCGATACGAAGTAGGGCGTCGCTGGACAATGGGAACCTTGCGCGGTCAATGCCTGCAATTCGTGAAACGTCGTCATGATCAAAGGCGGAAACTCAGAATGTACGAAGAAATTCAGCGCACCCACGTCGCCGGACGCCCAACGTTCCATCTCCTGATGGTCATTATGTTCGATATAATCCGTAGGGGGAACGATATCCAGTACCTCCTGCAAGATGTGATGAGTATCAGGAATATATTTGAGGAAGGTCCGAGTAAAACTTACCAGACCGTCGTCGGAAGTTTCGTACTCGAAAGCTCCATACTTTCGCACAATGGCGTCCAACTTTTCTGGAAATTTAGACTGTGCTTGAGCGAGAAGGGTCTCAAGTAGACGAGGATCTATCTCTCTCTGGGTGATGAATCGAGAGCCACGCTCAGGCAGTCCTTCATTTCCATCAGGTTCTGGTTCTGCCATGATGATGGTCTGAAGTCAAGAGTTAGATAGGAGCGCAGGGAGGGACTTCGTGATGGTCTCACCCTTGGCAAGGGTGAGACCTTTAGGTAAGCCAGATTAAGTGGGTGAATCGCCCAGTCCGCAGTTACTTACAGCGCCCAAGTAAGACGTGTACTCTCTAGTGCTAGTTCAGATGTCGTCCAGACGTCGCACATCTCGGTGGTGGTGGAAGCATAGAACTTGAACTCAAATGGGCGCCATTGGCACGGTGAACAATCAAACGTTACGTAAGTTCAAATACCGTACCGGTGGCGCCGTAAACGGCCGAGTCAATACGGTGGCTTTAGTGGTGCTCTGACTCGGACTCGGACGCCACCAGTGTATGATTTCGCCAGTCTTTTCAAGGTAGATGGTGCCTCTCGTCGCTAGGATTCTCTGCACGCTTTAAACTAATTTCGCACATGCTTGCAATCTGAGAGGCGATTCTCGCACACCAGTCTCATTGACTCGAATGAGACAACATCGGCGTTCGTTAGCCGTACGCGTCCTGCGGATATAAATCCCACCTGTCTACTTCGTATCTAGTACTCGCTCCCGTTCATGACCCAAGGCTCTATTTTGTTTCCAACTCACCATAAAAATGTCTATGCTTTCACTCCCGAACGAAACCCTGCTGGCCATCCAGGGCCATCTTCCCCCATTCTCCTTTTTCACACTTAATGGCCCACCGCAAGAACCCCTCGTCCAGCTCGATCCTTCCCTTCGAAGTCTTTGCGCGACAAACAAACGGTTTCGGAGCGTCTACTACTCTAGCCTGTACGAGACTGTGGTTATAAATCTCGAACGAGAAGAGCTAGAGTCGCGATGTGCGCTCCTCACGAACTCGGTCCTCAAGGACGACAAAGTGCTCGCGCTTATAAAGTAGAATTCAACCTTATTGCTGCAATGTACATATATACTGATGCTATCAATGTTTACTTATTAGACATATACTTATCCGCGATACCCACCGCTCGGCGGACTTCAGCTGGAAGAACTCATTCGACCGCTACGTCCGAGTCTTACCAAATTCCATGTATCGTCTCTCCACAGAGTCCTATACCCTCCTCGACCATCTCCTTTGCTCCATCCTCGCCTGCACTCCAAATCTCCTTACATTAGACATCCAAAACACAGACGTGTCACTGCAAGAATCCGTCGTCAACGCAATAAATAACCATCCCACTCTCGACCGCGTCACGCTCGAGAACTTTCGCCAACTGAACGATCTACCTATCGACTTCTGCGCGAGGACGTCGTTCGGGAGAATTCACGTTCAGGGACTGAAGCTCGACAGAGGACTTCCTCCTTTCCCAGGCGGCGTTCTGAACGCTCTTTGTCAACGTTCGCCCGAGTCCTCGCTGCCAGGCCCACACGTGTACGCACTGCAAGTCGAATACTTCACATCCTCCGCCTGGATCGATCTTACATTCGGTTCGATCAGCGAACTCACTGTCCGCGACGTAGATGATACATTCGCGAGTGGATGTGGCGGATTCTTCGATCGTCATCCAAGTTTGAAGGCCATTCATCTTGACGGGTATGGTTTGAAGCATGAGCTTGCATTGGGTAGTATCCCGTGTCTTAGGGAGCTGTATAGAAAGTCAGTGAAGATGGGTAATGGCATGGAGAGAGGATTTTATGTCTTTTCGGTCAAGCTTTCAAAACGCGGGCATTCTCAATCATCTCACTCATTCAACAATTTGGCTGCGACGGTCCGTGGCCATGAAGCGACGGAGTCAACGGACATCAGCGGTGATCCGGGGTGGATTCTGAAGAGCATCAGCTTCACGATTCTGCAGGACACAGGGAGAGTCTTGCCATTTATTCTGGAAAATTTACCTCCATGTGAAGACCTCTATATTGAGCGGGAACGGGAGGTGGCCGATGAGAGTACGAATGTAACTCAGGTTGGTCTCTACTTCTCTCCTCTTACTAACGCGTGCACCCTTGCTTATAAGACTTCTACACCCTCACAGTCCGTTCTCTGGGACACCATCCTCAGCTCTACCCGTAACCTCTCCCACCTGATCTCTTTCGGCTACTCCACCTTCCCCCTCTGTGATACAGCACCCTCTCTCCCCGTGCGCTTCGGCCCCTCCTACGATGATTATGGAGAGGAAGACGGAGGGGAGTACGAGGACTATTTCTGTAGCGACGAACTGGAAGATGCGAGGGAGGCATTAAGCGTCTTTGTGGAGAGGATGGCTAGAAAATGTCCACGACTTGAGGCTGTTGCGATTGCGGGTCCGGAAGGGTATGAGATTTCAGGTTATTATTTGAAGTTTCAGGTCGAGAGAACTAAGAAGAGGGGCAATGGTGAGGGAGAGGGCGAGTCAGAGGAGGTGACGGTCTCGAGGGATCTCAGAATGTACAAATAATTCACGCGATGAGTGGAAGACTTGAAGTGTCTGCGAAGGGTCACGTCTCAGGTGGAGCGAGACAGCGAAATAACGATAATCAAAGAGCAGAAAACACACTGGCTAGTACATGAAATCGAACCCCAGCGCATACCTCAGAAACAAAACATCTATCTCGAATATCAAGAAAAACGGCGGCCTAAACGAGCCCAGCGCTCACTGCGACAACATCTCCTTCAGCTCTCCGTTCTCGACCATCTCCTGCACAATGTCGAGACCTCCGACGAACTCGCCGTTGATGATAAGCTGCGGGAACGTCGGCCAGTTGTTGAGTTCCTTCAAGCCTGCATTACGCCACATCGCGTCATCGTCACATGAATCAGCAAACTTCGCCACACACACTTACATCGGGCATCGGAAAGACATGAAAATTCACTCACCGGACCTGACGCTCTCATCGCTCAAGATATCGAAACTCGAATACTGCACACCCTGATCCCGCAGGATTCCCACAACCTTTCTCGAGAAACCACACCTCGGTACCTCTGGGTTTCCCTTCATGAACAGGACGATCTTGCTCTGGTTCATGAGACCCGTCAGGCGGGCGTGAAGCTCTTCTTGAGATTCAACTTTTTCTGGCGAGTAAGATGCTGCGGCCGGCGATTGATTTGTGTTGGAGAGAGGGACAGAGGCGGGACGGAGGTGTGTGGCGATGGTGGATGTGAGCGTGGCGGCGTCGGCGCCGGATATACGGCCAAGGAGGGTGTGACCCTGTGATTAAAAGGAGGATTTATAGAAGGTCACTGGGTGAGATAATAGCTCCCCAAGAATCGAAGAAACCCACCCTCAATATAATAAACGATGGAACGGCCTCTATCTCAAAACTCTCCGAGATATCGGCCTGTGACTCTGCCTCAACCTGCAGCACCAACAACTGAGGATACTTCCTCGCCAGCTCCAACACAACCTCGTTCATCTGCGTACATGGCTCCGCCCATGGTGCCCAGAAGTTGAGCAACGAAATTCGACTGAGATCGGCGGAGAGAATCTCCTGAAATTGCTCTGGCGAGCTGATCTCATGAAAGTTGGATGGTGCAGTCGACATAGCGGTGGATATCCAGAAAGCTAGTTGATCACAAAGAGAATCAAGAGAAAGTAGCTGTGAGGGCCGACGAGAGCGAAGAATAGTTACAGTCGGAAGCCGAAGCGGTGGTGGTGGTGGTGGTGGAGGAGGCGGAGGGGGATGGTTTGGCGAGTGAGGGGAAAGCTGAGGAATCCTGGTCATCTGATTAGATAAAAGGATCCCCGCACAAATATCTTTGTCTGATAAGATCCTATAAGTAACTCTGCCTCGGCGCTAGCTCAGCTCGGCCCTTCCGACTCCTCCCGAATACCTCTCTTCTCGAGGAAATTTATTCCAGCTTGGGCAGACTGCTATTATACTGGACTGAATGGACTTACAAGCCGCTCAGAAAGTATTGGCTCAAGAGGTTCAGCGTGTGCGACGCGTCTACATGTGTTTTTCAACATACTATGTTCTGCATCGGTCTAGACTCCGGAGTCTGAGTAGCCACACCATCTCAGCTCAGGTTTTCTGGCAGTGGATAGCAAGCGCCAACGTAGTATCGCTCTACTTGCCCGACTATGAGATGAGTGAGAAACTCTTCCCAGAGTCATTTTTGTGGTCTCTCTAATAGCTCCTGGCTGGCCGTACCCGATGTAAACCCACAATGCCTCCACGTTTCTTCCCTACGAAGCCTAGTACGCACCCACTGTGGTCATCTTCCGAATCATATAAATTTAATATACTCACGCCTGACCAGGGCGATGGTCTACCCAATGAATCCAGGTTCTCAGCCGTAATGGGCCTGAGATACTGTTATAATCGACCACTACCTCCCCGCGATGCCTCCTCAGTTTACCTCGTGCTCATGCTGATTCTCGTGCTCAAGACAAGTCAGGTCTACTCATCCAGAGTCTCTCAGGGGAGTCTTCGCTTCCGTGCGGTCTCTCTACGCCGGGTCGGTCCCAAGCTCTATAAAATCAACCCTCCTTGTCCTACTCCTTCCCAGGCACTTGCCAGTTCTTCACAATACTTATCATGAGATCCCCGTTCGCAAGCATACTTCTCGCCACTGTGGCCCTGACGGCTCATCAGTAGCACGCCTCCGCTCAATTCAACATCATCGCCAATGCGTCGGAGTTCAACTTGACCGAATCATCCTCTGTAAGTTCCCCTCGGACCACCCTTTTCCGACCCACCGTCTCTTCCAGTCAACAATTACAGCAAAGCTGACTGAGAACAACTGGGTTGTGGCATGCAGACATATTGCACCACGAATCCCGATCTCGCGACCGTCCAATACACCTTCACCTACGGTGCTCTCGAGTTCGGGTTATACTGCGCCATCCCAGCGGTCAGTCAACTCTCCTCCTCTTCCTCGCTCACCAAGCTCTGCCGGACAAATTTTATTGACGCGGCGTCGATGCTGGTACCCTGGGGCTTGCAATGATAGGCGGACATCTCCTGCGGTGCGACCATAAAGTTATTCGACATGGCAGAGCCGATCAAGGATGACTCGACGGTGCGAGGATGTACGGTCGTGGACATTAGTCCAGACGGGACGTTCCTCCTGTCGCCCGTACGTACCCTTCCCTCCCTCCATACTTACTCGCCACACTTCGTTGACCTCGATGGGTTTTATATTATCTGACACTATGACACGACAGACCGTATTCGCGGGGACATCAGGAATCAGCGGCTCTGAATTGTCTTTTACCGCGACATAAATATCAGTTGTGCGTATGGGAATGAGACGCTTGCTGAGGTCGTCGGATGCCCCATCCCAGTTGATGCCGTTAAGGAATAATAGGTGCTTGGATATGTGGTCGTATATACCAGAGAGGATATTACTTCGACAGTATACTTAAGCTTCAAGCACTCCTCGTTCGTGTATCTCTGCAGGCTGCTTGTGAATTTGATACCAGGTTATATTTTGGGTCCTGCGAGTTTTTACGGCGGCCCTACAAATAAGGGAAAAACTCGAAATGACCTCTGCGCCACCGTAACTCCAAGAGAGGGAAATAAGAGTGGAAGGAGCTGAAAAGGACGATAGGAAGCGCACATACATTCTCGCTCAATCAAGTATAAGTAACAACCACCACCCTCGCTTAGAACCACAACAATATTTCGACGTCCAGCAGATAGGACAGACGCCCGATACAAATAGAACACAGAAGCAAGAGAGAGAAGAGTGAGGAGAGAGGAGAATATAGGTAGGGCAACGTCCAAAAGCACGAGAGAAAGTGCCGCCATTGAAAGAAACGAAGGTTTATATACGGTCAACGAGGGTATCTCGTCTATGTGTTCTCGTACTCCTCGAGTCGGGATACCTGTCTGTAGAACACAAGGAAAGTATCAGCACGACATCCACGGTAACAGGGACTGCTAGCACGTTGTTGATACCAATTCCCAGAAGCAAATAGAAAGTTGTGCAATATCGCGGCAGCAGATCACGGAGACATGAAACGAGAGGACTCACCTATCTCTAACAGCCTCTTGCCATCGCTGCAACTTCGCGATTTCGTTCACCTGGAAGCCAAAGATCCTCGGACGATATCTATCCGCCCTCAACGCCGCCGCCGCCGTCGATACAGCATCACCAGCCGTACTACCGATACCATCTCCCGAGCCCTCCTGGATCTCCTCCCTCACCCGTCTCCTCGCCGCTGAATCGACACCCATGCCCATGCCCTCGCCGCCATACGCTGCCGCCGCCGACGAACCTGCACCCGATGCTGTACTACCTGCCCTCGTATTTCCAGCCGCCGATCCACTCGCACCACTGACCCCTCCTCCCGGAACGCCACCCACACCTCCTCCGACCCCCGGCCCTCCCTTCCCTGGGATGAGTCCCGGATACACCAAGAACAAAAGATGGGGAAAGCTCGTGCCAAAGTACGCCCCGTCGATACTCCCATGCCTCGAGCTCTTCGGACTATAAATATCCTCGCAGCGGCCGCAATAAAGCTTGACGCTGCTCTCGTACGGCGTGTCCGTCAACCCGAGGGGGAGGAGTGGCTGAGAGTGACAGAGCACGCGCGGACAGCGGCCGAAGTCTGCGCGTTTGAACTTGTCGAGCATCTTTTGGAGGCCGCGGGCGGTGAGGATCCAGCGTGCGTGGATGAGGCCGTAGAGGAGGCGGGCCTGGATGTCGAGCCCCGAGCGGAGGTCATCCTGGAAGTCTTCGTCGAGGTTGTCGGTGATGAGGTCGAGGGCTTGGGAGTAGTTTTGGACTTCGGTGTTCAGGCCTGTGAGGTTGAAGCGATCGAGGATGTAGTCTTCTTCGACTTCACAAAAGTATTCGTTCCCCTTGGAGGAAAGGAACCAGGAGATCCACTGGACGAATGATGGGCCACAATCGGTCTGAGCACGTTACATGAAGTGGTCATCAATCTAAACGTACCGAGCTGCAATAAAACTGTATTAGAGCTCGGTTCAAATCAACAAAACATAAATTAGGACGCACTTTGAGTAGTCAGAATCCGAGCCTGTCGATACGTCGTCCACTGAACGGCCGAGCATGGTGATGGTCAGAACGAAGTCACGCAACGCGTCAAATGGGCTGTTCGGAACTGACTGATTGATTCGGCCTTGATCTTCAAAGTGTCAAGTGGAGAAGGAGACCCGAATTAGAGTATATAATGCCACAAACGAGAACGCCGATACGATTGGACTCCAATGACTGTCAAGATGAATTCATGCCTCGAGGCAACTAAATGTGACTCTGTGACGTTGCGAGGAACGAGCGTCGTGACAGAGGGTGGTCTATGGATGCGCGAGAGCGAGAGCGGCGTGACAACTCTTTTCGCGCCTGCTCTCGTTCTTGCTCGCCGCTGAAGCCTGAAGCCTGAAGCCGGAGAGTCCTCAGACTCTCCCTTTTTCGCACTCTCTATAGCTTAGAGCACTTTAATCGGCCTACCTTCTAGTCTAGAGCCTTTTAATCAAACTTTCTTGTCACATATATCTATTTCTTTCTCAGGCTACACACCTTCGGCGAAAAGAAAAAATGAGCGCTGCCCTACCGATCGTTGACCCGACCAGCTTTACCCTGCCCAACCACAAGGACCCGGAATATGCACCTCTGATAAACATCTTGACGGGTACTGGCCTCAGCTTAGATGATGCCGTGAAGGAGATGGATGAGGTATGGAAGGCGGCGCAGAAAAAGAGGGTGCAGGCATGGAATGACGAGCTGCGCAGGGGTCGAAGCGGATCGCGCGAGAGTCAGGGCTGACGAAGAGAAGAAGGAGGAGGAAGAGAGGTTGAAGCGCGAAGAGGAAGAGAGGAAGGAAAAGGACGAAAAAGAAAAAA